AAGTTTCCAGAGGTTTGAGAGAGAGAGAGATTTAATTTCCTGTTCTGTCACATATTAGCTGAATGACCTTAGACTAGTTCTTTGGTCTGTCTGATACTGTTTCTTCATCAGTAAAATGGACATATGGATAGTTAGATAGTTGCCTCATGTGTAATAGAGATTAGGGGAAAAAAAATAGGGAAACCATACAGTGGTTGGCTCACAGAGAAAGAACACAGAAAATGATAGCTATGATTATTTTTATTTATTTATTTTTTGATAGCTATGATTATTAACTGCCCCCGTGGATCACTCAAAATGTTAGAGGTCTGCCGAAACCTGTTTGGCTCAGTGGATAGAGCGTCGGCCTGCAGACTGAAGGGTCCCAGGTTCGATTCCGGTCAAGGGTATGTTCCTTGGTTGCGGGCACATCCCCAGTGGGGGGGGTGCAAGAGGCAGCTGGTTGATGTTTCTCTCTCATCGACGTTTCTCTCTATCCCTCTCAATTCCTCTCTGTGTAAAATCAATAAAATATATTTTAAAAAAATGTTAGAGGTCTGTAATTTTTACTTCTGGTTTAAAGAGATTGTTGCTTTCAAGTTTCTGGAGCTTCAGAAGTTGTTCTCAGGTGATTGGGGATAGGATTAGTTCTCTCTACCGATGCTAATCTTTATGGAATTAACTGTTTTTGGAGGCTTCAGACTTTGAGAAGTAGAATTGAAAATAATCTTGGGCTGTAGTTCTGTATTTTGGGACCTTTGTGAACCTTTAAAAATACAGGGTTTATCAGTAGATGAGTGGATAAAAAAGCCGTGGAACATTTATACCATGGAATATTATGCACCAATAAAAAAGAAGAATCTCTTACCATTTGAGATAGCATGGAGGGACCTGGAGAGTATCATCCTAAGTGAAGCTAAGTCAGTCGGAGAAAGATAAGTATCACATGAGTGGACTCTTAGTAACAAAATAAACTGATGAACAGAGTGGATCCAGAGACATGGAAGCATGGAACAGAATGGGGAATCTGGGAGGGAAGGTGGGGGAGGGTGGGTGGGTGGGTGGGAGGTTGTATGCATATATTATGCATGGCCCATGGACATAGACAATGGAGTAATAAGGGCCTGGGGCAGAGGGATGGGGAGTGGGCTGGAGGGGGCCAATAGAGGAAAAGGGAGACACATATAATGCCTCAACAATAAAAAATTATTTAAAAAAATACGTGGTGGTGGTGGTGGTGGTGGTGGTGGTGGTGGTGGTTGTTTTTGCTTCTTTTTGCCCTAGCTGGTTCGGCTCAGTGGATAGAGCGTCAGCCTGCTGACTGAAGGGTCCCAGGTTGGATTCTGGTCAAAGGCACATGTCTGGTTTCCTGGCTTGATCTCCAGTAGGGGGTGTGCAGGAGGCAGCCAATCAGTTATTATCATCATTGATGTTTCTCTCTCTCCCTCTTCCTTCTGACCTAAAGTCAATAAAAATATATTTAAAAATGAAATTTAAAAAATACAGGTGTTTTTTTTGTTTTGTTTTGTTTTTCCCCCTCTTCTGAGTGAGATTCACTGATTCGGAATCACTGTGGGTGGAACCTCGATTGTTAATATGTTATCCAGGTGATTTTTTAGAGCTGGACAACACGGAATTTTTTTTTTTTTTTTTTAATCAGAGAGGAGGGGAGAGGAAGAGAAAGAAACATCAGTGATGAGAGGGAATCATTGATTAGCTGCCTCCTGCACGTTGGACCGAGCCCCACGCATGTGCCCTTGACTAGAATCAAACCTGGGCCCCTTTGGTCTGCAAGCCAATTCTCTATCCACTGAGCCAAACCGGCTAGGGCGACACAGAATTCTTAACAAGGTAGATGTATTTGCTAAGTTGTAGCCTGGTAGGTAGTATTATCTCTCTAGTAATTCCTGCAACGAATCTATTTAGCTGGGGGCCACACCATTCCACTCTAAGAAACACTAAGGTTTTTTGTTTTTGTTTTTTTGATCTGTGAGATTGAGTCCATGGGTCTGGTAGTTAATTATTATTTTTAATAAATATTTTTATTAGTTTTAGAGAGGGAGAGGGAGAGAGAGATAGAAACATCAATGATGAGAATCATTGATTGGCTGCCTCCTGTATGCCCCCTACTGGGGATGGAGCCTGCAACCAAGGCATGTGCCCTGATTGGGAATTAAACCGAAGACCTTTTGGTTCATAGGTTGATGCTCAACCACTGAGCCACACTGGCTGGGCTGGTGGTTAACTTTTGCTCTGGGTGAGTAGCTGGGAGAAATATCTTTTCCCTTTCTGAGTAGTTTGTGCTGATCAATGAATCTTGATGGCAGTGTTTTATTGCTCCAGTTTAACTGTTCATTACCTTGTTCATGTCCAGAGGGTAAATAAATGAACCTCCAATACAGTTTATACACATTCTTGTACTAATTTTTTTTTGGCTTCATAATAAGGTTTTTACTTGAGTATAGCCAGAGCAAGGGCTTTACATTTGCTGCAGTCTTCCGATTCATTTCATATCGATGATGTGCTTTTTATCATGTGACTCCTATTGTTTCCATGGCATCATACAATTTAGCTTTTTATATGGCCACCTTTAGCTCTCTTCTCTTATCAACAAGAATAATTATGCTGTGCGTGTTTGTGTGTGTGTGTGTTGTGTGTGTGTGTGTGTGTGCCTTGTAATTTTACCATAAATTTTTACAGGCTACTTGCAAATTAGTATATGAATTCCATTTCTATTTTCCATTTCTTTTGTTTTCCTGCCTTTTGGACCTAGTAGTGTATGTGTGTTCTCTTCCCTTTTTATGAGTAATTTTCCAGCCTGGCTTTTTAAGTACCTCTTCTGTTTCTTTGGTCATTTTTTTTTTTTTTTTTTGTAATTTTATTTGATTTACCCCCCTCCCATTTCTATCATTCTTTCACCGCCAACCCTGCCTTTGATTCTTTATTTTCTGTGTAAATGAGATCCTAATAGCTTCTACTATTGTCATTTATTTATCTCTTAATTGAGGAACTCTCTTGATATGAAGATGAATCAGAAGATAGAGTCCTTAAGGACAGCCTTGTGGGGACAATATATATCATTGACCCATTTGTAACTTTATGATATAATCATCACAATGTATATTAACTATTTGTTTATGTGCCCCTTCCATTAGATTGTGAAGGTTAAGTAAGTTCAACTAATGTTCATTGAATGAATGAATGAATGAATGAATGATGTGAGTGTGTGTGTGTGTGTGTGTGTGTGTGTGTGTAATGATAAGGGATATAAAAAGTACGAGTGCTATTAGAAACCAGGGAAGTAATAATAATGTTCAAGGAATCTGGGTAAGGCTTATAGGAGATGAAATTAGTTTGGCTTTGAAGGGAATTACTGCTAGAGAAAAATTAGAAAAAGAAGATAATGGAGATAAAGCAAATTTCTGGGTGCTCAGAGGATGCTCTCTAGGTATGGTGATTTTATAGGAACAATTTGTATACAATGAGGATAGCAAGGCCTAAGATTGTGAATTAAGGTTGTGAAGGCCTCCAAGTTCCATCATGCTAAGAATTTGGAACTTTGTCCCATAGGTGATAGTCATTGAAGAGTTATAAAAGCAGATTTGCTACGTTTTATTTTAGAAAGATAACTTTGGTTGAGTATGAAGAAGAGATCAGGAGAAGAATAATTTAGAAAGCTTTTTTTACCATAATTTAGTTTAAAGATGATACTCTGAATTAGAGGCAAAGGGAAGAGAGAGAGAGAAATTAGGAAATATAAAAAAAATTTCAGCACCTGTATGGAGGCATATTTTATGTGCCATAACAAATAAGTTTTAATATATTTTTATTGAGGAAAGGGAAAGATAGAGACATCAATGAGAGAGAGAAAGTCATCGATCAGCTGCCTCTTGCATGCCCTCTACTGGGGATCCAGCCCTCAACCCCGGCATGTGCCCTCACCTGGAATCGAACCAGGACCTTTTGATTTATAGGTTGATCCTCAATTACTGAGCCACACAGGTTGGGACAGAGAAATATTTTAAAGATAGTATTGTTTACCTCTCAATTCTTTTTTTTTTTTTTTTTTAATATGCTTTTTGTTTGTTTGTTTTAGAGAGAGAGGAAGGAAGAGGGAGAGAGGGATAGAAACATCGATCAGCTACCTCCTGCACTCTCCCTCCTGGGGATCAAGCTGGAAACCTGGGCATATGCCAGAAATCGAACCAGTGACCTCTTGGTGCATGGGATTATGTTCAACCAAATCTGTTTTGCAAATTAAGTTTATACTTTAAAGATAGAGCTTTGACATATTAGATTCACTTTTTTCTATGAAGAGATTTTGTTCATTGTGCTTTTTCACAGTGATCTTTTAAAGAAATTATACATTATATATAAAATGAAAGATAATACACACACACACACACACACACACACACACACACACACACACTAGAGGCCTTATGCATGAAATTTGTACATGGGGCAGGGGTCCCCTCAGTCTGGCCTGCACCATCTACAATTCGGGACCCCTGTGGGAGTGGGCCTAAACCAGCAGTCGGATATTCCTCCTGCAATCTGGGATTGCTGGCTCCTAACCGCTCACCTGCCTGCCTGCCTGATTGCCCCTAACCATTCTGCCTGCCTGCCTGATTGTCCCTAACTGCTCTCCCCTGCTGGACTGATTACCCCTAACTGCCTCTGCCTCGGTCCCCGCCACTATGACTTTGTCCAGAAGGATGACCGGAAGATGTCCAGTTGACCCAATCTAATTAGCATATTACCCTTTTATTAGAGTGAGTGAGTGAGTGAGTGAGTGAGTGAGTGTGTGTGTGTGTGTGTATGTATCTATCATGAAGAACAGACCTATTTAGATAGAACTTCAGGAATTCTTATGACGGTATAAAGATAACTTTTAAAGAGGACAAAATCCTTTCCTGACTTTAATGAAAAACAAGATAAATAAGGACATTTTCTTTACTAACATTGTTATATTGATGCTCAATGAATACTGACTGTATTATTGCAGGTAAATTGGCAGGATGAGGAGCAGCAAATCAAAAGAGGTGCCTTTACCAAATATAAGAAACTCCCAAAGCAAGGATTCTTCTGTTCAAGGTATGATTTGTGTGTTTTTTTAAACTGAATTTATTAATCCTTTGTATAAAGTACTGATCAGTAAATAAAAATTATATACATGCTTTGATTTATAAAAGGGAATAATTAAAAAATTTTAATGTATGCTTAATACAGTTTAAAAATAGTATTTTCTATTTTAAAATTTTAATCTTGTTTTAAAAATACAAGGTAATTCACCTTCTAAGGCATCCTATGGTAAAGGAAAAAATATATTTTTTTTGTATAAGAATCAGTATATGTAAAACTAGTTTTATATAATTTCTTAGAAATTCTGACTTAAGTAATATGACATAGCTCTTAATAGCCATCTATAGTGCACAGGTAAAAATAATAGTCTCGTTGAACTCTTTAAAATGATGCTTTTGGGGGTTACTGTAATTTAGAGTGTGGTATTTTTTTGAGGGATATGGACAAACTGGAGTACATCTGGAGGAAGATTATTTTCTGAGGGATATGGAAATCATGTCACATAAGGAGCGTTTGGAGGAATTAAAATATCCTAGAGAAGGATGACTAAGGGGAAATATATGGCCTATACTATATGAAGGGCTGTTATATAAAAGATTTTAGGTGTAGTTTTCTAATCTTTATACATTATGTGACTTACCAAACAATGCAAAATTTTGTATTTGTTCAGCTCATTGGGCTAAGTTGTTGGATATGTGAAATGGGTTAGTCCAGCTGTCCTAAGGACAAATAGGACCAGTGTCTAATACAACTCAACTGTATACTGTATGAGGAAGCTCACCGTTATTGGATGGGAGAAGAACCATGTTTTGGCTCAATATAGTACAGCACTTGTTAGAGAATAGTTTTGCCCAATAAAGTGGGTTTCAAACTTTTGAATGTATTTGGGAGCTTATTAAAATGCAGATACCAAGGTCTACTTCAGAGCTTTTGATTCAGTAAATATCATTGTTCCCCAGCAGATACAACCACATCGTGGGATGCACTTTCTCAGACCAAGGCTGCTGTAAGTAGTTATCGTTTTCACTTATTTCTTTCTATTTTAAAATCAATTACTTGTTGTGATTAAATAAATTAAATTTTTTTCTATAGTGCTTTTGGTAACATAATAAGGTTGGCATTTTGGTAAGAAATTACATAGCATATATTACAAAATGAACATTAATGACAGCTATCCTATATAATAAAAGAGTGATATGCAAATTGACCAACACTTCAACACACAAGATGGTTGCCCCTATGTAGACACAAAATAGACGCCACAAGATGGCCAGCAGGGGAGGGCAGTTGGGAGTGACCAGGCCTGCAATGGAGGGCAGTTGGGGGCCATCAAACCTGCAGGGGAGGGCAGTTAGGGGGGACCCAGGCCTGCAGAGGCGAGCAGTTGCGGGGGACCAGGCCTGCAGGGGAGGGCAGTTGTGGGTGATCAGACCAGTAGGGGAGGGCAGTTGAGAGGGACCAGGCCTGCAAGGGAAGGCAGTTGGGGGCATTCAAGCCTTCAGGGGAGGGCAGTTAGGGATGACCAGGCTGGCAGAGGAGGGAAGTTGGGAGTGACTAATCTACAGGGAAAGGCAGTTGGGGGGTACCCAGGCCTGCTGGGGAGAGCAGTTGGGAGGGACCAGGCCTGCAGAGGAGTGCAAATGGGAGTGACCAAGCCTGCAGGGGAGGGCAGTTAAGGGCAAACAGGCTGGCAGGGGAGCAGTTAAGCATTATGGAGGCTGGCAGGGGAGTGGTTACAGGTGGTCAGGCTGGCAGGCAGAAACAGTTAGGGGCAATCAGGAAGGCAAGCAGGCGAGCAGTTGGGAGCCAGCAGTCCTGGATTGTGAGAGGGATCCCTGATTGGAAAGGGTGCAGGCTGGGCTGAGGGACACCCCCCCATGCATGAATTTCATGCACCAGGTCTCTAGTTAAATAATAAAAGAATAATCAAGACACTTGAGGTATCTGGAACATTAACATTATGACATATATAATATTGAAATAATTTCTGCTATTTATTCTCGTTTATTAAATTTGTTCATTTGGTATGTTGAAATGAAGATTTAAAACAGAATGAATTTGGGAAGGTGAAGCTAAGTCTATGTAAAGGGCTCAGTCAGGAAATGAAAGAAACAACTACTTCTTGAAGGACTGAATTGTCTCTTCTTTTTCTGTGGCAATAATAGAAGGTTTTCTTTCAGCGTTACTGAAGAATGACTGTGAGCAAACTATTATCATTTGTTTCTGTCCAGTTTTGTCAGGAGTTTAGTAAAATAAATACATATGGCATGTGATGCATAGTCCCTTTGAAGGGAGACTCCTTCCTCTTTAATTTGCTCTCTGGGCACATTAATCTTCTAATATGTCCTTTTTGTTTTCTTTTGTATTCTATCTGAATTTGAATCACCTACTTCTTTATTATTGAATACTAGAGGCCTGATGCATGAATATTTGTGCACTCAGGGGTTCCCTTCGCTTGGCCTGTGCCTTCTCGCAGTCTGGGAATCCTCAGGGGATGACGGACTAACAGTTTAGGCCCGCTCCCCTTAATCTGGCCACCCTCTGTAGGAGGGGACATCTATTGGGGGTGGTGGCAGAGGAGTGGTGGGGGGCAGGGCCAGCCACTTGGCGCCCTCCTCTGCCCCCCATCTCTCCTCTGCCACCGCCCCCAATCGCTGTTCCCTCCCTCTACCCACTGGCACCCGACTTAGTTGGCCTGACGCTGGCCACTTGCTGGCTCCACCCCCCACCTACCAAGTGTTTTGCCGTTCGGTCGATTTGCATATTAGTCTTTTATTATATAGGGTGTTATTTTCTGTCTCCTAATCTTTTGAACTGGTTTGAAAACCAATCTGGAAAATGTACTGTAACCTACATTTGTTTATAATGCCGGGTCAAAATTTTCTTTTTAATCCTTACCTGAGGATGTTTTTTCCCATTGATTTCTAGAGAGAATGGAAGGGAGGGAGGATAGGGGGAGAGATAGAAACATTGATTTAAGACAGACACATCAATTGGTTGTTTCCCTTACTCCCTCCTACAGGGTCAGGGGAACATGAAACTGAGTTATGCAGGCAGGCCGATGCTATAACCACTGAGCAAAACCACCAGGGTTCAGGGTCAAATTCTGACTCATTAATAACAATTTACCTGAAGATATGTTTTTTTTAATTGATTTTAGGGAGAGAGGTGGGGTCAGAGAGAGAAACATCAACTGCTTGCCTCCTGTACACGTCCTGACCAGGGACTTGAACCCACATCTTAGATATGTGCCTTGACTGGGAAGCAAATACGCAACCTTTTGGTGCATAGAAAGGTGCTCCAGCCAACTGAGCCACCTGGCCAGAGCTATATTTCCTCTCTTCTACATGGCATTAAACATCTATAAATGCAGGGGTAGTTTCTATCCTCCAATTTAATTTAGAGCTAAACTAATTCAGAACTGAACTGTTACTTGGTTTTTCAAAATGATTGGATTTTTAAAAAGAATTTTTAAGGGTGATAAGGGCTCATAAATGGAGGAGGGGAAGCCTGATACAGAACTATTATAGGATTATTTCACTTTTGTGAGTACATTGCATTGCAAAGATTCAGAAAAAGAAAAATCAGAATTTTATACAAAGCCTTTTTTGTCTCTCTGTGGTGGAATTTTTATTATTTTAATTTTTTTTCTGTTTAATAGATCTAAATACATTTTTCCCACCATTTTGATACTACAAATGATTACCATACTATTTATGGGGAAATGCTTTTTAAAGTCATTAAGAACATTGGTGGTTATACCAAAAATTGACTTATATTGTAAATTGTATGGAAACCCGAATTCTATCTTGTTATTTTTATCCTTATTGTGAAACTTATTTTACAGACTTAAGACTATAAAAAGTTGTGGCTGTTTGAATAGTACTCTTAAGTTTTAGTATGGCTGAGTTATTCTTAATTTTTGCATGTAACATGTATAACATCTATGCATAATGATATGTAGCATATAATGTGAGAAATTTTTTACTGCTTTAATAAAAAAAAACAATTAAAAAATAGGTCAAGACAAATAGAAAGTCTTTGATATACTTCAGAATCTTTTTGGTTTTCTTGTCTAAATTTGGGCACCATTGTGCCAATTGTTAGTATAGCTGAATTAGTAAATAATGAAAACACTTTGTTTTTGTTCATTAAAGTAAAATATTCCCGAATTTTCCTACTTTGGAGAAAGGTATTGGGCAATATAGTTTTAAATAACTCCGTAATTTGATAGTAGTTGGCTATTTACAGAATTAATCTATTTGTTGTAATGGTATTTCACTTTAGCTGAGACACATTGAAAACAAATTAGAAGTAACCCCTACAAGTACAGCTATGTTTGATTCTGTCATGGATACCAAGAAATCTTCTGCAAGTGCTACCCGAAAAATAAGTAGAAAAGGTCTGTATGCAGTTACTGGATATATTTAATATAACATTTTCTGTTGGTTTTGATTCAGTTGAATTTCTTCTTATAGTCCCATTATTTTCCTGCTCCCTTGTCAGAGACTATACCTCTTCATTTTTCCTTCGGTATTAAATAGGTATGAAGCAGCCTCAAATTTAGTGACTGTAAGTGCTTTTTTCCTCATCGGTTAATTAGGGACTTAAGCACCACTGCATCATCTTTGACATTGAACTTTCATTTGTTTTTATTGGTGAGAATTTGATTTTGAGCCTTTGGGGGGTTATATGTCTTTTTTAAAAAAAAGAAATTCACAGGTCTTTATGTCACTTAGAAATTTAGTTGGCTTAATAAGATTTATATCTTTTGTTGGAGTTTAAAATCATAAATGGAATATCTATCTTATAGATACTATCATAAATTCACACAATGCCAATTTTTTTTGGTTTATTTTTTATGTATTTAATTCTTTGGTTTCCTAATCAGTGGGCTAAAATGTGCATGTTAGTACTTTCCACTGAAATTGTGATTTAAAAAACAAACAAACCTGTGAATCTTTTACGTTTTAGCTGATATTTCCTTTTTTAAGTGAGAGAGAGCCTTTAACAAAAAGAAATTTTATATGTTGAATTTTATTTTGCATTGTTTGTATAGAATGTAATTTTTCTCTATAGATTTGAGTTATTATAATAATTTAAGTAGCCTGAGTTTTTTCCATCTACTTATATAATATCCAACTAGAGATCTCAGAAATAAATGATACCTAAGTTATTTTCTTAGATCCTTGCCAGATTCAGAAGTAGTAGTATTTTATATCATATGTTCTCACAGATTTTTTTCCTCTCCAGATGGTAGATACCTGGATGATTCTTGGCTTAATGCTCCAACCTCCAAATCTTCTAAATCACGGAAAGAGAAATCTCGTAGTCCTCTCAGAGTTACCACCCTGGAAAGTAATGTAAAGAAAAACAATCGTGTGGAATTCCGTGAACCTTTGGCTTCTTACAGGTTAGTGTTGTTTTTCTTAAAAAGTTATCAAATAGGGCTATCCTGTTATATTTAAGATTATAGTTTATTTTCTGACCTTTTCATAGCACCCTGGCTTTGGAATTATTACCTTTTCATTAAAAAAAAAATAAAGCAAAAGTTTTATATTATGAAATACTGACTTTCTACATTTATTGATTAAAAGTTTGGGGAGGGAAGAAGTAGTAATATTTGTTCCAGGCCTCTACTACCATTACAATAAGTAGTTTTCTACAGATAAATTACTCGGGAAGTGTGGTTCTCCCTCCCCCGCTTCCCCAATATCTCATATGGGATATTATACATAATGAACTTTGTATAGCGTAGTTTTCTTCTTTTTTTGATAGCATTAATCAGTTACCTAAAATTTCTTCTTGAGAGTGTGGGTTGGTTTATTGTTTTACCTTTTGCCAGTGGCTCCTTTCAGCAACTTATTTAGTTAAATGTTCAAGTTTAATTAATGAATTTTGATAGTATGGATGATTTACAATGCTTTTTGTGTTTTTGGTTAGGTAACAATTTAGGATATTCAACAGATAAAATTATCAAATTTTGTCTTTGAGGGACATTTTACTAATGATATAAATGTGTTCGTGCTGTTAGAATAGCAAATAGTAATAAATAATAAACACTGACCCTTATATTTTTTTGTTGCATTTATAAGCACTCGTAGTATTTTAAAGTGCCAATCAATAAATCAAGGAGTTTCATGATACTGCTTGATAGTAATGGGTATATGTTTGTACTCTTAAATTTGAGAGAAAGAATTTGGGAGATGGAGGTGGATTATGAGTTCCATTTTCAGTAACTCAATTTAATGCAATTTTGAAATGTCTAGGTGATAATATTTAGTAGTCACTTGAAAATTTGGATACTAACGTGTGCAGAAAGGTCAGGGCTGGGAATATAAATTTTGGAGTTGTCACTAGTGTTGTAATAATCAAAATGGTGAAAGAAATGTAAAGAGAAGGCTATGGACTTAATCTGGGTAAAAGGTCATCGTTTAGAAAAAAGAGAAAGAAAATTTTGAAAAATAACCAGAGTTCAGAATCTTTAACCACAAAAATATTAAGCATCTTGCTTAGAAACATAATAACTATCGGTATTGAAACTAAATTACTGACTATATAGATTTTAATGTTCTTTCTTCTAAGAATACTATTTAATATTTAAAATTGTGTAAATTATGCATCTTTTAAGAAAAAAATGCCTATAAGCTAATAGTGAGTAGAACACCCTTCACCTGGCCAACTCCACTGCATTTATCACTTCAAATTCATCTTTTATCACCATCTGTCTGAAACATCGTGAGATCTGTTTCTACCCCACTTCATTCCCCCAGCCTGTTTAACCCTTCTTCTATACTGCCACAATACTATATAACTTCCTTCACTAGAGCATTTCATATTGCATTATATTTTGTTTCTATATCGACCCATTGCATTAATTTATATAAGCCTGTAAATCTCTTATTCTCAAAGCCCTGTCTTAATGCCTATCATTTACTAAGTATTCCATTAATATTTCCCCAACATTTTATTGTGAAATTTTCATATTTATAGAAATGTAGAAAAAATTGTATAGTGAATACCCTTACATGTATTTAGCAAATATTTAGTGAGTGAATGAATTCTTCCTGCCCTCCTTTTCAATGTCCTTCCCTTTTTAAGTTTGAAGCATGGTATGTAACGTCTTTTAATTTATTTTTAATGCTTTATTATATTCTCCACATGTGCTAATTTTAGACCTAAATCATTTTAACTGTGAAGTGTTACAGTCTGGTCAAGGTAGTGAAAATAATTGCAGTTAGTCATGATATCTGAGTGGTTGATTATTAAATTAGATGGGGGCTGAGAACTGAGTCCTGAAGCTGCAGAACTCAGTTCTCAGCCCCCATCTAATTTAATAATCAACCACTCAGAACAGGGTCTAATGTTTTTTGGGTCATGGACCTCAATGAGAATCTGATGAAAACTATAGACTATTTCCTTAGATAAATACCCATGCTCAAATATTCATAATAGATCTAAGTATCATATTATGCTATAACAGTCATGGCTATAAGACATTTTGTGGCAGTTTTAAGCCTTTAAGCGAAACATCAGTGCTATGTAATAATCCCATTAATGTGGCCACATGAGTAATCTAAACATTTTTTAGTAGTTACATACACACATGCATCATTCTTTTGTTAATGCTTTAAATCTTTTGGATTCATATATGATTTATATTATACCACATCATAATTTGGACTAGCCACATTTCAAGTGCTCAATAGCCACAGGCGGCAAATGTCTACTCTTTCAGACATTGCATGTCCAAGTTGTTATGTGTGCTTTTATAGTTTTGTTGGGTGTTTTTTCATGATTCATGTGTTCTTGCTGCTGAGGCCTTTCTGTCTTCATTAACTTCCCTTTTAATAAACTGTTTCTGTTCCTAAAATATAACTTATTAGAATGATGCATAAAATAAAAATAGTCTCTGAAGGAAGACTTGTGCTAGTGTTTTTATGAATACAGAATGTGGACTTTGTGATATGTATTTTGGCTATGTCTAGTCTTCATGCTTACCACAGAGTTTCTTGATATGCTTTACATAGTTTGAGGCTGCCAAAAGAATAGTCTGTGGTTCAGGGAGGTTTGACTTTACTAACCATATTTATTTGAAGGAAAATATTTATTGTACTTTTACTTTATTTCTGCTCCCAATTTATTTGTTAATTTGGTATGTTATTTAGAAGTTATGCACATGAAATGCCAGTATTTAAGAACTTTTTTCCTATTACTTAAGACTTCATAAAGGAGTAAAATATACATTTTGGTAAAAGGTGTCAAGTTAATATCCAAAATCAGATTATAATACTATTTTCTGGCATTCTTAAAAATCTTTCCGCACACCTTTTGTATTTTTTTTTTTTATAATTACATTATGATTCAGAACCTGATAGAGAGGTCATTGAGTTTTAATGTTAGTAATGGTTATTTTATTAGCTTTAATCTACTGAAATTTCTGGGTATCTTTTGTTCTCTAATTTTAGTTTGGAGTTCTCCATTTGCAAGACTGGTTTCAGTTTAACTGGTTTTTGTACTTTTTATTTAAAACTAATTATTATTTTTTAATAATAGGGAAGTTCATGGCACACCTTCCAATGTAAGTCCCAATCCTTTAGAGTCAAAGCATGTATATTGTGTGGATATTAATGGAGAAAAGCCTGAAAATGGGAATCGGATGGTAACCAGTCGAGAAGAACGGAATACACATTGTCGTGATTTTGAGAGTTCTCAGTCATCTGTCATGAATGAGACTGTTGTTAGGTTTTTAAATGATCGACCAGCGATTGATGCATTGCACAATTCTGAAAGTTTGGTTAAGATGGCAGCTCCAATGAGAACTGAGGAAGAAAAGCCTAATAGAACAAAGGGAAATGAGAACAATTTGAAGACTTCTGGCAATAACATAGGCCATGATATTGATCCGAAAGTGTTACGGCTAGCTGACTCTTCTCCCTCTTCTACGAGTACTTCTAATTCCCAAAGATTAGATATCTTAAAGCGGCGACAACATGATGTCAAACTGGAGAAACTCAAGGAGCGGATTAGGAAACAGTGGGAACACTCAGAAGAAATAAATGGCCGGGGCCAGAATCAGGGTCATATTGACCACCCAGTAATGGTTGTTGATATTGATAGCTCAGTGACAGCAAAAGTCAGGAAAGTGGCAACAGCACCACCTGCTCCAGCATATAAAGGTTTGTAATCAGTCCTTGTATCTTTCTCTTTCTGCCTCCTTATCCCTCTACCTCCCCAGGTTGTATTTGAGTAGAGATGATCATCTTTAAAACAGGTTGTGATTCTCAAACACATAAGAAATTAATTCAAGGTGCAACTTAAAAATGCAGGTTTCTGGATCCTACACTGGACCTAAATCAGAACTTCTGGGGATAGAGTACAGAATTGGAATCTTTAATAAGTCCATTAGGACCACAATATGAATATTTAATAAATTGACAAAAAGAGGAAATAAGAACTAGTACATTTTCAGAGAACTGAAAGAATATTTCTCTTATTCTGCCATTGTATTTAGATTGTTATTAGGAATTCTTTCACAAGTAATACTTAAAGAACAGTTCAGTCAGTTTGAGTTAATATTTAGTTACAGAATATTTTGGCACTAACATTTGATTTTAACTTTCAAGTTTCGACACGAGTTTTTCCCCCCTGTGTTTAAGAAAACAATATTAAAATCATATACCAACATTGATAGAGTTGGTATAACTCTATGAGAGATAATGTCTGTTTTTAGCCAGGTCATGTTTTTATATATATAGTGGTTTTAAGAAGTTTGTATTTTTATGTTCCTGAAATTATTTTCATAGGGTCATCATGTAGTTTTTATTACATTGATCAGGTTAGTTTATGTTAGACTTTTGTCATGAAAATGTCTGCCATTGTAACTTTTCTTTTGTGGATATTTTTCCAAGTTTAGTTTTTCTACATAAATGTATGAAGATCAAAATATTGTCAAGATTTGTTTCTTCTGTTAAATTTAAGTTACTATTTAAAAACTTGGACAGTTTTTGCTCTACTCAAATTTGTTTTGTATTTTTCTACTAAATCCAATTTTTCTCTGACCACTTTTGTAATTTTTTATAGTTCTAAAGTGTCTTTAGTCATTTTTTTTCTGCAGAACAAATTTTGCTGTGTACATTTAAGTGAAGTACCAGTTTTGTTTTGTTGTTGATTTTGTTTTGCTAATGACATTCATTGTGAATTAGATTTTAAAAAACAGGTAATTTGCATTTTATTCTAGCTAATTTGTGATAAAATTGTGAGTAGTTCTCTTTAGAATCCTGAAAAAAAAAATTGCTCTGTTATTCATGATTGGTCTAATGTATTATTAATAAAATTCTTTTATACCTTTTAGTTAGTTGTGTACCATGTAGTAATTGTCCACACTGTTGACAGAGCAAATAGCAAAGGGATGGGTCAAAATGTGCTTGTTGATTCTGAGATAGGAAGTCACTATCCAAAACTTGTGCTATATTTATATCAAACCCATTAAATGCATATTATACATTTAAGGTTTGTTTATTCTAGAAGTTAGTTCAGTCATAGGCAAAGTCTGACAGATATTAGCAACTAATGCCTATCTTCAAATAAAAGAATAAGTAGTGTAGTTTCTCTGTCAGTCTTAAGGATAGTTTAAATCTCTGATATTTATAATTTATGATTGACATTTTTTATTTAATTTAGTATTTCTCCACTTCTAGTTTTTGTGTTTTTTTTTTTTTTTTTTTTTAATATTTTATTGATTTCAGAGAGGAAGGGAGAAGGAAAGAGAGATAAAAACATCAATGATGAGAGAGGACCATTGACCAGCTGCCTCATGCATGTCCTCAACTGGGGATTGAGCCCACAACATGGGCATCTGCCCTTGACTGGAATTGAACCCGGGACCCTTCAGTCCATAGTCCAACGCTCTATCCACTGAGCCAGAACAGCTAGAGCCAGTTCTAATCTTTTTGAAGAAATATATATTGCTTTATCTCCCTGAAGCTTACTTTTTCCAAATAGTATTTGTCTACACATTATATGTTAGCTAATCATTCATTCCTCTCATAAACCTTATAAAGTTGCTCAGCATTATTAGTTATTAAGGAAATGCAAATCAAAACCATACTACAGATACCATTTCACATCTACTAGGGTGACTGTAATAAAAAAGACAGACAATAATTACTGTTGGCGAGGATGTGGAGAAACTGGAAACCTCATACATTGCTGGTGAGGATGTAAAATAGTACAACTATTTTAGAAAACAGTTTAGCAGTTATTCAAAAAGTTAAATATAGAGTTACTATATGACCCAGCTATTCCACTTCTAAGTATAATACCCACGGGAATTGAAAACATACGTCCACATAAAAACTTGTACACAAAAGTTCATTGCAGTGGCATTAATAGTAGCTAAAAAATAGAATGTCCATCAGCTGATGAATGTTCATCGGCTGATGAATAGATAACAAATGGTATATTCATACATTGAAATATCATTTGACAATAAAAAGGAATAAAGTTTTGATACATGTTACACAATGGATAAATATTGAAAACATTATGCTAAGTGAAGAAGCCAGACACAAAACCACATATTGTATGATTCTATTTATATGAAGTGTCTAGAATAGGCACCTCCATAAAGATACAAAGTAGATGAACAGTTGCCAAGGAACAGAGACATGTGTGTGTGGGGCTACTGCTAATGTATACAAGGTTTCATTTCAGGGCCATGAAGTGCTTGGGAATTAGATGATGATAGTTGTATAACTTTGTAAATATATTACTAACCACTGAGATGTACACTTTAAAAGAGTGAATGTAAAGTATGTTAATTATGTTTTATTTAAAAAAAGAGTATAACGAACAAAACTTACAAAGCAACTTTGATAAGAATGTTCTGTGTGTTAATATGTATTAGGCTTCAATCCGTCAGAGACCAAGATTCGAACACCTGATGGCAAAGTGTGGCAAGAGGCTGAGTTTCAAAACATGAGTAGAGAACTGTATCGAGACTTAGCACTTCACTTTGCAGGTGAGAGTAGAGCTTTCTAATATTTTTAGTGTTATATCATGCATGCTAGCTAACTTAAAATATTTAAACATAAAAATGGTCACCAAGCTAAAGATATTTCCCTTTTCTAACTACGTGGTATACTAAAGTGGTGGTGGTTTTAGTCATAAGGCTCTCTTAGCCTCTAGGCTCTGCTCCAGGGTTAAAATTAGCATACAGGGCTGATGTGACAGAAGTGAGGCTATTTTTAAACCAAGGGACTTAGAGAGTAGGGCCTGATTGAAGAAAATACAGCAGTCTAGTTATTCTACTAGATCTCTTGAGATCTTTGAAATGGTCAGAGAGTGATAGGCAGGCAGCAGTTAAGAAGATACATGAGGACAAAATGCAGGAAGAAAAATGAATCTTTAGGAAGGGAATAATGTTAAAGGATTGGAAATACGAGGTACTTCTGGAAGACAGGAAGAGGGGAATAGGAAGGTCATACTCATAATGTTATTAAGTATTGAACTCCTAGTTTAATTTTGGACAAGATTCTAGTATTTAGTATTCTGTGTTTTTACAGTTGAGGAAATAGAGACCCAAAGAGTAATTTTCCCAAGGTTTCATACAGTAGTTAAGAATTGAAGCAAAGTGGGGTAGGGGATGGATGGGAGGGGATAAAGACGGGGAAATGAGGACATCTATAATAATGTCAATAATAGAAAAAGGAATTGAAGTCAAGATTCAAAGCCATCTCTGACTATAAAGCCAGAGATGTTTCTAGTAAGCCTTCATAGAGTTCCTTCTAATACATTTGGTGGCATTTAAGTGTTCAGTCCAGTTTTCCTACTTTTAATTTTAGAGCACTGTATCAGAAATTCTTTTCTCTTGTGGAGAAAAAATATCCTATCTAATAAAGAGGGAATATGCTAATTGACTGTCACACCCTCAAGCCACAAAATAGTGGCTCCCAATTCCCTCAGCCCCACCTCATCCAGCCTCAGTCCCCCAGTCCCCTCAGCCCCTCAGGGGAAGGCATTTGGGGGCGGGAAGGACAGCAGGGGGGAGGCAATTGGGGGCGAGCAGGCAGGCAGGCAGAGTGGTTAGGGGCGATCAGGCAGGCAGGCAGGTGAGCAGTTAGGAGCCAGTGGTCCTGGATTGTGAGAGGGATGTCCAACTGCTGGTTTAGGCCCGATCCCACAGGGGTCCCGGGTTGGAAAGGGTACAGACTATGCTGAGGGACACCTCCTGTTCCCATGCACGAATTTCAGGCACCAGGCCTCTGGTCTGTATATAAAAGGCTAATATGCAGTGTCCCCTCGGGAATTCGACTGGGACAACGGTAGTTTGATCACTCTCTATGATGTGTGCTGACCACCAGGGAGCAGTGCGGAACGTGGCCGGCAATCAGGAAGGGCACTGAGGGAGTGAGGGAAAGAGGAGGTGGGAGGCAGGGAACCTGATCAGCCCTGATCGCTGGCCAGGTCTACGGACCCTACCCATGCACAAATTTTATCCACTGGGCCTCTAGTAATGTAATAGTTAAGAGTAAAGATTTTGAACCGAAACCCATTTGGCTTAGTGGATAGAGTGTCGGCCTGCGGACTGAGGGGTCCCAGGTTCGATTCCGGTCAGGGGCATGTACCTTGGTTGTGGGCACATTCCTGGTGGGGGTTGTGCTGGAGGCAGCTGATCAATGTTTCTCTCTCATCGATGTTTCTAACTCTCTGTCCCTCTCCCTTTCTCTCTGTAAAAAAAAAAAAAAAAAAAAAAAATCAATAAAGTAAAAAGTAAAAAAAACAACAACAAAGATTTTGAAATCAGCTTGCAAGGGTTCAAGTTCAGGCTCTGCCACTTACTAGATTGGCTTTGTGTACTGCCTATGTTACTTCCTTGGTTTTCTCATCTGTAAAATAGAGATAAGAACACTGTACCTCACAGGACAGTATCATTATAGATAATTAGAATGCTGTAGGTCAAAGAACTCTTAAAGAGGTTTCTCTGCTAAGATCAACCCATCCACTTGTGTATTTAAGAACATTACTTTAACCCAGTTTCCTTTCTTTTATATTATTAGGTTTTCTCCCTCTGGGAGGTCATGCCTTTCAACATAACTTACTATTTGATAACATGCTATTCTCTCAGCCATCAAAAAAGTACCCCTCTTTTGGCCCTATTCTCTTCAACTGCTGCCCTGTTTGTCTCCTATTTATAGCAAAACTTAAGAAAGTTGCCTTATACTCATCATCTCCAATTTTTCTCCTTCCTTTTACTCTCAAATTCTTTCTATTAGGTTTTTGCTTCTACTTCTCTGTAAACTGCTGTTATCAAGATCATCAGCTACTTCTACATTGCTAAATCCAGTGTTTAATTTTTATTTGTCATCTTGATTTCTCACAACACTGGACATGATTGAAACTCTTAAAACTCTTCACTGGACATTTAGGATACCATAAATGTTTGTTTTTCCTCCTCAGTCTGATTGCTCCTTTTCAGGTATTTTCTGATCTCTAAAAATTGGCCTGTCCCATTCTTAGTACTTGGATCTGTCCCCCTTTCCTCCCCTCTCCTCTTTTCCCCTCCCCTTTAAACTGTTATATATCTACATACACATGAACTTGTCTCAGGGCTTTAAATATTTGTTGTTGATGATTCCAAATTTATGTCTCTGTTCCAAACGTCTCCTTTGAACTCAGACTCTTATATCCAGTTGCTAACGCCACATCTTCCTTTGGCTATGTAATAGATTTCTTAAGCTTAATATATCTAAAATGGAGCTAACTAAATGGGGCCACTGTTCACCCCTTAAACCTATTCCTCTGGTAGTCTCTCCACCTCAGATAATCCCATTCTTCTCATTGTTTAGGCCCCTTGGCCCTCATATTTCCCTCATAACTTATATCTAATATTATCTGAAATGTACCGTATCTAAAATAAAACCACTTAGCTTGCCTCTGTCACTACCACCTAGCTCTAAGCCACCATCAGTCTCTTGCCTGGATTACTGCAGTTGCCTTCTAACTGGTGTCCCTACTTCTGCCTTTCATCTGAGTCTGTTCTCATCACAGCTGTTAGATTAAGCTTGCTAAAATTTAATTGAGATTATTTCAGTCCTTTGCTAAAAATCTTCCAAACTCTTTCCATCTCAATCTTGAGTGAAACCTGAAGTTCTTACAATGACCTATAAAACCCTACATGATCAGTATGTCTCTGGCCCCAATTATTGCAACTTTTCTCTTTTTTCACTTCATGCAAACTGGCCTCCTGCTGTTTCTTAGACATTTGGTATGCTCCTGCCTTTGACTCATACTTACTTCCACTTTGCCCAGAATTCAGAACTCTCTCTTGTCTATTTTAAAGTATATTTATTTATTTATTTGTAATGGAGGTTAATTCACACACACACACACACACACACACACACACATACACAAGCAAAAATAGATTTATAGTTGTGAATACGTGGAACAGAGTTTATTCCTGTATTATTTATTAAGTATTGTATTATTTATTTGTACTATATAAAACTACTTTTGCCCACCCCTGTATATATTCCCAGATTAGAATTGAAAAAATTAAGGAGTAGTAATTTGTACGTGAAATACTTGACATATTTCACTAACATAACTATAGAAGGGCCTAATTTAGGAATATTAAATATGTTATGAAGTTTTATTCTAGAAGTTCATTAATATCTCAGTTACATAGGAATTTTTAAATGAAATTGGAATCTGAGAAAGTGTTATCTCTTGAGATTCTATAAATGCTGTGGAAACTGGGTTAGAAAATATTATTGTTGAAGTTTCTTCCAGTTTGAGGAGTTGAGTTACATTTCTCAAGTATTTGCTGAAAAAAAAATAAATACAAAGGTTTGGAACCTAACGGTGGGATAGTGGTAATCCTTAGACCTTTCCATAAGAGGAATTGGCATTGGTAGCTTATGGGTCATAGCAATAGCCTCAGTGGAGAGTTATATAGTTTATATTGATTTTTCATACTGGGGGGAGGACGAGTAGGTGGATAGAAATAATTTTAATATTTGCTGTAAATGTTTCTGATTTTCAGAAGACACCTCTATGAAAGAGAAACCTGCTGAAAAAAGTAAAGAGAAAAAAGTGGTCAAGCCAGTACGAAAAGTCCAAAAGGTAGCACAATTTTCAAGTCCAGAAAGCAAAACAGGTTAGTTTTCTCAATATCATGTACCTCCTAAAGTTAGATATTACTGAAATATATCTACATGGAAATAAATATTTGTTAACCAGATGTTTTCATTGTTTGGCACATATAAAAATGGAATACAGTTTATATATCACTAGAGGCCCAGTGCACAGATTTGTACACTGGTGGGATCCCTCGGCCTGGCCTGCGCCCTCTTGCAGTCTGGGGCCCCACCAGTGCACAATCAAAGCTGGGGAGGGACCATAGGAGGACTCTAGGGCAAGTCCTGCCCATCTCGCCCCATCTCGATTGGCCAGACTCCAGCAGCGACCTACTGGCACATGGATTCATGTGCAGAGCTACTAGTTATAATATAAGAATTAACCTAGCTGAAACTGGTTTGGCTTAATGGATAGAGCGTTGGCTTGGGGACTGAAAGGTCCCGGGTTCAATTCCAGTCAAGGGCATGTACCTTGGTTGCGGGCATATCCCCAGTAGGGGGTGTGCAAGGGGCAGCTGATCAATGATTCTCTCTCATTGATGTTTCTAACTCTGTATCTCTCTTCCTTCCTCTCTATACAAAATCAATAAAATATATTTAAAAAAAAAAAAGAATTAACCTAAATATTAAAGAATGGTGAATGGTTAATTAAACTAGATTTCTACTAGATAGAGTACTGTGTGGCCATTTCAAATCACAATTTCCATAAGATATAACAGAAATGTTTTATAGAAAGCTTCTAAGAGAAAAAGATAAAATTTTATATATGCAATGACTACAATCACATATTATTATGATTTTAAAACTATTGTAAGGAAGTACACAAAATAATAGTAGTACTTTATTTAACTATGTGTAGTGTTTTCTATTTTTCAAGGTTTTTTTTGTAATGCTATTTTAATTGAATCTACCTATCTATCTAAAAGTGACCAAACCACCGGTCACTGTGATGCACACTGACCACCAGAGGGCAGATGCTCAACACAGGAGCTGCCCCCTGGTGGTCAGTGCACTCCCACAGCAGGAGTGCCACTCAGCTAACCGACCTGTCCAGGTGGCCCACCAGCCCAGCAGCAGCCACTCCCTCCCTCAAGAGTTCCCTGGTCCAATCTCTGGAGAACGGGCCAGGCCCAATCCTGAGAGCTGCCGGCCTCCTGGAAGTCGGCCTCAGACATCACAGCTGCTTCCCTTCCTTAGACGCTCCACAAGGAAGAAACTATAAAAGAGGCTGCCAGGTGGTTCCTAACCACCAGTGCAAAAGTCAGCAGGACAGATCTGGATCTCAGGCTGCCAAGGGCATCCCACTGCCCACCCAGATGACCAGTTGCATCCCGGCCCCCCTCATCTCCCTCCAGACAGGCACCAGATGCAGGGCTTATGGCCGCTGCGGCGATGCAAGCCTCTCCTGATCAGGACTGACTGGGTGCGAGCCGGACAGAGGCAGGCACAGTGGGGCCAGGATGAGTGGGAGTGCCAGACAGGAGCAGCAGGCAGCGTTGGACTGTGGGTTTCAGCCAGATTCCTGAAGGCCAATCCCAAGGAACCCCACCCATGTATGAATACATGCATCAGGCCTCTAGTTTATAATAAAAGACATTCCATTTAGAGTTTCTTTAAATGGGTCTTTAATTTAAAAGTTTAAATGCAAGTATAGTTTTAATGAAAACATCTATTATGAAGAAACATGAATTATAAATGTGTGCTATTTATTTTAGAAAAAAAATATTTTGCAACTTGTTATTAACCTTAAACAGTCTATCTAAAATATTTAAAAGATTTTACATCTATTACTCAATTTAATTATAAAGAACTTTATGCTTTTAAGCAAAATGAGAGAACAGGCCTCCCTTTAATTTCAGCTTAATTTTCTGGATCAAAAACAAGCAACCATAAAAATACTGGTAGTTATTTATAAATGTTGGCTTCTGAATATCTTCATTGGTTATTTCTGAATTCTGGCTTTCTGGAATAGTCTCATACAGTTACTGGTAGAAAAAGAGGACTTTCACTATAGATAAACTATTAATACAGCTTTTGAACATTTAATGACTGTCTCAGTCACTGCCCCAGTGTACACATAGGAATTAGCCTACCACAGACTGGAAAAATATAATCCAAGATCAGTGTTCAAAAGTTATAGTAGTTCAGTGTTTCATTTCAAACTATTCCTCTGATAACCATATTACATAGTATCTCATGAAAAATAGCATGCCTTATTATTATTTTTTTTATTGATTTCAGAGAAGAAGGGAGAGAGAGAGACAGATAGAAACATCAATGATGAGAGAGAATCATTAATCGGCTGCCTTCTATACACCTCACAGTGGGGAGTGAGCCCACAACCTGGACATGTGCTCTTGACCGGAACTGAACCTGGGACCCTGGCTGATGCTCTATCCACTGAGCCAAACCAGCTAGGGCTATTGTGTGTTTTTTAAAAAGAAACTATACACGTATGTGTATGTGTGTGTGTGTGTGTGTGTGTATGTTTTATACCCACTTATATTTCAACAAGCAATGCATAACTAGAAGATTCTATTATAATTCTACCAGCAATGACTATGAATGTAAAAATCATTTTTCTAATTTAATTAGGTTTAAAGGACTATTTTATTATTTTTATTCCACTTATTATATTTTCATTTAGATATATATAATTTTATGCTTATTTTTTATGGTTTCTATTTTATAAACAATCTTGTATCATTTATTGTTTTTAACTTACTGTCTATTTTGAGATGATGGTCTAATTTTAATTTTTGTACAATCTGAAAATAGTAAACTAAAAGTATTTCTCCTGAGAAACCACTGTATTTACTGGAACATTCTTTTATTTTTATGAATATTTATAATTGGGATAATTGAAAATGTTGATAGTATTTGTTTAATGTCATTATTTTATGCATAAAAATGTAGTGTGTAGTTTTGGTATATATCTGTGAAATTCCCTATAATATCATCACCTCCAAAGGTAATCACAGTTAATTGTTATATGTTATATACTTATTTAAATTATTTTTCTAAGCTTAGATTGAGTTCAGCAAACATACATTTTATTATGTGCCAGATACTGTGCTAGTGTGGATATACCATACACTTTTATAGATAACAATATTTTTGTTCTGTGGAAAAATTGTTGGATTCAGTGACCTAGTTTTTGAGGTTTCTGTTATCATTATTAATATTTGGTACTTAACTGTGTGTGGGTACATCAAGATTTAAACAAACATTTTTTATTTTGGAGATTTAGGGTTAAAAATTAGATTATAAATCTTTTGACTTTGGCATAAGATAAGCATTAAGAAAATTAGAAAACCTGTATGATTGAGTAGATATACTTTTTACAACTAAATTTTAAATTCAATACTTATATTTTAGGTAGCAGTCATCTGATAAGTACATCTTCTTGGCGAGATGGACAGAAATTAGTAAAGAAGATTCTGGGACCTGCACCCAAAATGGAGCAAAAAGAGCGAAGAACAGTATCAAGTGACAGAAGTGGAAGAGAAAGAACTACTAAATCTGGTAAGTAATCGAATTATTACATTATCTCAATAATTAAAATTTGCTTATGTAAGTACTTAAAGAGGGAGAAAATACTCTTTTGGTATTGACTTTGCTTTATATGTAAAATTGTGAATGTAGCTCAAAAAAGAAGACATTCTAGCCGAAACTGGTTTGGCTCAGTGGATAGAGCGTCTGCCTGCGGACTGAAAGGTCCCTGGTTCGATTCCTGTCAAGGGCATGTACATTGGTTGCGGGCCCATCCCCAGTAGGGGGTGTGCAGGAGGCAGCTGATCGATGTTTCTCTATTATTGATGTTTCTAACTCTATTCCTCTCCTTCCTCTTTGTAAAACTTAATAAAATATTTTTTAAAAGTAATAAAAGATGGATTTTTTTCTAAAGCCAAGGAAGCATAGTGTTTCAGAATATAGAAATTCTCCTATTGTTAAAAAAAAGATGTTTTTGTTTCCTTCTAGAATATTTTTTAGAAAACTTTATATGATGTTTAAATTAGAGTTTAAGATAAAGGGAAATTTGTCATTGAATGCAATAAATTTTAGGAAAGAATACAGAATTTTAATACATCACTAACAATTCATCCTTTGCAGGAAGTCATATTGGAAGAGCAGAATCTGATCCCAGGTTGAATATTTCACATAGACATCTTCCACGAAACTCAGAACGTTCAAGAAGTAGAGCTCGGTCTGAAAATAATATAAAGAAATTAGCTCCATCTCTTCCAGATAATAAACAGGAGGAAAATACTGCCTTAAATAAAGACTTTTTACCTATTGAAATTCGTGGAATTCTTGATGACCTACAGCTGGATTCTGCAGTTCAGGCAGCAAGGCAAGAGGGAGAGTTACAAAATCAGAAGTCATCAGCACCAATACAAGCTTGGAGGAGTCATAGCTCAATAAAAAGAAAACCTGACAAAATAACAACTAATGAAGAGCCCCCTGTTATTTCTAAAAAGCGCCACTATGACTCAGATGAGGTACGACAGTACATTGTTAGACAGCAGGAGGAAAGGAAGAGGAAGCAAAATGAAGAGAAGAAGGCTCAAAAGGAGGCCACTGAGCAGAAGAACAAACGATTACAGGAGCTCTACCGGAAGCAGAAAGAAGCCTTTACTAAAGTAAAAAATGTACCACCTCCTGAGCCATCAGCAACTAGGCGTCTACAGGAAACTTACTCCAAATTGCTACTAGAAAAGACCTTGCTTGAAGAGCCGTCTCATCAGCATACTATGCAGGAAACACAGGTAATAGTAGTGACAGAAATACAAAGGGAAGTAATTTATGGTTAGAAAAAGATTATTTGCTGTACTGTTTAAAAATTAGCAACCATTTCTGTATGCTCAGGCAAAATTTGTAATGATGGACTTTCATGAAATTTATTGTATTTGAAGAGTTATTTGATAAATATGATTGAGTGTAAGTTCTCAATTAGAGATTTTCTATTTCTCTGTTACCGATCTGTTCCATTTCATCATTCATTGCTAGTTTTCATTGTATTACTGAGCACATGAAGTTAGCTAGATTATGATAATGAAAGCCTAGTTCTAATTCATTGTAGTAATTTTATGAGTATTGCTAATGTTTTTTAAAATAAGAGTAACATTAAGTGTGTACCATTTCATTTTAAAGGTTTTTACAGACTTAGGTTTGGTAAATTTTCACAAGTCTGAGAAGATGTAGATACTTACTAGTTTTTTACTTATCTGGTGAAAAACAGGTTTAGAAAGAGTGTAATATCCTCTAAATTATGCAGTTAATATTACGTTCCCTTGTTGGATTTCAGGTATAAATTTGCTATTAATTATAATGGCTGTTTTTAAAACAAAGTTTAAATGGGTTTTATTTGACAGGGGAAAAAAAGCCTCTACATTTCCTGATTTTTGTAAAGGTGAAATGATTTAATATTTGTCTCATGGTGATTGGAATCAGATGCATTTGATGTGCTTTTCTTCCTAGACCAGACCAGGGTATCAGCCATCTGGAGAATCTGACAAAGAAAACAAAGTGCAGGATCGTCCCCCAAGTGCATCTTCCAGCAGTGACATGTCCCTGTCAGAACCACCACAGCCTCTTGCAAGGTAAAAAAAAGGAGAATAAAGATGATCAAGGGTCTCTCTTCCATAAAATTCAGTATAGTGGTCTATGCTCAGTTAATTTTGTTGACTGACTTATGTGAGCAAGAGGTTTGTTTAGAAATTGGTTTATATCCTCCAATGGAGATTTAAGCATGGTTACACTTCTACTTACTGCATCTTCTATTCTATTCAACTTTTACCTATCTTTTAATATCCAAAGTAAATGTTAGTTCCTCTTGGGGATTACCTATAAGCTCTTACTTTGAACTAAACACAATAAAAGTTTGTTGGATGAATGAATCACAGTGAAATTAATATTTTAAAGTATTTGTAGTAAATAACTTTTTAAAAGCACCTCTGTATCTATTAAATCAAAATTTCTTCATACAATATATCAGTTTATTCATCTTACCTCTCAAAAATTATATTTGGAGATGTATATGAACACATGAATAAGGGCTAAAGGGATTTGATTTAATGCCAGATTGGTGATTGAGAGCTATTGAGAATCCCTAGCTTCCACATGCCCTCACTCCTCTATTGTCTGTGTCAATTGGTTATGTTTATATGCATGCATACAAACAAGTCCTTTGGTTGATCTCTTACCACTCTCACCCCCAATGCTCTCCTGCCTTCCCTCTGAAGTTTGACAGTTTGTTTGATGTTTCTCTAATATTTATCAATCTTAGCATTCTCTTTTATGTAGCATTATTTTTAAAGGGCAGTGTAGGGCCAAGGTTGTAAAAAATTTTATCCACAGTCTTAAAGGTAAGAATGCCTTCTTTTTCATGAAAATATTTCAAAATATCTTAGTTGAAGAAAGCAGTTTGCAAAGCAGTATGTATGGATGATAAAATTATATTTTTGTGAAATTAACACCAAAACATTACATACACATAGAAAAACATTTGGGAAGATATAATTCTAATTGAAATATTAATAGTGCCTCTTTATCATTGTTTAGCTGTGAGTGAACTTTATCTTTCTTGTCCCCTTTGCCTGTCCTTTTTTTTTTTCTTTTTTGCAGTGAATGTACATTACTCTTATAATCAGAAAAGAACAAAACTTAAAAAAAAATCCAGTAGCTTAGTTATGAGTTGCTGTGTTAACAAATATATTGTGATTTTCATTTGCAGAAGGGACTTGACAGAACCTACATGGGTGCAGCCTGATAGATTGAGCCCACGTGTCCATCATTCTCAACCACAGCCTCTTGTTGGAGCAGCTGGAAATTTACTCTCCCATCTCTTGAGTCTAGAGCATGCAGGATTTTTGCATAAGAATTTGGAATCTATTTTACCAACCAGGAAGAACCATAATATTGCTTCAGGGCCATTAACTTTCACACCTCAACCATATCTGACCTCATCAGCTGCTCATCAAGATGCCTTGTTAAAACCTAGTGCCAGCCAATATAAGAGTAAACTTGATCGTATTGAAGCCCTGAAAGCAACAGCTGCTTCTTTGTCCAGCAGGATTGAAAATGAAGCCAAGAAATTAGCTGGGGCTAACATTAATTATGGGTCAGTGTGGAACACTGAGTATGATGTGCAACAAACACCCCAAGAAGAGGGACCTTGGACAAAGGTTATAAGTCCACCTGTGAAAGAGGATACTGAAGATGTTTTCACTGCCAGAATTCAAAAGATGCTAGGAACCTGTGTATCTCATGCAACTTTTGATGATGAGCTTCCTGGTGTAGGCAACCTTAGTGAATTTAAAAAGCTTCCTGAGATGATAAGACCTCATAGTGCCATATCAAGCTTCAGAATTAGATCCCCTGGTCCCAAACCAGAAGGGCTGCTGGCACAGTTGTGTAAGAAGCAGAGTGACTCTTCTAGCTCCGATCTGCAGCCTTGTTCTCAACACAAAGCCAAAAAGTCTCTTGGTTCCAGCACAGACTCAGTCAGTGAAGGGCCTCTTCTTAGTGAGGGGAGTCTCTCTGAAGAAGAGGGAGGCCGGGATGGACGGCCCTCTTTGAAGATAGCAGAAATCTTAAAGGAAAAGGAATTTTGTGCTGGAGAAAGAAATGCTTATGAACCCATCAAACAGTTTCAGAAGGAAGCTGAAAAATTCTTACCACTTTTGGGTCACATAGGTGGTACACAAAGCAAAGAACCATGGGAAGAATTGGCAAAGGGAAGTCCACGTAGTGTCATTAATATTTTCACAAAATCATATCAGTCATATGGAAAAGGTGAGAAAAATAAGTAAGCTTTGTAATATTTGTATATTATCTTAATTATTTCATAATTCTATAAAGATAATACTTAAGTACAAATTTTCATTGTTAATAATGAGGGTAATGGAAACATTGTATCAAAATTATCTGCCAGCTTCAATTAGAGTATAGTAATTTAATATTTAAATTTTTATTTTTAGTTTTTAATGTCATAAAACAATCGTTGATTGATAATTATAGAAACTTTGGTCTAATTAGAGAAATTCATAAATGATGTTGAAGCTTGGTATGTATACTAGATTTTCTCTGATCATAGAAATGTAATTTATATAGTAAGTATATTTCTTAATGCAGTAACTTGTGAATTATTGGGAATATAGTGGTCAGGAATTAAGAAGGGCAACAATAGTAACATTTCTGATAATGAAAACAAATCTATTTCTGTTTGTCAAAACTAATTTTAAGAATAGACTTTGAAGCCAAAACCGGTTTGGCTCAGTGGTATAGCGTCGGCCTGCGGACTGAAAGGTCCCGGGTTCGATTCCGGTCAAGGGCATGTACATTGGCTGCGGGCACATCCCCAGTGGGGGATGTGCAGGAGGCGGCTGGTCGATGTTTCTCTCTCATCGACGTTTCTGGCTCTCTATCTCTCTCCCTTCCTCTCTGTAAAAAATCAATAAAATATATATTTAAAAAAAAAAAAGAATAGACTTTGAAGATTAATGTAGCTCTATAGTTGGTTCCTGAAACAGTAACTTCTAAAGGTCCCTGCTTGGCCTAAGATTCTGCAACAGAATTTTTTATAATGGACTCAGTTCCTTCAAGCCCTTTCATTGTTCTTACTGCCATAGGTGGATTCAACAGTCTTATGTTTAACCTAAGAATTTCAGGTTGGAGAGTGATGCTGAGCTTTAAGTCAACTATTAGTACTGTGGTTTTTTAAATTTCCATTTCACACAGTGAACAACTTATTTGGCAAATGGAGTGATTTCATCTGTTCATCTTATGCTTAATTGGGTATCACATTGAGTTTCCCCTGAATTCATATTTAGCTACTTTGTTATGATCATATGTAGACTTATATAGGCTATTGATATCTTTGATTTAACACATTATTATAGAAGGTAATTTTTAAGTTTGTTGGATTTTAAAGTTCTTTTGAAGAAAGCAAAGTGTTTTTAAATCAACATCCTTATTTGGTTAAATAAGAAATTTGGGTTCTTAATCCTTTAGATTTTCATTAATATTTTATAGTTATACTGAAATATTTACAGTTGAAATAATATGTTTTCTTGGATTTGGTTCAAAGTAATCTGTAAGAGGAATGAGAGATGGGAAGAATAGGAAATTTAATTGAAATTAGATTGATCGTGTATTGATAATTGTTAAAGTTGGGTGATGGATACTTCAGTTTCATTGTGCTAGTCTCTGTTTTCATTCATGCTTGAAAAGTAATAAAAAGTTAAAATGTATTGTTAGAAACAAAGGTAAATTGAAAAGAAGCACTAATAAAAGCAAATAAAAATATCCTTAAATCTTTGTTGTTAATCCCCATGTGTGGAATGTTTTGCTTGTGGTATTTTTATCTTTGTTTTAAAACACATCTCAACTATTACTTTTGACAGGGTTTGAAGACAGGTTCGAAAGAGGAGCATCAACATCACAGCCCTTGAATGCCAGCACAACTCCTCTAAGCAGTGTTTCATATGAGGATGATTTTGTCTCCTCTCCAGGAAATGGGACTTTGACAGAAAAAAACCCAGCTCTTGAACCTAAGTAAGAATAAGTTGACAATGTGGAATGAAATCTGAAAAATGAGAGAAATTTAAAAAAGAGAGCTGTAATCTGAATATTAGGCAGATTTTGCTTGCTTAAAGATACATTTTGAGGTTTCATAGCACTGGTTTTTTTGTTTTGTTTTTAAATATATTTTATTGAAGGGAGAGGGATAGAGAGTTAGAAACATTGACTCCTGCACACTCCCCACTGGGGATGTGCCTGCAACCAAGGTATTTGCCCTTGACCAGAATTGAACCTGGGACCCTTCAGTCCACAGGCCAACTCTCTATCCACTGAGCCAAACCAGTTAAGGTAGCACTGGTTTTTAAGAACACAGGTTCTGGATTCAGACTTTCTGGTTTTAAGTCCAGGTTCTCCTGATTATTTGTCGTTTGTCTTTGGGTATATTACTAACCTCCCAATGCCACAGTTTTCCTCCCTGTGAAATGGGAAAGAATAACAGTACTTATCTCATGGAGTGTTATGAATATTCAGTTAAATACAAAGTACTTAGAACAGGGCCTGGCACATAGATAGTACGCCTGATATAGGTTGTTAAATCAATCTGTGAGTAGAGGATCGTATTGGGGAACTAGTCCACATTATACTAATGTAAGAAGATTAAGAAATGGTTTTCTGTGATAGATAGATCCTTGACTTCATGATCCAAAGTAATCAGAAAATTTCTTTTACAATTGGGATAACATCTAAAATTTTGCAAAACATTGAAAAATAACTATTATTAGTATTTATTGGTCACTTAATGTGCAAGGCACTGAGAAGACTGAGGGGGCTTTACCTGTATTTGCTCATTCTTTTTTGTTGTTAGTTTTATTTTTTATTTTTTTAATATATTTTATTGATTTTTTACAGAGAGGAAGGGAGAGAGATAGAGAGCTAGAAACATTGATAAGAGAGAAACATCAACCAGCCGCCTCCTGCACACCCCCTACCAAGGATGTGCCCGCAACCAATGTACATGCCCTTGACCGGAATCAAACCCGGGACCTTTTAGTTCGCAGACCGATGCTCTACCCCTGAGCCAAACCGGTTTCAGCTGTTGTTGTTAGTTTTAAATGTATTAATGGTTGAATGAAATAGTAATGATGTTTTTAGCATTTAAAATGAGATCAGGGGTCTGGACTCATGGCGTTCTAGAAATCATAAATACTATGTAAATGAAATTGTGTCCCCTGTAGGTAATCTGAGAAACTCACAATATTACAAATGTTACACTTTCAAAGAAGGAATCTTTAGATGGTGAATTCTGGAAACTAAAAGACCAAGATTATTGATGCTTAGGTACAGTGTAGAATAGTTGCTGTTGTTGTTTTTATTATTTCTCACCAGAGGATATTTTTCATCGATTTTTAGAGAGAGTGGAAGGGAGGGAGAGAGAGAAACTTTGCATTGATGGGTTGCCTACTGTATGTGCCCGATAGATACTTCAAGGATCTATCTGGTGCTCAGACTGGAGCTGGAGATAGAGCCTGCAACTGAGATATGTGCCCTTAACCAGAATCAAACCCAGGACCCTTTAGTCTGTGGGCTGATGCTCATCCTAGCCAAACCGGCTAGGGCTAGAATAGTTTTTAAACAGTAATTTATAAGCAATGAGAAGAAAAGTAATGATATTCATATAGCTACAGTGATTCATCCCGTGATTCGGTCTTCTAAGGTGTCAGATACTCTTTGCAGGAACTCCAGAGTTTCCTCTGACCCATGTGGTGCTGTGTCTTGAGTCTGTGGTGTTGGTGTCCAGTGAATGCCCCTGATAGTTTAGCCTTGCCAGGAAGCGAGCCAGAGACACTTTTGCTTGCTTCAAGTGGCACCATGTTGCTGAGATGGTCCAATTTACTTCATTAGACACTCAGGAGGTGACTCCACAGGCCCTGGAGGTGCCTACACAAACCTAAGTGCTTCCTCTGCTCCTCCTTTTCAATATGAACAACAAACCACACACCTTTTGCCTCCAGATGCCCTCCCCTCCCCCCCCACCCTGCCAGCCTGGTCTCCCCATGCAGCCTTGGTCATCCCTCACTAACTTCCCTGCTGGCCTGGTTGTAGGCAGCCATCTTGTGAGGGCGTGAGGGTTAATTTGCTTATTACCTCTATTATATAGAATTCCTACTTCAGAAAGTGAAGCACTAAGTTACTTGTACAAAGTCATACAGCAAGTGAATCAGACTTTTCCTAATTTTCTTACTATATAAAGTACTCTGTAATTACTTACATTCAATATAATTTTCTTGAAAAATTACAAATTGTAATTTACATAAAATTATTGGATGGTTTTTTAAAAATAGTTATATCTAGGTTGGACTCACAAAAATAAGTATTATTAAAATTATATATCAGGAAAAGTGTAGTTTAAAATTTTGAGCTCTTAGGAAAAGATTAAATTTTAAAATAAAAACTTGTAAGGATTTAATTATGATATTTAATATTACCAATTAATATGATTTATTACATTTTATTTTTAGATTAAAGTAGAACATATTAAATTGTTGTTCCCTGTAAGGTTGTCAAAAGAAAAATAATAGGGGAAAAGGAAAATAATAATCACATATTAAAGTATAAATCTGAATAGAAATTGAGGCTGCAGTTTCTAGTATCCAACATATTTTTTTCTCTTGTGTCTAAATTATCCATTTTTATTGGTTTCACTTTAATAAACAACTCTCTGATATTTTTCTCCGTAATAAATTGAGTCATAGGAAAGGACTCTGGCTTATAGTAGTAAGAAAACAAAAAAGAAAAGTGGAAGGCATCTTTGAGTATAATTATATTCTCCTTGTGATCAAATAGATCTAAAATATCTATACATTAGCTGCATTTTAATACTTGTTATTTCTTTTTTTAACCACTGTTATTCTTTGACAGTATTGGTGGTAGCATTTTGGGTACTAAAGAGGACCATTCTAGCAGGAAGTCAGCCTATGATCTTTCCTCTGTGGATGTTACTTCCCAGCATTCATCAGGGACCCAGTCTGCTGCATCTTCTTGTTCATCTACTTCTTCTAAAGGAAGAAAAGGAAAAAAGGAAAAAACAGAATGTAAGTGGAATTCTCCATGGGGACTTTTTCTCGTGCCAATGATTTTGTGGTAGTGACCTAAAGTTATTTTATTCCATAAGCAGTTAGGTGAGTTTCTTTATAATAATTTAACTAGCTTTCATATTATTGTAGTAATACCTTTTGATATATAACAGTATAAATCTAATGCTTTATACAAAAGGAATACATTTGCAATGATAAAAATTTAAGGATTGTAGATACACCATCATATAAGAAATTCCCATTGAGCCCTCTGCTCAGCGATAATTACTATTAATACTTGATGCCTATTTTTTCAATTCTATGTAATAAAACCCTAATATGCAAATTGACCAAATGGCAGAACAGCTGGTCATTATTACGTGCACTGTCCCCCTGAGAGGGAGGTGACCAGTGGTGGTGATAGGGAACGGGGCTGGCCCACGAGCAGCGACAGGTCGCCAAACAAGGTGGGTGCCAGCGGGGGCCCCTCAATTGCCCTACCTGCTGGTCATCCCACAGATGACCCTGATTGCTGGCCAGGCCTAGGGTCCCTATCTTATATATTGGGAACAGTCTCTTAGATTTAAAAATTAAAACCCGGCAAGGCTACTCTAACACTGAAAACACAGGATGATGCAATGACAATATGCAAGGATTCTAGCTTACACATTTTGTGGTCAGCCCTGATTCTGACATAACTGTGTGACAAAGCCAATTACTTAACTTCTCTCTGCTTCAGTTTTTCCACCCATAAGATGGGGAAAATGGTACTACTGCCTCAGAAGGATCATGTTATGTACTACTTTTTGTAATCAGGGCAAAAAATGTAGCTGCCCATACAAAAGCAAGTTGCCTTTCACTTGTATGAAAAGTATGGACATTAGTGTATGCAGCATCCTGAATTGTGAGAAGGATGTCCGACTGCCAGTTTAGACCCAACATCCTCTGAGAGGTCCCAGATTGCGAGAGGATGCAGGCCGGGTTGAGAGGACCTCCTCCTGTGCACGAATTTCGTGCACCAGGCCTCTAGTATATACATAAAAACACATACTTCCCCCTAACCAGTGGCTTCAGTTGTTAGAGCATTATCCCATATACCAAGAGATTGCAGGTTTGATTCCCTGTCAAGCCACATACCTAGCATGCAGATTTGATCCCTGGTCAGGGTGTGTACAGGGGCGTAACCATCTATGTTTCTCTCTCTCATTGATGTTTTTCTCTCTCCCCCTTCCTCTCTCTATAAAAAAGTCAGTGAGGAACATATCCTTGGGTTAGCATGAAAACAAAACAAACAAACAAACAAATACACATCTTTGCTTTAAAAAGAAATAAAATCATGTTTTGCAGCGGCTTTTAAAAAGACTTCATAGTATGTCATGTACATCTGTAAGTGTCATTACATATAATAGAGGCCTGGTTATATGAAACTGTGCACTGAGCTGATTTTGGCCTGATCCCTGCAAGCCACGCCAAGCGACCCTGGGCCTCTAGTGGGCATATAAGACATTTGGTTAATCTCTTCCACCCTTTCCCTCCCCCACTTCCCTCTGAGATTCATCAGTCTGTTACATGTTTCCAGGCCTATGTGTTGAGCGTCTGCCCCCGATGGTCAGTGTGCATCATAGTGAATGGTCAGACACTTAGCATATTAGCCTTTTATATAGAGAGACATTCAAATTTTCTTAACTGAAAAATAAAGATGATAGCAATAGATGTTTCATATGCAACTGGTCCTTGGGCCACTCTATATATTTTGAGTGATTGAAAAGAATACCATTCAGTCCCCTCCATTCTTCTCTTGGTTATGTTGCCAGAGATGTGAGAAGATAGAATAAATAGGCAGAGGCCTCTTAAACTCATAGGATGATCTTTAGGGAATGATTTTCTTCCAAATTGTTTTTTTCTAAATGTAAAAAATCGTTCATTGAGTTAAAAAAAAAAAAAGGGTGGAGGGGGGAAAAGGCTGTAAATATAGACAACTATTTAAAAATTAAAAATAAGCTAACAAGTGTTAACTTTCATTTTAGATTTTATCTTATTATACTAAAATATATATACTGTAAACCTTATCATTTTAACTGTTTTAAGTGAATAGTTCAGCCCATTAAGCACATTCACATTGTTGTGTAACCATCACCACTATCAATTTCTAGACCTTTTTCATCTTTCCAAACTAAATCTCTGTATCCATCCTAATATATAAAAACCCAGGGTCCATAACGACCAACCGAAGGCTCAATAGAACACGGACTCCCAAGGGGGATGTGGATCAGGCCTGGAGAGAGGCCTGAAGAGAGAGGCAGGGTCTGATCCACAGCCTCTGTGGCAGCTGTTGATCAGCCATTGCCTCTCTTTTTCTCTCTGAGCCTCCATGGGGCTGCTGATCAGCACCACCTTTTTGATCAGGACTGGAGATAGGCCTGGAGTCACTGACTGGCATAGAAACAGACCAATCAGAACCAAAACTGGGTGAACTGTGAGGAGCCACTGGCTGCCTAGGAGGAGAGCTTTTGATGCTGACTGGCATAGAAACTGACCAATCATAACCAAATCTGGGTGAACTGTGAGGAGCCACTGGCTGCCTAGGAGGCAGAGCTTTTGAAGCTGACTGGCATAGAAACTGATAATTCAGAACCAAATTGGCTGGCAGGGGAGGGCAGTTGGGGGCAACCAGGCTTGCAGGCAGAGGGAGTTGGGGGTGAGATCAAGCCAGCAGGGGAGGGCAGTTAGGAGCAGTAAGGCAGGCAGAGGCAGTTAGTGACAATCAGGCAGGCAGGCAGGTGAGAGGTTGAGCCAGCAGTCCCAAATTGCGCGAGGGATGTCTGACTCCCGGTTTAGGGGATTAGACCTAAACTGGCACTCAGATGTCCCCCAAGGGGTCCCTAATTGGAGAGGATGCAGGCTAGGCTGAGAGAATCCCTCTCCCCCGTGCATATATTTCATGCACTGGGTCACTAGTTAAACAATAATTCCCCATTTCTCTCTTCTTCCAGCCCCTGCTAACCATTGTTTTCTATATCTATGAATTTGGCTCTTCTAGGTACTTCATTTAAGTGGCATCATACAATATTAATCCTCTTGTATATGGCTTATCTCATTTAGTGTAATGCCCTCAAGTTTCATCAATATTGTATCATTTATCAGAATGTCCTTTAAAAAAAAAAAAATATATATATATATATATATATTGATTTCAGAGAGGAAGGGAAAGGGAGAGAGAGATAGAAACATCAATGATGAGAGAGAATCTTTGATGGGCTGCCTCTATACGCCCCCTACTGGGGATTGAGCCTGCAACCTGGGCAGGTGTCCTTGACCAGAATCGAATATGTGGACTCTTCAGTCCACAGGCCGATGCTCTATCCACTGAGCCCCACCTGGGGCTATAAATGTATCTTTATGTGTTAGTCTGGTTCTTTTCTTTAAGGTAATATCCTAGAAGTTAATTATTGGGGCAAACAGTATGCCATGTTTAAAATTTAGATACATTTTGCCAAATAACTCCAGAAAGCCAGTGTCATTTTATACTTCCAATATGAGAGTGCTAGCAGAAATTATTTCTTAATTATCAACCTAGTCATAACTCTCTTACAGATTGGAAACATTCTGAAAATCTTTAGTAGGAACATTAGACATCATTTTATCAGCACTTTCCAGAGTCTGTCTTTTCTTGTAAAAAACTTATTCAGTGGGAGAGGCTGTTGCACAGCTGTTTTGAGGCTTATGAAAGAACTACATGGTTCTGTATATTTGGGGAAATACTTTTAAGAGTGAAACAGGCCTCTTACCTACCAATTCATCAACACTTCTAATATGCTAATACGCATTATTTACTTTAGGAAGATTGTGAAGCCATGTAGTATGAAATTCTATCCAAATTTATTTGACCACAGACTCATTTCTTCAACTAGCATGTTATGACACTAGAAGTCATATTGAACACATTTTGTGAAATGCTGATCTTGCTCAATTCTTTTATTTAGCAATTTTATGCTTTGTTTACATTAGTGTCTCACTTAAAGTTAGTTATTGGCAAAGCCTGAATTCTGACTTCTAAATCTCAACCTTTTACTATAATATACTGTACAATTTAAAATATCATGATATATTATTGAATAGGAGTATAAGCAATATGATTTATTATAGGTTTTTAAAATTTATAACATAAAACAGGATGATATGTAGTATAGGTAGTGTTTTGTGGCTTTCAGATTCCCAATGCCCTTTAACATAACAATGCCTTAGAAATACTCTATGTATTTTACTTTCCACAGCATCATCTTAAACTTTCTTCTTTATCCCCAAGTTATAAAATCAGTATAATTTTTGTGTGTACTCCATCTGGTGGTGAAAAGGAGTGTCTACATGCTCTGTGCAAAAAGCTTCCCAGTGCAGTTGAAAGTAGTTAGTAGATTAAAGTAGCAGTCATCATTCCATACTAAACTCTGTACCCATTAAAAAATGACTTCCCATTCTTCCTTCCCTTACCCCCGTGGCCATCATTCTACTTTTTTTGGGAAAATATATTTTTTTTAATGTTTATATTGATTTCAGAGAGAGTAGGGAGAAAGGGATAGAAACATCAATGATGAGAGAGAATCGTTGATTGGCTTGCTGCATATCCTCTCCCACCCACACTGGGGATCAAGCTTGCAACCTGGGCATGAGGCCTGACTGGGAATTGAACTGTGATTTCCTGGTTGAACTTAACCGCTGGGCACCATTCTTTCTGTCTATGAATTTGACTAGGAAATTTAACCATTGTTAAGTGCACACATAGTTGAGTAGAAATAAGTAATCTTACTTATTGTATAGGTATTACCATTATGCATCTCCACAACTATTTCATCATCCCAAACTGAAACTCTTAACTTATTAAATAAAGTTTATGCTCCCAGCCCCTCTTCCCTGACTCCTGGTAACAGCTGTTTTACTTAGTGTCTCAATGAATTTACCCATTCTATGTACCTATATAAATGTATAATCATAGAATATTTGTTCTTTTCTGGCTGGCTTATTTTACTAAGAATAATGTCTTCATGCATGTTGTACCATGTCAGAATGTTCTTCCTTTTTAAGGCCAAATAATATTTTACTGTATGTATATAGGTACCACTTTTTAGTGTTTGTTATACATTCATCAAAGTGTTGAAGGATACTTGGGTTGCTTTTACCTTTTGGCTGTTGTGAATAATGCTGCTATCAATATGGGCTTACAGTATAAATTTTTTTAACTTTTCCATTTTCTTTTAATTGTTAACCATGCCTATATTTAAAAAAATTGTTTAGTTGCCATTAAAATGCAGTTCTTTGTTCTGCTTTTTTTTTTTAATGTGACAAATATTTTCCCATGCTGCTATTGAGACATATCATCAAGGTGAATAATGCACTAGATGTAGAGTCATAAGGCCTGGGTTTATGTCTTATTTCTGCTGTTGACCATGTATCCTTAAGCAAGTAGTCTCATAGATCTCTAGTTATCTCAGCATTAAATGAGCATATGCTACTCACTTCATAAGATGTTTAAAGGCAATCAGCCGAAACCGGTTTGGCTCAATGGATAGAGCGTTGGCTTGGGGACTGAAGGGTCCCGGGTTCGATTCCGGTCAAGGCATGTACTTTGATTGCGGGCATATCCCCAGTAGGGGGTGTGCAAGAGGCAGCTGATCGATGACTCTCTCCCATCGATGTTTCTAACTCTCTATCTCTCTTCCTTCCTCTCTACAAAAATCAATAAAATATATTTTTAAAAAAATGTTTAAAGGCAATCAGGTAATATATATGGAGTGCATTTTAAGTTACAAAGTGCTATTTAAATGTTTACTATTATCTGTGTAATTTAGACAACTCTTCTGTTGCAAATGTAAACTTTAAAAAATTATATAAAGTTGTTCATGGAATATTGTGCATAATTTTTGTTGGTGTCATAATCTCTTTAAGATACTCCTATAGGTGAAATTATTCTAAGAATCTGAACAGTTTTATGAATTTGGCTATATAGTTCTTGTCCTAGAGTTTTTCAAAAGGATTGTGTAGTCCAGTTGGCAGCTGATAACATTTTTGGCAGGTTTTGGTTTTACCCTTGTAAGACTTCTTTTTGTTTACTTTTTCATAGGCGTAGAATAGTACTATATACTTACATTTTTTAATCATTTTATTTAAGAACCATTTATTTTTAATAGCAAATAGGGGGTGTTAATGGAAGAAACTTCACTTTCCTAAAGTGAAAACAGAAAGATATGAAAAACACATTTTAAAAATAAGCCCACTTTTAAATATTCTGTTCTGTACTTATTATTTTACTGAAATCTGGGTATCTATCAATTACCATTCAGTCTCTTCTACTGAGAATCAGCTTTATAATAAATTTATTTTATAGGGCTGGATTCACTCACTGGAAATGTTCAGAGCTCACTTCTTGAGGAAAAAGTACACTCTGGCTCAGAACGTGACTCTCATCAAGAGAAGAAATCTGAGACCAGTAGCAAACTCTCTGTCAAGGATTATGAGCAGACTCTTGATACAGATAGCACTTTGGAGGATCTTTCTGGGCATTCTGTGAGGTAAAGTAATGTATATTTTATACTGTAATTCATTTTAATTAAACTTACAATATTATTGAAGTCCAGTGAATCCATTTAATGAATTTCTGTATTTTATGAATAGATACTGTAGCTTCATTCATAGCTCTAGTTTTTATATATATTTTAGAGTGGCCAACTTTCATGTAAACTATTAACAACCTCTCTCCCTCAGGAATTCTCTGCCTCTAGCACAACCCACATTTCTATTCTAAATGCCATTGCCATAGTTATTTTCTTAGTTTAACCCTTTGACCAAGCAACTACTTTCCTTAGGGTACTTTGGTAGCTCACAGTTACCCCACACATCAATTCTAAGAACTTAGCTTTATCCGAAGTGTTTTCACTAAGCTAAGTTTATTTTCACAAACTCTCTTATTTCCTTTATCTATACCTTTTGCTTCTCAACTGTTTTCTTTTACCCTTGTAACACAACTGTGTAGCTATCTTTTGATCTCATTGTTGTTTTTTCTCGAACTTTTCTCTCCTGCTCAATTTAGATGACTCAAGCAGATTTTGAAATCTCATTTTTATATTGATTATGGAGTTTGCATACTCCCCCCCCCCTTTGGGTTAACAGGAGTAACAAAAGAGTAGTTTTTGTCATTTCTTAATTTTTAGTACAAAATGATTTTTTTCTCTTTTAGAGACATGCTAAGACACTTTTTATAAGGTTTGATCTTTTATATGTGGCTGTAATTTTTTGCTATTAGAGGATTTTGCTTCATACTATAATAATGATTCATGGTGTATTTACATTATAGAGGAAAGAGTTAAGTGTCAGTTTAATCCATACACTCCTTTTGGGCAGGGTTTGTCCCTCGTTTTGTTCACCACTGTAAATATGAAAATAAGAGGAATGCTCAGAGTACATTCAGCATAGTGACTGTTGAATGAATAAATGCCTGAATCACAACTTTTTAAAACTGATGTTAATAAAGAAAGTAATTTGTGGTATTCTTACAAATTGGTTAGCTGGTTCCTGGAATAGTTTTCCCTTCTCTAATGTATTTTTTTAAACAAATCTTCTAGTATCTCCTCAGACAAGGGAAGGTCTCAGAAAACTCCAACTTCTCCCCTATCTCCAAGTTCCCAGAAACTGTTGCAGTTTGACGTTCCAGGAACTTCATTAGAAAAATCTAAGTCCTCAGTTATAATGCCTCCAACTATAGCAGGATTCAAGGCTAGTGCAGCTTTTCCTGATATGAACATGGCTGCCAGCAGAGCAACTACAGAAATGATGACTTCAACACCAGGCAAGTTGACCGTGCAGTTATAATTTAAAAAATAAGTTTACTTATTTTGGGGGAAATTTGTTTCAGTTGAATTATAGAAAAATGGTTTTACAAATGGATGTGATTACTTTTTGAAGTTTTAAATAGAAACTGTACAGGAAAATAAATATTAAGCATCAGGGATTCAATAGTGGTGATTTTTCCCATCTTGCCAGCATTAACAAAAACACTGAAAAATGTATGCCATGTATGTACTCCCTAAGTGTTTATAGGTATATATGTATGTACATACCCATGCATGTCCATACTCCCCCCCCATGCAACCTGCCCACACTCTCATAAGAGGTAACTATTAAAAGACACTGTACTCCTAAGTCACTGTCTTTGTTTTTGGCTCATTAAAATTAGAAATGAATTTTAGAAATCTGAGATGCAATTTAATTTCATGTGCAATTTCACATTTGGCAATTGTTATGCCCTCTAGGTTCTAAACGTTTTTCTCCTGCTGGCCTCCAGCATCGAATGGCAGCTGAACTGAGCTACTTGAGTGCCATTGAGGAGTCAGTGCGCCAACTGTCAGATGTAGAAAGAGTTAGAGGCATTTCACTCGCTCAGCAAGAAAGTGTGTCTTTGGCTCAGATCATAAAGGTATTGTGGGGTTTTCTTCTTTAGCTTTCTTTGTGTTTTCCCCCTCCCCCCATTTTATTTGCTATTTAAAATAATATTAAAAAGTAATAATCTTAATGGTGAATTAAAAGAACATAGTAGGTGGTTACTAAGTATTTTGATAAATGATTGTTATGTTGAGAAAATAGCCCTGGGTTTAATGTAGTCACTGAGTTGTAATAGTTTAATATCTTAGAATTAATAGTTGATCACTTCTTTATCTTGAAGGCACAGCAGCAACGCCATGAAAGAGACTTGGCCCTTTTGAAATTAAAGGCTGAACAAGAGGCTCTGGAGTGTCAGAGACAGTTAGAAGAAACCCGAAACAAAGCAGCTCAGGTACCTTATTTTGCAGCAAAGTTATTAAACCTAAATTTGTGTCTTTGAAAACACTTTAGTATTTTTTTAAATTATATAGGAGTAAAAAAAGAAAAGATGTAAAATATGTCATATGGGTTAATTTCATGTCATTTGATTCTTGTCACAACCCTGTGAAATTAAGTAGTCAGGATGTAGCCCCAGTTTAATAAGTGGAAGCTGAGGTAACTATGTGGTAGTTACTTATCTACAGTCACATCAACTCATAATTAGTGGAGTTAAGACTTAAACTCCAGCAGTGATTTTTAAAACTTCCTATTTTAAGCCATTGTTCTTTTTGTTGTTGTTGTGGTGGTGGTGGTGTTTTTTGTTTGTTTGTTTTTTGTAAGGCATTTAATCCATGAAACAAAACTTCTGACATGACAGAAGTTTTCTTTTTACCCTTTTATTTATAGGTCCATGCGGAGTCATTACAGCAGGTGGTTAAATCACAACGGGATGTAACTGAAGTCCTACAGGAAGCAACTTGTAAAATAGCTGCTCAGCAAACAGAGACTGCTCGCCTCACCACAGATGCAGCACGCCAAATCTGTGAGGTGAGAGCCACTGGAAACCATTTTCTTCTTAGTTCTTTTTAGTCAGTCTGAATAACTTTGGCCTTTTCTTGCAGTGTCTTGAACATTTGAACTTATAGAGGCAGAAAAAAAAAGATGAACTCTAAATTTCTGCCCTTGAGTAACTTTTTAAAAAGATATTAATTTGCCCTGACCAGTTTGGCTCAGTGGATAGAGCGTCGGCCTGAGGACTCCAGGGTCCCAGGTTCGATTCTGGTCAAGGGCATGTACTTTGGTTGCGGGCACATCCCCAGTAGGGAGTGTGCAGGAGGCAGCTGATCAATGTTTCTCTCTCTCATTGATGTTTCTAACTCTCTATCCCTCTCCCTTCTTCTATATAAAAAAACAATAAAAATATATTTTAAAAAAGATATTAATTTTATTGATAATTTACAAAAAATAACATGTACCCATTTTAAGTACACAGTTTGATGACTTGACAAATATCTAGATACCTGTATCTGCATATTTCTACAGCTTATCTTCCCATCCCTATCCACACTACTATAATCAGTATTTCCAACCCTCTAAAAAGTTCTCCCATGCCCCTTTGCAGTCAGTCCCCAACCTCAGTCCAGGGAGCCACTGGTCTGCTTTTGTGAAGATGTTTCATTTTTACCCAGGGTTGCTAGTGTCTTTTATAGTATTGTTAGTGCCAAGGACAAAGCTAGAAATAGTTTTACTACGTGTCTATATAAGATATCATAACCAATAGATATAGTTTCAGTTTATTTAAACAGTTATCATTTAGGATTGCTTGTGAAATGATTCTTATTAATAAGCCATGAACTTAATATATGTTGGATATTGTGGAATTGTGCAAATAAGTATAAAGTGACATCTCTTTTCTCAGGGAAATTTTAGACAACATTAACAAAGATTTCAGAAACACTTCAGGTCATCTAGACAGTGACTGAAAAAATAAAAAATGGATAAAACACGCAGCAGTGGCACTAGTGGCTAAGAGTAGGGAAAACGTACTCATGTTGTTCCTCAGAAAAGTCTCGGATAGGAAGCAGTAATTGAATTGATTCTTGAAGGAAGATTTAATTTTGGTTTACTATGGCTCATTATATTAAATGTTTTCTATCTAATTTGTAGATTGTTATAGCTGGGTGAAACCTTAGAAATCATATTGTATTCATCTCTTTATTTTTATAAGGAAGCTGTTGAGACTTAAAAAGTCTAAATGACTTGCCTATAATATTTACCTGTTACTGCAGAATTTGCTCTCTCTCAATCCAGTGATCTTCCCAAGACACTCTTCTCCCGCTCAGTTCATCTACTTTTGCCTTGTGTGTTCATATTTAGATGGCAGAGTTGACTCGAACTCATATATCAGATGCCATTACTGCTTCAGGAGCTCCCCTAGCAACGCTGTATGACCACCAGCGGATACATGCTCCAGACTTCGTGAAGCAACTGAGGACCAGAGCTGAAACAGATAGGTTAATATTCAGTCATTCTGCAAATATAATGAGTATCTACTGAGTTCCAGGCACTCTCGTGGGTGCTGGGAATACAATTTTGGGCATACAGTCTAGAGGATAGGTAGATGTTATTCAAATAGTCACTTAAGGAATGATCACTGTAAACTAAGGTAAGTGTTATTAAAAAAAAAAAAAAAAAAAAAAAAGGACAGTTGTCTCTGAGATACATAACAAAGGAATTTGAATAGCCTGTGAGTATAAGAAGGTCAGAGAAAGTTTTCCTGAAGAAGTAAAGCTTATGGTAAGAATCAGTGGGTGAAAAGGAGTTGGTGTTGTAAAGGAGGTAAAGAATATACAGGTCAATACACGTAAAGGTAGGAAGAGAAAAGGAAGGAAGACCAATGGCATTGGAGGCAGAAAGCAAAGGGGAGAATGGTAGATGATGCAGAGATCAGATCATGGTAGGGCCTTGCAGACCGTAGGATTTTGTTTATTCTAGAGCAGTGAAAAGTCATTACAGAGTGTTTTAGGCAGGGCTGAGTAATGTGATCATGTTTTGTGTGTGCCTTTTTTCCTTTTGCACCACATTTTGACTATCTGTAATTCATAGATTTTAAGTCTATTCACATTCATTGATACTTGAGGTGATTTGTGCTTATTGCTCATACTAGAAAAGAAAAACTCTTTTCTTAAAAAATCCTCACCTGAGGAGTGATATTTTTTTTCTATTGACTTTTAGAGAGAGTGAAAGGGAGAGAATAAGGAAGGAGAGAGAGAGAGACACACACAAATCTATTGATTTCCTCTCACACACACACCCTGATGGGGTGGGGATTAAACCTGCAACCCAGATACATGCCCTTGACCGGGAATCAAACCCACAACACTCTGGTGTGCAGGCTCACACCAGCCACTGAGCCACACCAGCCAGGACAGAAGATACTCTTTAGTGTGTTATACATCCTTTACATAAATGAATGCCTTCAAATACTTTGTAAGTTTCATAATTTCTGTTCATTCAAGATTTTATCTAATACTGTTGAGCAGTATTAAAATCTTAGTCCTATTAGAGACTTAAATGTTGAACCAGTTTTGCTTTGTTTTTATAGGAAAAGTCAATCTGTTTCACTCTCTAACAATAATGAAGGAACCCCTGACTCAAAGCATCAGAAGTATTCTTCATATGATAGTTATTCTGAGTCTTCAAGATACAAGAATCACGATAGAAGGTGAAAAGAGGGTTTTGTTTTAATGTTTGTGAGTTTATTTGAACCAGACTGTCAACAATTACCAGGAGATAAAGTCTCACCACATTGAGATAATGATCCAAGAATGGCAGTTCGAGCCATATTTTACACATTCTGAAAAGAGTTTAATGTAGTAAAGTATGATAAGTAGCTGACAATTGCTTTTTCTTTTTTTACTTCTTGATTTTATTTCTTTAAATGAAAGTTTTATCTTCCCCATTTAATTTGCAAAACAGTTGTTTCATGTAACAATATATCTGCCATTTCTTGAGAACCTATATTATATAAGCACTATATAAATTTGTTTTTTTATACTTTACCTTTCATCCAAGTTACCCTAATGTTAACATTTTACTTATATTTGCTTTCGCAAGTAGAACTTTTAAAGAAGGTGATAGAGGTCAACACCATCTAAGGTTGCAGATATTCTATTGGATTGGCAATTCGAGTTTAGGTAGAGGTTAGAAGAGTAGTTCCAGAAGAGTAGTTGGGGTTGGAGCAGATTGTGATAAATCGTGATATTGATGAAAAGTAGGGGGTGGAAATTCCAAGGAGAAGCCTCTTTTCAGTAGCTTGGGTCTTTGTTTTTATATTGTTGTTTTTTAGTTGATATGACAGAGGAAAGCAGAGGGAGAGATAGAAATAAACATCAATGAGAGAGAGAGAGAAAGAAAATGATTGATCAGCTGCCTCCTGCACTCCCCACACTGGGGATCAAGCCTGCAACCCTGGCATGTGCCTGACTGGGATTCATACTGTGACTTCCTGATTCATAGGCTGACACTCAACCACTGAGCCACGCAGGCTGGGCCAGTAGCTTGGTTTTAAAATGAAAGGAAATATGGGTGTGAGAGCCTTAGAATAGTGGTTGCCCAGTGTGACCAGTTAATCATGAAACCTTCCTCTCTCCTATTCATCTTTTCTAAAAGTTTCTTCTCGGGTTTACCGTATGTCTACTTACTATTTTTATGCTTTATATTGTTCCTTTTATCATTTTGTATCTTGATCATAACCTTTATTTCCTTAGCCAAATAAGTTTACTTTGAAGTTATCCTTATTTTGTTGCCTTTTTAATTTGTTTGTTTATTTCTATAATATTCATAAACAGAAGTAGTAGTGGTAGCAGCCGTCAAGAAAGTCCTTCAGTTCCATCTTTGAAGGAAAATGAGAAGAAACTTCATGGTGGAAAGACGGAGAGTTCTATTGATGAACAGGTTCAGACTGCTGCGGATGATTCTCTACGAAGTTACAGTGTACCATCTCTTCCTGATGAGAAAGGTAACTTCCTTGCACATATATGTATAATTCCTTGATTTGGGAGGCTTCCAGAACCCTTTAAGATACTTTTATACATTTTATAATGAATATTATATTTAGATATAGCTGTCTATAATTATGACAACCTTAATTAAATTAGATCTTGGTATCTAGAAGTGAGGTGCTGCCATAACAAATACTAAAAATGTGATCATGCCTTTAGAATTGTCTAATGAGTAGAGGTTAGAAGTTTTGAGGTACATGCTAGAAAACGCCTACATTGGCTTGCAGACCTATTGGTAGGAATATGGGCATTAAAGGTGATTCTGATGAGCCCAGCTGGCATGGCTCAGTGTCTTGAGTGTGAACCTATGAACCAGGAGGTTATGGTTCAATTCCCAGTCAGAGCAAATGCCCAGGTTACGGGCTTGATCCCCAGTGGGGGGCATGAAAGAGGCAGTTGATCAATGATTCTCATCATTGACTCTCTGAAATCAATAAAAATTATTTTTTTAAAAGAAGAAATAAAAAGGAAGTTAAAGTGATGAATTTGGGTATTTAGCTGAGGAAATTTCTAAACCAAGTGTTGAAATCATGATCTGGTTTCTCCTTATTGCTTAAAGTGTGAGAGGAAGATACATTGAAGGAATTGTTAGGCAAAAAAGAACCAGAACTTGAAGATTTGGAGAACTCTCAGCCTATCCATATTGTAAAAAAATGAGAAAACATGTTCTGGAGAGAACGCCAAGGGTGTGACTTGTCAGTCACCCTGTAAAGGGGTTACCCCTGATTTAATCAGCCATTTCAACAGAAGCCGGGACTATATGCCAGCAGACAGTGCTAATTTGGATTGAAGGGCAAGAGAAGGGATGCAATTTAGGAAGATTTTTAAACTTCTGGGATTCCCCTGGACAAGACTAGAGCTACCAGCTGTGAATATGCCTTATCCTTCAAGAAAATAGAAGACTGATCCTGCGGTTGATTTAGATATCAGCAGCGTAGCTCCTGCCACCACAGGCTCAGAGCACCAAGGTCCCAGTATAAGGCCGCCCACTCATTGGTTTCAGAGGGTGGGCCAATTGTCCAGGCTGCCCCTGCTCAGCCTAAGCCAGGGGCTGAGTGGGTGCAGCTACCACTCGGGGATGAGGGGGCAGGGCCATTCTGGTGGGTGTGGAAAGCATGACTGCCACCTCTGCGGGCTTGAAGGGCAAAGCATCGAGCCAAGGGTGATTATTTTTGAGCCTTAAAATCTAATGGAATTTGCTAGATTTTGGTTTTGCTGGAGACCTACTACCCCTTTCTTCTTTTGATTTTTCCCTTTCGAAATAGGACTGTCTATTCTACGCTTATCCCACCATCGTGTTTTGAGGCACATAACTTACCTTGTTTCAGAGGTTCGTAGCTAGAAAGAAATTTTGCCTCGGGAAACCTTGAGTTTTTCCCATATCTAATTAGATGACATTTAGATGGGACTTTGCATGTGTAGTTGATGCTGGAATGGGTTTGGAGGCCCTTGGGATGGCTTGAATGTATTTTGTAAGTAAGAAGGAACAAATTTTGGGGAGCCAGAAGATGGAATGTTAGGGACTGAATTCTCTGCAAAATTTCTATCTTAAAGAACTCCTCAAGCTCAACAATCCAATTAAAAAATGAATAGTCACTTCATTGGAAAAAATATACAAATGTCAATTAGACATAGGAAAAGTATTTAATATCATGTATCATTAGGGAAATGAAAATTTAATCACAACAAGATACTACAACATACCTGTTAGAATGGCTAAAATCCAAAAAACTGACAACAAATATGTAGTAAGAATGCAGAGCAACAGGAGTTTGCTTGCATTCATTGCTGATGGGAGTACAGAATGCTACTTTGGAAACAATGTTTTATAAGGATCCAGCAATCATATGTCTAGGTATTTACCAAGTGGCTTAAAAACATGTCTACACAAAAACCTATCACTAATGTTCATAACACTGTTATTCTTATTTGCTAAAAACTGGAAGTTACAAGATGTTTTATGAGGGGAATGGATAGACTGGTATACCTATATAATGGGATATTAGCCAGTGATTAAAAGTGAGAAGCTATTGCTTCATGCAACAAAATGGTTGCATTTTAAGTGAACTTTAGTAAGTGAAAGATTACATATTGTATGATTTCATTTATATGAAATCCTGGAAAAGTCAAAACTACAAGGATGGAAAACAAATTAATGGTTCCCAGATGTTAGGTAGAAGAAGAATGATTGACTATAAAGTGGGCACATAGCACAGGAGAACTTTCAGTGTGAAACAGCTGTTATGTAAGGTATGGCACATTCATATAGTTGTATGCACTGTCTGATGCTATGCATCTATCAAAACATAGACTCATACATCACAAAGAGTAAACTAAGTATACACATCAGCCACACCAAGCACCCTCTCCCTACCCTCGTACCAGGATAGAATGTAGCCTGTGACCATTTCTCAATTTTCTATAGGGTATTAGTTTTCTAATTGATTTATAGGAGCTCTTTGTAAGTTAAGTACATTACACTTTTACCCTATTTCTTGTACTAATATTAGATATTTTAGAGTCCTTTACTTGTTTGTAAAATAAATGAATTTTGTTTATTTCATGCTTACTGCTAGTGATTATTATATGAGTTTTTTTATATTATCTCATAAAGAGGCAGCAACTGCCACTAATGGAGTATCTACTAAAAATTGTTAAAATGATAAAATCTACTGCTCCATATTCTTTTAGATTCAGCTTCTATTGTAACAGAATATTCCCTGAAATTCGATGAATCCATGACAGAAGATGAAATAGAAGAAAAGTCATTTCGATCTTTACTGCCTTCTGAGAGTCATCGCAGATTTAATATGGAAAAGAGAAGAAGCCATCATGATGACTCTGATGAAGAAACTTCCCCAGAAAAGACTACACTGTCTTCTGCCAAGGTGGGTTTCAGTGTGCCCATAGAGATAGTTCGTAAGTAGTTGTGAATGTGTTCTCTCAAAGTTGTGAGGATACATTTTGTACTTGAACTCAATTGTTAGCTATCAAAATTATTTTCCTAAGATACCAATTTTATGTTACATTTTTGCTATAAAATTAGGCTTTGCCTTCCTTTCAACGTAGAATACAAATTTATTCCTAAGGCCTTTGAGTGTCTGAGCCAGTGTTATCTCTTTAGCTTTTTTACTTGTTCCACTCTTAAAAAAATTTAATTGCATTTAAAAATTTATATGTATGTCATTCTAAAATGTAAACTTGTGGATAATAAAGACAAATTCTTACCATGGTATATATCCCTGGAGCAGTACAGGCCTTACAGTGGTTGTTTATTAAAATTCAATGGCTGGCTGCCCTAGTTGATTTTGCTCAGTGGATAGAGCGTCAGCCTATGAACTGAAGGGTCCCAGGTTTGATTCTAGTCAAGAGCACATGGCCAGGTTGTGTGCTCGATCCCCAGTGGGGAGCATGCAGGAGATAGCCAATCAATGATTCTCCCTCGTCATTGATGTTTCTATCTCTCTCTTACTCTCTCTTCCTCTCTGAAATCAATAAAAATATATTTTTAAAAAATTTAATGGCTGAATAAATTAGCAGATGAATGTTACTCCCTCTTGTGCCTTTTGTGAATAATGTTTTCTACATGGTTGTCAATATTAAAAAAAAAAAAGTTTTTATTGATTTCAGAGAGAAAGAGAGAGGGAGAGAAACATCAGTGATGAGAGAGAATCATTGATCAGCTGCCTCCTGCATGCCCCCTACTGGGGATTGAGCCTACAATCCAGGCACATGCCCTGACTAGGAATTGAACCGTGACTTCCTGGTTCATAGTTTTGACACTCTATCACTGAGCTACACCAGCTGGGCTATTGGTAACATTTTTAATTTATTTAATATTTTAATTTATATAATATTTTATAAGTGCATGCCTTTTTTTTTTCTGCATACCTCCTTTAATGAAGTTAATTATGTTCCAAAAGGTTTAGATGATGATAAATTCAAAGTAAACTCTCTGTATTAGGAGCTGAGCATGCCATTCTCAGGAGGACAAGATAGCTTTTCTAAGTTTACTATGGAGATGGTTCGACAGTATATGAAAGAAGAGGAAATGAGAGCAGCTCACCAGTCTTCACTTCTGCGTCTCCGTGAAAAAGCCTTGAAGGAGAAAACTAAGGCTGAGTTAGCTTGGCTAGAGCATCAGAAAAAGTAAGTTTTTTTTAGTGAGCAGAGTTTTCAGTGTTTAATTTCTCTCATTAAAACCAAATGCTTTGTTTTTAAAGATGATTTTGTTTAACCATTTAATTTGATTTGATCAACCCAGTTTCACAATCTAGAAATATGGCCACCATATTTGAATCATGTTGCTTTTAAGACCTACTCATGTAACACTTTTTTTAAAAATATATATTTTATTGATTTTGTACAGAGAGGAAGAGAGAGAGATAGAGTTAGAAACATCGATGAGAGTCATCGATCAGCTGCTTCTTGCACACCCCCTACTGAGGATATGCCTGCAACCAAGGTACATGCCCTTGACCGGAATCGAACCCGGGACCTTTCAGTCCCCAAGCCGATGCTCTATCCATTGAGCCAAACTGGTTTCGGCTACTCATGTAACACTTTCTTTGCATTTCTCTTTTTTCACTTAACCGACTCTTATGTTGTTGTTTTATACTTAATTTCCTTATTATATTGTAAATTTCTTAAAACTGTTTTCTCTTTAAAGAACACAATCTAGTTTGCATATATTGCCTGTGCAGTGAAATAATTGTTGGGATAGCAATTGCTGCATGCAGCAACTGTTTTCCCCATTTGAAAATGTGTAATTGGTTTAGAGGCTTTAGTGATTGAAATTATTGACATTAGAATAGAAATTTAATCTAATCTTTGTCTTGATGGGAAATATTTGCAGACATCTCCGAGACAAAGGAGAAGATGATAAAATGCCCCCACTTCGTAAGAAACAGCGTGGCTTGCTCTTAAAGTTGCAGCAAGAAAAGGTATGTTAGGAAAAAGACTACTGTAAAAGAACTTACCATAAGGCAGGTTAGATGTGGAATCTACTATTTTGCCTAATCTCTTTTTCTTATTATGTTAATTAAGATTTAATTGATATTTACTACTGTTTATGCCTATACTACTATCATTACAGGAGTTGCTTGATAGTATACTATATTTCTCCAAATTAGGATTGCATGTCACTGGTGATTTAATACAAGATAGCAGCAATTTTCAACCTGTGTGCTACAAGAATTTTTAAAACATGTAATACCTGACTAGTTATTGACCTCTTTCCTTTAGATTGCCAAATGAAAAAATGACAACAGCCAACACAATAGCCATCCAGTGTTTTTGAATCAAAATTATATACCTTTTTTTTTTTTTTTATAGATTGGCAAAAAATAAATTTTTTGGCGTGTTGCAGAATTTTAGTAATTAAGTGTACCATGAAATGAAAAAGGTTGAAAATTGCTGCAGTATAGAATCAAGTCTTCTGCCTTCATTTAGTATGTAAAACAAAATAGTCCTTTGAAATGCGTATTTAAAAAAATAAGGTATTTATAAGAATTTATTTAGATTAATATATTTTAGTCACTGTTTTCCCAAATAGGAATCTAAGGCATATTAATTAAAAGTAGACAAATATTTTGGTTTAGTGGACTCAGAAACACCTGGGATTTGATTCTTGGAGAGGCAGCATGGTGTAGTGCTTAAAAATTCAGCTCTAGAGTCAGATTGCCTGGGTTAAAATCCAGTCTATCAATATTTGTTTCATAACTTAGGACAAGTTACTTAACTTCTCGGTGCCTCAGTTTCCTTATCTGTCAACTGAAGATCATACTGATAATATACTTTGCAGGGTTATTGGGAGGGATAAGTGAATTAATACATATAAAAACTTAGAACAGCCCTTGGCACACGGTAAGTGCTCAATAAATGTTAGTTGTTATTACTTGAATTCTAGCTTTATCACTTGCAATTGTGTAATCATAGTCAAGTTTAAACAACTCTCTAAGACTTAAGTTCCTTATCTGTAGGAGTGAGATTATATAGACTTCATATGGTGATTGTGAGGACTGAATGCAATAACATATGTAAATATATTTCATATTGCCTGGTCAGTATGGAATTAATAGATTCTTTTCCCTTATTGACTTGTTGCTAGTTACTACTTTGTTAGATGGTCAGTTAATTTAATCATTTGAGTTATATGTTGGATTACTTCTTTTTTTTTTTTTTTCTTTTACATTTTTTTATTAAATTATTTGTGTACATTGCCCCTCCCCCCCATACATACCCTCCCTCCGGATTACTTCTTAAATAACTTTTTTTTTTTTTTTCGTTTACCTAGGAAATAGGAGTGCAAGAAATTATAAGTAACAAATTGTTAATGTCTTTATAATGCTTATTTTTATTGACAAGAAAACAGATTAAAACATTTTTGAAAAAAGGACAATCCACGTTAAATTTTAACATTTATTAAAAGTGAAGTGTATCATCTTTTGCTCACTTAATTAGCAATAGAGAGCTTAATAATATCCTCTGTAGAGAGTTTGGTGAAATGTAGTCTTACATGTTTTTGGTGGCATTTTAAGTGTAGACAATTCTGTTTTGAAAGCAAATTTAAAACTTTTAAGGGTAAAAAAACCAAAACAAACGTTTTAAGAGCCATAAAATAACACGCCGCTGTACCTCTGCACTTCACTTCTGCAGCTCCTCTGAGTCTGAATGTGCTTTTCTCTTCCCTTCTAGTTGTAGAATTTCCCTTCAGCCAGCCTTCCTGTGGTTCTGGATTATGTCCGTTTTATCTTTTAGTTGTAGTTTTGAAATTGTTGTGCGAAGCAGCAGTTCAGGTGTTTACCTATGCTGCCATCTTGGTTTCTCTCTCAATATTACTTTTATCTTGAAATACTTTATATTTATTCTTGTTACGTAAATGTGATGGTTTGATTCTCTTTTTAAAATATTACTTTGGACTTTTCTCCTCCAAATCTCAGTGCCTCTCCTAACTTTTTAAACCTTAGGCAGAAATTAAACGTCTTCAAGAAGCCAATAAGGCAGCTCGGAAGGAAAGACAACTGATTCTTAAACAGCAGGAAGAGATAGAAAGGATCCGACAGACAACCATAAAACTGCAGGAGAAGTTAAAGTCTGCAGGGGAAAATAAATTGGTAAATCAACATGAAATTATTATTTCTTTGTTTTTGGCCTCATGCTGCTTGCTAATATCTAGCCCTGCCTCATTTTCTGATATGATGGGTATCCTTCTTCTAGCACTGTGATACATGATGAACTAGGGCCCTGGTTGGCAAACTGTGGCTCACGAGCCACATACAGCTCTTTGGCTCCTTGAGTGTGGCTCTTCCACAAAATATCACGGTCTGGGCGAATCTATTTTGAAGAAGTGGCATTAGAAGTTTTAGTTTAAAAAAATTTGGCTCTCAAAAGAAATTTCAATCGTTGTACTTTTGATATTTGGCTATGTTGACTAATGAGTTTGCTGACCACTGAACTAGGGTAAAGTTTCATGTATGTGCCTTTATGTACAGGGATAGTATTTTTTTTTCTTTTTTGCTATGGAATATTCAAGTTTTGAAAGATACACATAGCTCATATATTAGTTTAAAAATGTTTTCCATTTATGAACTCAGTTGAAACAGAGAACCTTGTTATTTCTCATCAATCCAGATACATTCCTTAGAATTTATGAGACTGTTTTTGCTATTTATACAAAACTTATTTCAGCTATTCAGTGTTAATATAATGATATATAATTCAGTAAAGACACAGACTGTGTTCTCTGGGAATCCCACCTCGCTCTGGGCTCATGATTTGCCATGTCTCACTGGACATCCCCATTGCCCGACTTGGGCTCTTATTTTCCACTTAGGCCATTCTCCTGCATTAGATGCCCTTCTTCCCACTCAGGTTGGAACACCTCACTGTCAGACCCTTTGTTTTTCTCTACCTTGTTCTGTTCCACCTAATGATTTGAGGACTGAATCACTGAGGAAGGAGAAGGCCTCTGCTTTGTATTGTTCATAAAATAAAAAGTCATGATTGTTCCTACCCAGCTTCAAAAAAAAGTAGGTAATAAATGATTATTTGTAGGAAGGTCTTACTAAGCAATTAAAGTTTTATTTTTGTTCATTAGTTATAATATATTTATTAAACTAATGATTCCTAAATGTTTTACTATAAACTTTAAAAATATATATATATATATTTTATTGATTTTTTACAGAGAGGAAGGGAGAGGGATAGAAAGTTAGAAACATCGATGAGAGAGAAACATCAATCAGCTGCCTCCTACACACCTCCTACTGGGGATGTGCCCACAACCAAGGTACATGCCCTTGACCGGAATTGAACCTGGGACCCTTCAGTCTACAGACTGATGCTCTATCCACTGAGCCAAACCAGTTTCGGCTATTATAAACTTTTTAATTTGTAAAAACATTGTTTTCTAGAAGGAATATTTAAAGAAAAAGATCTATCCATCGGTATGATTAAAATAATTATATGTTCCATTCATTGTTTGTGTCTATACATATATTTTATATAGTTACAATGTCTGTAATTTTATATTCATTTTGAGGAATATATATAATTTTTATACGTATTAAATTAGAGAGGACATTTAGATACCAGATTACTAAAAGCAGAAATTTTTTTTAAAAAATTTTACTTCTTTTTTTTTTTCTTCTTTTTTTTTTTAATATATTTTATTGATTTTGTACAGAGAGAAAGGGAGAGAGAGAGAGAATTAGAAACATTGATGAGAGAGAGTCATCGACCAGCCGCCTCTTGCACACCCCCCACTGGGGACATGCCCGCAACCAAGATACATGCCCTTGACCAGAATCGAACCGGGTCCTTCAGTCCCCAAGCCGACGCTCCATCCATTGAGCCAAACCGGTTTTGGCAAAATTTTACTTCTTAAAAAAAATTTATTTGTTACTATAAATAAATGTAAAATACACATAACAAAATTTATATTTTAATCAGTTTTAAATATGTAATATAATTTTGTCTTCCAAGTAATACCATAATTTCAGCTATTTTATAAATACTGTTTTGGATATAAACTTAATTTTTGTTTATAATGACAGTATTTATGATCACTTTAAGATCTTGAATTTCAATAAAAGTGTAATACTTTATCCCCCTGCTTTGTAGGACTCTCATAGTGATGATGACACAAAGGATAATAAGGCAATTAGTCCTGGTCCAACTGACGTGGAGACCCGAAGTCCTTCCCCCATTTCCATCTCCAGCAGTGAAACTAGCAGCATTATGCAGAAACTGAAGAAAATGAGAAGCCACATGGATGAAAAGTAATTCATTTTCATAAATAGTTCCTGTTTTCATTGAAAGTAGCATTAAAAAATATTTTTAATGTACTTCATTAGATTAGTTTGATATAACACAGTATTTTATGGATTCAGTAGCATTTTAGAATGATTATCAGTCTACAAGTTAGTTAACTATAGATCTGATTTATAAAGCAAATATTCTTATTTCTAATATACCCAGGTTTCTTATCTTTAAAATCAAAAGTAGTAATTGCACATATACATATACATATGACAATGTTTTCTCCTTTCTTTTACCAAAAGTTATGAGTAAGTGTGAAATTTGTACTTTCTTTGAAATCTGAGGACAGGTCTCCTGACTTCGGGAAGTAATTAATTAATGGTATGTCCTGAGATCTTATCCTGTGGCTTTCAGACAACTCTCAGGCTTATTCCAATAGAAGAGAGAAATTTAACCCTGTGAATAGGTGTGGATTACTCAATTGAAACTACAAAGACTAAAATTCTCTTGGGATGTTGAGTGATTTGTTACTCTGTCATTCTTTTAAAACATTTCTAAGTATTAGTTTCTAAAGGCTCTTTTAAAGAAGGTACTTAAAGGTAGCTCAGTTGTATGTCCCCTTTGACCATGTAAAATAACATTTATGTGAGAGTTTACTCTTTTTGGTATACATTTTATTAATATGTAAATTAGCTGCTAGTGGACCCTATCTTTGATTAAAGAAGAACCTCTACCTTTAAATATGGAAGGAAACACATAACAAATTTTTGTTGATTGTCATTTTATTTTAAGTTAGCAATTTGAACCACAGGTTGAATTTAAGTTGTATCTTGATATCCTTTGGCAGTGTACCACACATCACTAAATGTAATAATGCTCTGTATTTATAAATATGCTCTATATTCAAAATAATGCTCTACATTCATTAAATTAACCTATGATTTAATTAGTTTCTGAACAACTAAGGTGTTGTAAGTCAAATTTTAATAACTATAGGTGCTATGTTATACATTGGCACATCATTGCTTTAGTTGAAATTGCATTTCTTTTTATAAAAAGTATGTATTAATTTTTTTTTTTTTTTTAGAGAGGAAGGGAGAGGGATAGAAATAATGATGAGAGAAAAACATCATCAATTGGCTGCCTCATTTACACCTCCTACCAGATATTAAGCGTGAAACCCGGCATGTGCCTGACCAATAATCAAACCAGCAACCTCTTGGCTCCTGGGTCAATGCTTAACCACTGACCCATACCAGCCTGGCTGAAATTGCATTTTAAAACTTAATATTGGCATTTCATAACTTAAAAATACCCGAGGTGATTATAAAAATAAGTTTAAAAATAAATACAAATTTTAAAAATATAAGGGGTAAAACCAAATATTCATCAATGTCTAAGTATTCCTTTTGGATGATTTCCATGGAATAGACTAATTAAGGCTTTTTCAAATAGAAATTTATTGAAATCCTATATCATAAAAGGCTAATATGCAAATTGACCAAACAGCGGAATGAACGATTGCTATGATGTGCACTAATCACCAGGGGGCAGATGCTCAATGCAGGAGCTTCCCCCTGGTTGTCTGTGTTCTCCCACAGCGGGAGTGCCATTCAGCCAGAAGCTGGACTTGTGACTGGCAAGCACAGAGGATGTGGTGGAACCTTCTCCCGCCTCCTCAGCAGTCAGACATCCCCTGAGGGCTGCTGGACTGTGAGAGGGCGCAGGCCAGCTGAGAGGCCTCTCCCCACCCCAGTGCACAAATTTCATGCACTGGGCCTGTAGTACAAAATAATATTAAATCTAAACTGCAATTGAAAAATAAAATTTATTTAGTGAAGGCAAAACAAAACCAAAAATTATTTATGGTATTGCCTGACTACAATTGAAATCTTCACTATATCTGATGAATTTAAGAAAGTTAAGGATTTAACATGCAAGGGAAGGCTTTTGATACTTAATTAAAGAAGATATTTTAATTAGAATTTTAAAGAATGTAACACATATTGCCTTAAATTAGGAATATAATTTTTATAAAGAAGATTCTAAACTGAGTGTAGTAGCTGAGTAAATCCTGATAATTTGTTAATATACTTTTATTTATTTTCTAGATAGGAATAATATACCTATCTTTATTTTACTTATTTAAGTACTAGAGGCCTGGTGCATGAAAATTCATGCACTGGAAGGGGGACCCTCAGCCCAGCCTATCCCCTCTCTTAGTCTGGGAACCCTCAAGGGCGGGAGGTGACCTGACAATCAGGGGAAATCAATGACCCATCACACCTCTGCTGCTGCCACTGCTGGCAGCGCAAGCCTCAGCTGGCCCTGGTTACCTGAGCCTCGGAAGGCTCTGGGCAGCTGCCATCTTCTGAAGCTTGCCTGCGCCTCAGGCCAGCCCTAGACAGCGGTGGGGCTGAGGGGGTTGGGGAACTCTGGAGGCAGGAGCATGGAGTGGCTGCATGTCTGTTGCCCTGGCAGGGCTGAGGGGACTGGGTGCCTCCATATTGTGGCTGTGGGCACCGCCATCTTTGAGGGCGGGGCAGTCAGTTAGCATATTCCCTCATTGGCTGTGGGCGCCACCATCTTTGCAATGGCGTGAGGGCCAATTAGCATATTCCCTCCTTATTGGATAGTTATTAATGTTAAGTAATTGAATAGAATTTTCTATAGGAAAAAATTACTAGACTGCATTTTCTTTTACGTCAGTTATCCTCATTTATCTTTCTTTTTTAATATCATTAAGAATGTTTTAAGGACTAGGTGAGGTAGAAGATAATATTGTGGGGATAAATGGTGATGGAGACTTGACTTGGGTTGGTAAACACAATACAGTATATAGGTGATATATTATAGAATTGTACTCCTGAAACCTATATAATTTTATTAACCTATGTCACCCCAATAAATTCAAGGAAAAAAGAGAGGAAATACTTAGAGACTTGAAAGAATCCATTTTTAAACTTAAAATAAATTTTATTTTTATTTATAACAATATAAAATTAATGAATCCTAGAGGCAGAAAGAATTTTAAAATGATTTAGGATATTAGATTTTTATTTAATATTTTCAGAACCAAATGACTTTAGAACTAGTTGTTTCATTTAAAAATTTAGATTCTAATTCTGCTCTTTCAAATTATATGATTTTATAATATGTTGGGACAACCTATAGTTATAAAAGCTCAGTGGAGGTGGGGGAAGAGGTTCTAATTTATGTCACATGGCCTAGCAGTTTTGTTGTATTAAAAAAGTGTGAGGCCGAAACCGGTTTGGCTCAGTGGATAGAGCATTGGCCTGCAGACTGAAATGTCCCGGTTTTGATTCTGGTCAAGGGCATGTACCTTGGTTGCAGGCACATCCCCAGTAGTGGGTATGCACGAGACAGCTGATCGATGATTCTCTCTCATCGATGTTTCTAACTCTCTATCCCTCTCCCTTCCTCTCTGTAAAAAATCAATAAAATATATATTTTTTAAAAAGTGTAAGGAGATACTTAAATGGAGGAAGAAGGAACCATAAAATGCTGTTACTAGAAGGGTTTTTAGGGAGGTCATCTAATATAGTCCCTTAGTTTTACAGGAAGGAATGATGCCGACAGAGATTAAGTAACTGATCCCAGGTCTCACACACATCAAATGGCAGAGGTGGAACTGGAACCCTGCTCTCTGAACTTCAGCCAACTAAAGTTAAAGTTGAATTAAGTTGGCCTATCTGCTTTTAACCTCAGAATTTTTAAAAAACTACATTGATGACTTAAAGTTATCTAAGTAGAAACTGAGACTTCTAAATAGTATTTATTGAAACTAGAAAAAGACCCATTGGTTGATTGCTGGAGCTGAATAGCTGCATAGCTCAAGTTTAGAGTGTGAAATTGTGACTTTAAAAATGACTCATGAATTTCTTAAGATTAAATATTATCTTCTGTATTCTCTATATATAAAAGCCTAAGCAATTGTTCAACCAGTCAACCAGTTGCTATGACGCACACTGGCCACCAGAAGGAAGACTCTCAATGCAGGAGCTGCTCCCTGGTAGTCAGTGCACTCCCACAGCAGAAGCACTATGCAGCTGACCAACGGGTGCCAGATGCAAGGCTCAGGGCTGGCCACTGCAGCCCAGAGACCACAGTGGAGCGGCAGTAAGCCTACTGAGCGGCAGAGGCAGGCACACTGGGGCCAGGATGAGCAGGAGCAGCAGGCAGCCTTGGACTGCCGGTTTCGGCCCAGTCCTCACAGGCCACGCAGAGGGAACCCACCGACCTCTAGTAGGAACATCATAATCTTCATACTCCATTAAATCTATCATACATCTAATCCTAGTGCACTTTTCTTACTGTCAGAGACCTTGTTGGGGTGATGCCTTCACAACTGTAAAGTGTATTAGCAGCATTGTCTATTAGTGGGCATTTATGTCTCTATAAGTCACAAAGTTTATTTCTTACTGGTGCAGCATCTTGAAGGATTGTTAAATCTAATGTGAAATGCTGTGCTTTTCTCTCAACTTTAGTTTAGCTTTTAAAAGATACTCTTTGCCGAGACTGGTTTGGCTCAGTGGATAGAGCGTTGGCCTGTGGACTTAAAGGTCCCAGGTTCGATTCCAGTCAAGGGCATGTACCGTAGTTGCGGGCACATCCCCAGTGGGAGATGTGCAGGAGGCAGCTGATGGATGTCTCTCTCATCGATGTTTCTAACTCTCTCTCTCCTTTCTTCTCTGTAAAAAATCAATAAAATATATTTTTAAAAATAAAATAAAAGATACTCTTTATTTCTAAAATGTACATATATCAAATAAGGAAATATATGTTCTAGGAAGAAGTTCTAAATTTAAGTTAAACTTTTCTTATACTATTTATTTTATTTTATTTTTCTGTTAACCCTTTCTTCTTTTATCCATTTCTAACCTAGAGCTTTTGAATATGCTTAATCTTTACAAATGAAGAAAAAGATTACTATTTGTTTTAATAGAGAAAATTATTCTTTATTGGCTGGACAAAAAAATTAAATTGTATCTTTTTATAGTTTATTTCACATGTTTCAATATTCTACTTTTTGTACTAGGTCATGCATGCATTTAGCGGTTATACACTTAATAAGAGGGTGGGTGAAATTTGAGTGTTATGAATAGATTTTTTTTTTGGATCTTTTGCCAAGTAAATGTGTTTTCGCATAGTATTTTGATAATTGGCATCAAAATAAGTTTATTATATGTTCTTGCATTAAAGAATGGCAAGGAAGATTGCAGTGCCTTACTGAAATTTGGAAAAATTATTTTCCTCAAACTTTGGTGCAGAAAATCAAGGCAATCCAGGTGTGTGTGTGTGTAAATGAAAGAGAGGTTAAATACTAAGTTGTATACAGAAAACAGACTTGAGGTAGTCTGTTTTCTAAAAATATATACAAGGGAAAGACTGTGCATACTTTTAAAAATCCAAATGACTGGCTGGATTTATACCTAGATTTTCTCACTTCTGTGATGTGCTGATATTATTCCTTGCCCTTCCAAGGCAATTAATGTTGCCTTGATCCACAAGTTATTGTTGTGTGCATGTGAACAGGAGCATGCTCTGTCAAAGAGAATTAGCCTTTCCAAACTTACTTATTTATTCTTTCATGTATCTAGTGATCTGTTTGTTATTTAAAAAGAAAGGAAACTAGTGGATTTTTGCTATTTTTATAACTTTAACATGTAATTTTCTTACCTTTAACCTTGTGATTGAGCTGTCTGTCCTCAGCATGATTTTTAAAACTGGAATTAGCTTAGTTTATTCTTAATTATGTGTCCTGATATTTTATAGGATGGATATTGTATTTCAATATTATTATTCAAGTGGACCTTTGTTAAAAATAAAGTAAGAAACCTCTACCTAGTCCTGTTAGTAGCAGTAAGTTTTTTTGTGGTAGAGTTAAATAGTGTATTTTTTACTATAAGTTGATTTTCTAAATTATTATCTTCAAGTTGATCATGATAAGATTAAATAAGGCAAATGTAGTGCTTTTTTGTTTAATTTCAAGCTTAAAATATAAGTATAGATATAAAATACAAATATAAGGTATTTTTATAAAAAATGACAAAGCACAGATATAAAAATCACTTGCTCAGGATTACATATGTATGTAGAATTGCTGATACATAGGTTCACAGCCATAATTGTACTTTATGCTAAAGCTTATGGGAACATTTATTTAGCTGCAGAATGTACTTCTCATTACTAATAAACAAGTAAATTATTTAAAAGTGTAGATAATGGTTAAGCAGCATGTGAGAAGAAAGACACGTTTATTCAGAAATCATTGGTAAGGTCTATAAAAAGTATATGTTTTATGTTTCACACAGAGTATAACACTTGCTTTAACTGAGTAGCTTATAATGTTCTCCTGGAAACATGAAAAGTTCTTCACTCAGTCTTATGCTTTCCCTTTCTCATTCTTTCTGCCTCTTGATCTCTTGTTTTAAAATCTTCCTCCTTATTTTGTAGACACTGCTCTCCTGTTCACTACTTCTTCTCTGTCTTTACGTCTCATCACTGGGCCTCTCTCAGTGTCTGTTTTCCCAACCTTCATCCCAAATTCCAGCTGTATATCTACAACCAGTTGGTCAGGTAACTGCACCTTTTTCAGTGCACTCTTTGATAGAGCATGCTCTGTTCTTTCTGTTTGTTTTGTTTGCTTTTCTCTCTCTCTTTTTTTGTTTGTTTTTTGTTTGTTTTGTTTGTCATAAAAGCATAGAGGCCTCTTGTCAAATGTCCCATAGATTTCAGCTTTTTGTTTCTACATTAATTTAACATGCTGGCTGTTCAAGGAGTGGAGTGACAGTTCCTGTGCTTTTTATCAAGTGTTTGTTGGATGCGTGGGTGCATTTTTGTTAATTATCTACCATTGCAGATCTAATTCCACTAATATAAGCAGCCCACCTTTTATTTAGCTGTGGCATCTACATTTGAGGACAGTACAAAAAACTTTTCCTAAATTGGTAATTTCTCCTAATATTTTGGAGCTAAGATATACTGGGCTATTTAATTTCAAAGATCAGGCTAAATTGAGAAATTTCAGGCATTTGGTATATCCTTTACTCTAGTAAATAAACAGTTATGTTTATATACATTACACACCTGACTGTGGTGCTCAGTGTTTTCTCCGTGAAAAACAGAGTGACACTTGACATTGTATCTCTTAGGTACAGACTGCGTTTGAAAAAGGGACATAAACATGTTTTTGTTTGTTTGCTTGTTTGGGGGCTTTGGAATTTCTTTTGTTGTTGTTTTGGTCTTTGTTGTTTTGCATTTGTGTTTTCTGGCCTGAACCTTCGGAAAAAATTCCGTATGAAAAATAATCGCCTATAAAAAATGAATATATATTATCAGTCATGGTTGTGCAGATGTTCTCAAGATTTTTTTCCCTGAATTATCATCCTTTTCTCCTTTGCTACTCTTAAAATTACAAGTAAAACATAATTCTCTCATTTTCTAAGTTGACTTATCAAAGCCTCTGTTATCGCAAACTTTTTTTAGAGAAGTAGTGTGAATGCTCTTTCTTACACAGCTTGTTGATAAGGTGCTGAGTGATAGCACCCTCAAAGTGATCTCTGCCTGTACACTTGTTCTCTCACTGTTCTTCATGGTGTGACCATAGGTTTCTGACAAAGCGGGAGCAAAAACTAATGCAACGGCGACAACACGCAGAAGAACTGCTAGAATGGAAGCGACGTTTAGATGCAGAGGAAGCAGAAATTCGTCAGATGGAAAAACAAGCTTTGGCTGCCTGGGACAAAGAATTAATAAAACCTAAAACTCCTAAGAAAGAATTGGAGGACCAGAGAACAGAACAGAAAGGTAATAAATACTGACTGTATTCAAACTACAAACTAAAGCCTAATATAACAAGTTACTTGATTATAGTTTAAAAATGTGAATGATTAAAGGTGATGAAGGCCATATATCTACATTTGTTACAGAAATTGGAAAGTTGGGAGAATATTGTGAATAACTTTATGCTAATATACTTGAAAAATTAGAAGAAATGAGTAAATTCCATGAAATGGAAATGGGGTATTTTATGACCAAGTGGAGTTTAACACATTAAAAAATTGATAATGTGGTGAATGACTTAGACAAATTAAAGGGAAAAAAATCCATGATATCTTAGTGGATTCAAAAAAGGCACTTAATCTAAAATCCAAAAAGCATTTGTATTAAAGCACAAGCCAATCCTAAAACAGACATCATACTTAATGATAAAACATAGAAGGCTTTCCCGCTGGATTTGGAAATAAGACTAAGATGCCTTTTTTATTTTTATTTTTTGTAGTATTGATTTTTTTTTTCTTTTTTTTTTAGGGAGAGTGAAAGAGAGAGGGAACGACAGAGAGAAACATCGAGAGAAACACATAGATTGGTTGCCTTCTGCAGGAGCCTCAACCAGGGCCTGGGCTGGGAGGAGCCTGCAACCAAGGTATGTGCCTTTGACCAGAATCGAACCCTGGACCTTTTGTTCCACAGGCTGATGCTGTATCCACTGAGCCAAACTGGCTAGGGCCAAAGATGTTTATTTTCACCCAAGGCAGTGGTCGCCAACCTTTTGGACCTCCCAGACACCAGTGGTCCATGAACCACCGGTTGGCGACCGCTGAGCTAAGGAGTAAAAGGAAAAAGCAAAACTCTCCATTATTATGGATAGAACTATGCACATAGAAAATCTAGCACTCACATGACAGTTATTAGAATTAATAAGTGAGTTTAGCAAGGTTACTGGATATAAAATTAACAAATAAAACTCAATTACATATATATAGACTAGCTGAAATTGGTTAGAAAAATCTAATTTTTAGAAGAAATACCATTTATAATAGAAATAAAAAGTATGAAGTACTAAAGAATAAATATTACAAAAATTATATATACATGATCGTTTATATAATTAAAAATTTTATTGAAACATTAGAAAAGACCAAAATAAATGGAAAGCTTTCCATATTCACAGTTTCAGTATCATAAACTTGTTAAGTCTCCCTGAATATATAGATTAAAGACAATTAAAGTCAGAAACCCAGCAAGATCTCATCATAAAGTTTAATAAGCCCATTTTAAAATTTATATGAAAGAGCATAGGACCAAAAAGCAAAGACACTCCTAAAAAATAACCACAAAATGCAAGAACTTATTTAACCAGATAGCAGACTTTTAAAAGTATAATAATTTAAACAATATGACATTTGTACAGAGGACAAATGGACTATTAAACAGCCCTGAAAAAAAACAACCCTGCATAAGAAAATTTTACTTTTGGCAGGTAACTTTGCAGACTAGTGAAAGAAGAAGGGACTCTCCAATAATTTTTTGTGGGAGAAAAAAATGAAGTTGGATCCCTACTGGACAATATAAAAAGATCCATCTCAAGGGTTAAAGAAGCTTTTATGTGACAAAACTATAGAACTTTTAGAAGACAGTATTAGAAAGGTATTTTTGTGACACCCAGGGGAGGGCAAGATTTAACATGCTATGCAAAACAAAAAACATAAAGGAAAAAAATGGTAAATTCAACTTCAATAAATTAAGAATTTCTATTCATTAATACGCCATAAAGTAAAACAAGGTAAGAGATTTGCAACACATCTGACTGACAAAGGGATAGTATCAAGCATATATAAGCAACTCCTGTGAGTGAAAGAGAAAATGCCAACTATGTTTAAAAAAAAAAAAAAGAATAGGCAGCCTGGCCGGAGTGGCTCCGTTGGTTGATTGTCAGCCTGTACCCTGAAAGGTGGCTGGTTCGATTCCTGGTCATGACACATACCTGGGTTGCAGGTTCAATCCCCAGTGAGAGCATGTACAGAAGGCAGCCGATGGATGTTTCTCATATCAATGTTTCTCTCTCTCTCTAGGCATGTCCTCTGGTGAGGGTTAAAAAATAAATAATTTTTTTTAAGTAGACAAAAGAGCAGATACTTCACAAATGAAGAACTCCAAATAGTTAATAAATATAGATGTTCAACTTCATTAGTATCGGGGCATAAAAACCATAAAGAAATGCCATTGCATACCTGAATACATTTCCCAAATTTGGTAGCTTAAAAAGTTTTTTATTTTCTCACTTGATGCCAGAAGTACAAATTCAAGGTGTTGGAGGGACTCTTGATTCCAGGAGACAATTCTTTTATTCCTTCTCCTAGCTTCTGGTGGCTAAGCTATAGACATTCCTTGTATCTATTAATACATAATTCCAATCTCGTGTAATCATTGTGTCTGTCTGCTCTTGTCTCATAAAGAAACTTGTCATTAGATTTAGGATATACCCACATAATCTAGGATGATTTCATCCCGAGATCCTTAATTACATCTGCAAAGACCTTTTTTCCAAATAAGATTAGACGTCTTGGGGGTGGGGGAAGGGGGTTGTCGTCATTCAGGCCATTTACAATACTAGTTAAACCTCATGTAGGTGAAACAAAGAGCGCCATTTCACTTCTGGGTATATACTGAGAAGAACTGAAAATAAGGTTTCTAAGAGATTTGCACACTCATGTTTATACCAACATTATTCACAATAGCCAAAAGATAAAAGCAATCTGATGTCTATCAGTAGATGAATAGATATATGAAATGTAGTGCCTATATGCAATGGAATATTCAGCCTTAAAAAGGAAGGAAATTCTGACACGTTATAACATTGATGAATCTTGAAGACATTATACTAAGTGAGTTAAGCCAGTCTTAAAAAGACAAATATTTTATTAGTAGAGGCCTGGTGCATACATTTATGCACTGGTGGGGTATCTCAGTGTAGCCTGCAGGGATCAGGCTGAAACCAGCAGTCCAGTGCTGCCTGCTGCTCCTGCCTGCCTCTTCTGCTCCGTAGGCTTGCTGCCGCTCCGCAGTGGTCTCTGGGATACAGTTGCCAGCTGTGAGCCCTGCATCTTGCACCTGATGGTCAACTGGGTGGTCAACATCCCACAGCAGGAGTGCACTGACCACCAGGGGAAGCTCCTCTGTTGAGCGTCTGCCTTCTGGTGGTCAATGAGTGTCATAGCGACCAGTCAACTATTTAGTTGTTTAGTCAACTGATCGCTTAGGCTTTTATATATATATATATAGACTCCACTTATATGAGGTACCCTTGTATAGTCAAATTCATAGAGATAGAAAGTAAAAGCATTGTTGCTAGGGCATTTGGGGAGAAGAGGAGAGAATGGAGAGTTAAAAGTACATTTCAGTTTGAGATGATGAAAAAGTTCTTGTGCTGATAGTTGTACAACAATGGGAATGTACTTAATTTCGCTGAACTGTATGCTTAAAAGTGGTTAAGATTGTAAATTTTGTTAGGTGTATTACCACAACTTAAAAAAAATCATTTTTTAAAACTCGGGTTATATAGTAAAAGGTCTAGAAAGACACACAAAGCAACCCTACTTGACTGGAAATTGGAAATTGGGCCAGTTTATACAATTGGGGATAATTGTATAAACTAATCACTTTTCATACATCTGCACAGTTTCAAGATTGTTTGTTTTCTACTTTGTTCTTGTATTATTTTTACGACTTAAAAAATAAGAGAAAGGCAAAAAAGAGAGGGGCGGGGGGAAGAGAAGAATTTCAAAATGATGCCGAAACCGGTTTGAATCAGTGGATAGAGCGTCAGCCTGTGGACTGAAAGGTCCCAGGTTCAATTCCGGTCAAAGGCATGTGCCTTGGTTGCGGGCACATCCCCAGTAGGAGGCATGCAAGAGGCAGCTGATCGATGATTGTCATCGATGTTTCTAACTCTCTATCCCTCTCTCTTCCTCTCTGTAAAAAAATCAATTAAATATATATATATTTTTTTAAAATGAAGCCTTCCACAGACAGCAGATTGGAGAAGTTTTGGTGGTTATCTCTCAGGATGTAGTAATATAGATGACTTTCATTATCTTCTTCGTACAATTTTTATATTGTTTCAACTTTTAAAACAAGCATATGTTATCATTATTGAACAAAAATAAAGTCTGTTGAAGGACATAAAGCCAAAATGTAAAGGATCCTTCTATTGCCTATTACCTAAAAATTAAATCATTTTCTAAACTATTTAAAATTTATTCACAGTCTATTTTGGAATAGGTTAATATCCTTGAGGATTTTTATAATTCCTTCATTTAACCACTCTGATTATGCTGTGCATGCACAATATAAAAATATACCTTTTTATTTGTTTATTTATTTATTTTTATTGTCTAAAACTTTACATATGTCTCCTTTCCCCCCAATTGACCTCCTTGCATGCATACAAGTCCTTTGTTGCTCTCTAACCTCCCTCCCACCATCACCATTTGTCTCTGGATCTATTCTTGTTCATCAAATTATGTTAATAATTATATCCCACATATGAGTGAGATCATGTGATACTTATCTTTTTCCGACTGGCTTATTTTGCTTAACATAATGCTCTCCAGTTCCATCCATGCTGTTGCAAATGGAAAAATATGAAATACTTCATGAATTTGTGTGTCATCCTTGCACAGGGGCCATGCTAATCTTCTCTGTATCATTACAATTTTAGTATATGTGCTGCCGAAGCAAGCACTAAAAATATACCTTTTTAAAGTTTGAACTGAAGTGCTTTTAAATATCAGGTTATCCTTGTTTATTATTAAAGTAAGACATTCTTGGGGTATAGGTATTTCTTATATTAAATAAAGTTATTTTACAGGTTTCAGGCCCAAAATCTTAAGTGAGGTTTAGAATTAAGTATATAAAATATTAGCATTACTGACCCCAAATTTTTGTGGGGCATTGTATCTGTAGATACAAAGAAGGAAAGCAATTGCCATTCTTAAGATTATACAATACTAGAGGCCTGGTGCATGATTTCATGCACAAGTGGGGTCCATTGACCTGGCGAGCGATCAGGGCTGATCAGGACTGCCTTGTCCAGTCCCGATCAGGGCCGATCAGGGCTGATCTGGGCCGGCCAGGGCTGATCTGGGCCGGCCGGCCACGGGAAGGGACTGACCTCAGTAAGTTTGTGGGCTGAAACCGGTTTGGCTCAATGGATAGAGCGTCGGCTTGGGGACTGAAAGGTCCCGGGTTCGATTCCGGTCAAGGGCATGTACCTTGGTTGCGGGCATATCCCCAGTAGGGGGTGTGTAAGAGACAGCTGATCGATGACTCTCATCAATGTTTCTAACTATCTTTCTCCCTTCCTCTCTGTACAAAAATCAATAAAATATATTAAAAAAAAAAAAAAAAAAAAAAAGAAAGAAAGAAAGAAAAAAAAAGTTGGCTGTAGGAGTGCACTGACCACCAGGAGCAGCTTCTGCGTTGAGCATCTGCCCCCTAGTGGTCAGTGTGCATCATGTTCACTGGTCATTAGGTTCACCAGTCATAATAGTCACTTAGGCTTTTATATATGTATATATATATATATAGATAATGTCAAGAATTTTCTGCTTAGCCCTAACTGGGTGGCTCAGTTGATTGGAGCATTGTCCCATGTACCAAAAGATTGTGATTTGATTCCCAGTCAGGGCACATACTTAGGTTGTGGGTTGGTTCTATCCCTAGTCTGGGTGTGTACATGGGGCAGCCAGTCCATGTCTGTCTGTCTATCTGTCTGTCTGTCTGTCTCTATCTATCTATATCTCTTTCTTTCTTTCTCTCTAAAAATCAATTTTCAATGAGCATATCCTTGGGTAAAAGTGAAAAATAAAAGGAATTTCTTATCTAGTGTCAAACATATTTCTATTTTCTTAGAAAGAGCACAGGCCACAATGGACAGGAAATTCCAGAGGCAAGACAGTGCTACAAATTCTGAAAGTGCTAATTTAAGTTTAGAGTGTATTTCCATTGGTGCATAAGCCATATTTTACTAATTTTTATTGCTATGTAGCATTTCATTGTATAAATATACCATAATTTATTATTTTTACTGTCAGTAGACATTTACATTTCTTCCAGTTTTTCACCATTATAACAATCCTGCTACTGACCATGTATATATCTCCTGCTGTTTATATGCAAGATTTCTCTAGGATGTATACTGAGGAGTAGATTTGCTAGATCAGAGTTTTCATCTTTTCCAAATTCTACCAAATTGTCTTCCAAAGTTATTGAACCACTGAATATAAGAGTTGTAATTGCTCTTCATCTTCACAAACACTGAGGGTGTCAGTAACTGTCATTGCTGATTACATGTTATATATAATCTCTCAGTTTGTGTGGGCCAAAATTCTTAATTAGACTAACAGACTTTATAGTAAATAAATGCAGTTCATTAAATGATAGGACTAAAAACTTATATTTAAATACAACTAGTGAAATTATGCTAAAATAAATATAAAGTATAACAGTGGAATATTTCCATTGACCAAGATTGTGTACTTTTTCTTGTTTTCACCCTCTAATTCTAGAACTAGCAAGTGAGACGGAATCACCAGTACTTTCCTACTCTCATCTGCACAGTGAAAGCTCTATTCCAGAAGAATTGGGCAGCCCTGCTGTTGAATATAGACATTCGGAATCCATAGTTCAAGAGCAGCCTGGTAGTCCAGATCACAGTATACTTACTGAAGACATGGTTTTTTCACAAGAACTGGAATCTTCTACTTCTCCTAGCAAACATGTAAGTTAATATATATTTACTAGAGGTCCAGTGTACAAAATTCCTGCACTCGCGGGATGGGAGTCCCTGACCTGCACCCTCTCGCAGTCTGGGAGCCCTTGGGGGCTGTTCGACTGACAGCTTATGCCCGCTTCCCACTGGGGGGAGTGGACAAGAGCCTTCAGTCAGACATTCTTAGCTCCGCCTTGAGGTAGGAGAGACTGCCGCCACTGCCACTGCACTCACCAGCCATGAATCTGGCTTCTGGCTGAGGTGCACTCCCCTTTGGGAGCGCACTGACCTCAAGGGGGCAGCTCCTACATTGAGCGTCTGTCCCCTGGTGGTCAATGCGCATCATAGTGACCGGTCATTCCGACATTCAGTTGATTTATATATTAGCCTCATATTATATAGGATATCTTAAAGCTTTAGGAAAAAACTGTCTAAAATGTATATTATTAATAGTTATAGTCTTATTGCTAATGGCAGTGTCATCTATCATTTATACCTGTAACATATAGTATATGACATTAGAGCAAAAATAAAGCTTTTCGTTGACTCCTAAAGATTTATAAATATCTGACCTTTTGCTTTAGTGACAGTTATAAAATTATATGCTATTAAGTCTGTTAATATTGAAGGTATAGAAAAGATAATATTGGGAATATCACAAGTTGTTATTAAAGTCTGCTTTGTCATAATAATAGAAACAATAAGAACTTAAATAGTGTGTCTTTTCTATAATGTAACTTCTAACTGCTCTATAATGTTTATAACTGTTCTATAACTCATAGTCAGAATAAAAGTAAGTTTTCATTGTTTTAAGGTGGATCTGAAATGGTTATTGATTCCAAATTAGAATAATGGTCACTTTTAGAATAAGAAATATTTTCCACATTGTTCTTAATTCTATACTTCATAAATAAAATTTAGCTGGTAAAAATTTAAGCTCCAGACTTAACTTTTTTTCTTTTTAACTTGATTTTATAAAGTATATAAAGGAATTAACCTAAAATGTCAAATATTAAATGGACACAAACATTGTGAAAACCTGTCTGTGTTTTAAAAAGTAATTCACCTAAATTCAGAATGGAATATCCTTTGTTAAAGTGGATGTTTATTGTGGATGTGAAGAAAGAATGCATTTCTCTTCGGAAAATCAGTCAGATTGACATGTGTGACAACATCTGAGAAATTTGGATGATAAATGTCATTTCTTTATCCAATGAAGAGCCCATTCCATGTTATGTTGCAAAATATTCCAATGCTTTGTGCACATACTTGAAAACAGCTTTTAGGTTGTAAAAAGATTCTAATTACAATTTCATATTAGTGATTTCTTAGTTATTGTCTATAAATGGGCTTATTGTATATATAATTTACTTGTTACATGATTCCTACCTTCCAGGAATTTAAATACAACTAGTGAAATTATTAACCAACCTATGCCTTTTTACACAATCTTATTTATCACTTGCTATAAATAGATTAGATTTTACATAGCATCCTTATTGAGGTTCAGGATAGCCACCATCTGATCGAATACAAAAAAATTCATGTTTTTTCCCCTCACAAGAAAATAGATAAAGAAAATCAAAATTAGTGTGCCTTCAAGTGGTTTTTACAATAAAAATAATAGTTATTGAGTACTTAGTTACCAAGTGCCAGGAAGTATGCTAAATGTCTTATGTGGATTAACCTCACAGTGCTCACCCAGAAGCTTCGCAGGCTAGGAAACTTGCCCAGAATCACAGGTATAGGAAGTGATTGATGGCAAGGAATCAGATCAGGCATTCTCATTTCCAGTTGACGTCAAGGTAGAAAGTATGTCCTTTGTAATCTCTTGTGGGCAGTCTTCTTATGCTCTGTTTTCTTCCCTTCTTCCTTCTCTCTCTTCCTTCAATACAAGTAGTATATATTTAGTATTTAATTTTTTTCATTTTATTGAGATATAATTGACATATAACACTATATAAGTTTAAGGTGTATAGCTTAGAATGACTTGACACACATATTTTATTAATCGATTGCCACACTACGTTTAGTTAACATCCATCACTTCATATAGTTACCAAAATTATTTTTCCTTGTTATGAAAATTGTTAGGATCTACTGTCTTTTTTGTTTGTTAGTCTTTACCCGAGGATATTTCTCCATTGATTTTTAGAAAGAATGGAAAGGAGAGGGAGAGAAAGAGGGAAACATCAATGTGAGAGAGGCACATCTACTGGCTGCCTCTCGCACACACCCTGATCAGGGCTGAGGAAGGAACCTGCAACCAAGGATTGTGCCCTTGACCAGAATTGAACCTAGGACCCTTCAGTCTGCAGACTGACGCACCGAGCCAAACCAGCTAGGGCAGCAACTTTCAAGTATACCACACAGCAGTGTTAACTACAGTTATTATGTGCCACTTTACATCCCCAGTGTTTATTTATCTTATAACTGGAAGTTCATATATTTGACCACCTTCACTCAATTCTTTAATTCCCCATCCTCCATATCTGGTAACCACAAATCTGATCTGTTTTTTTCTGTGAGTTTGGTTTTCTTTTTTTAGATTTCACATACAAGTGAGATCATATAGTGTTTGTTTTTCTCTCTCTCTGATTTAATTTCACTTAACATAATGCCCTCAAGGTCCATCCATCTTATCATACATGATGTACCATTTATTTGTTGATGGAGAACAGCCATATGGTCCAACATTTACACTTCTGGGTAGATGTCCAAAGGAAACAAAATCACTATGTTGAAGAGATAGTTTTAACACCCTAATTTAGTATGTTTTAAATTAAGAAGAATAAGAGGTAATATCACTTAAACAATAATTATTACTAGTTCATTATAAACACCTTTTAAAGTATTTTTTATAACTTCTTTTCCTTTAAAAAATTGAGGTCTTATCCTTTATAAAATTTATAAAGTGTTTTTTCATTTTTTATGTCATAGAGTTATTTAAAATTCTTTGTAAATAATACCTTTAATTGGTTAGTATCTGGAGTTTCAAATAGAATTTACAACTATTTCACAGACCAGATCTCATTTAGTTTTCTGTTTGCACAGTCACCTCCCAAAAGCTGCACGTCTGTGTCAAAGCAGGAGTCCAGCAAAGGAAGTCAAAGGATTGGCGGGCAACGGTATCCACCTGTCAGATCCCATCAACCCAGTTACAGTTGGTCAGATGAGTCATTATCTATGACACAGTCAGGTAAGACTGATAAAGAAGAGTTTTTTACTTTGTACCATACTTGAATTTCCTTAATAAGCTTTGTCAGTTATAACTATATGTTGGTATGATGTTATCCTTTGTTGCATTTACTAGTAAGCCTTTTTTTCTTGCCAGAATTAAATTTCATATATAAATTTCATTGATAATTATATCCCCAATTACGCTAAATATGGCAAACTTAGATTCTCTGGTGTTAATGGGTGTCATTTATTCATCGGGCATTTGTAGTATTTTTTCTGTCAAGCATGCTTATGTGTGCCTATTGTGCTCTGTGCTTCTGCTTGTTAAACCAGGTGGCACATCAGTTGTTGCCAAATGTTATCCAGCAGGTCTCCCCTCCTAGAATACAGACTCCTGGAAAGGAGAGTATATGTTTTGTTAATGGTTATAGCACCAGAATCTAACAGGTCCTTTGCATTGCATATGTAGGTACTTATTAAACGTTTCTTGAATGAATTAATGATGACTATGAGGAGAGGTGGGAGGTGATGAAGCAAGATAGCAAATCACTAATACATTTTTTTTCAGAAGCTCAAATTTCTTCTTTTTAAATGTTAGGTTGACTTTGCCTTTTTTTTAAGATTTATTTTTCACTGACCATTTACTTAATATTATTTTGTATTAGTTTCTAAACTGGCTTTGTTTAAATGGAATATTACATTGTTGCTTTTCAATAGTAATTATTGAGTTAACTTTATTTTTAAGTTAAAATTAAATAAAAGATTTATATCTCTTTCAGAAACTACATCTGACCAGAGTGACATTGAAGGTAGGATCAGAGCTCTAAAGGATGAGCTAAGGAAAAGAAAATCCGTTGTGGACCAGTTGAAGAAGGAACAGAAAAAAAGGCAGAAGGAAAGACTGAAAGCGCAGGAAGCCAGCCTGATCAAACAGTTAGAGGTTAGACCTGGGGAAAGGTGTTTACAATGGCAGGGCTAATGCAGATGTGATGCCTCAAATGTTTTTAATACATTAATAAAGGAATGAATTAGGATTTTTCAGTATTACTTTGATGCCACATTTTATTTTAACTCTTAAAATAAAAATCTGAGGCTATCTAAACAAACTCTTGCTTATAACACTAAATTAAATATTATTTATTTAATAGTAAACATTATAATAGTATTAAAATAAATACTAAAATGAATTAAAGTATTATGATAAGGTGTTTTTTTTTTTCTGAATAAGAAAGATTATACCATGAAAGATTACTATCCATGCTTTTTTTAAGCAAAGAACCATTAGGTAAATAATTCTAGCTATTGGAATTATTACTGCCCTTTTTCATTGATTTTTTTTTTTTTTTTTTTTTTAAGAAAGAACTGAAAGGAAGGCGGGTCTTGGGAGAGAAGGGGAAGAGAGAGACATTAATGTGGGAGATACATCTATAGGCTGCCTCCTGCACATGCCCTGACCCTTGGGGGCGGGAATCCTGCAACCCAGATACTTGCCCTTGACTGGGAATTGATTCTTCAACACACTTGTCCAGGCCAACACTCTAACCACTGAGCAAATTGGCCAGGCTGTTACTGCTTTAAAAAAATTTTTTTTTTATTGTTAGAAGAATGATGTTTCATGCCACACAACTTATTAGTATGGCTCTTTGTACTATATGGATGGTTCTTAAATAACTCTTAAACTTGACTTTTCTCCCAAAAGCTATCAGCTTTCCTTGATTCTGTGGGCTGGAAACCTGATTTTGATAGTTTCCTCATTCTGTTTTTTTCTATCCATTCAGTCACCAGGTGCCATTGATTCCTTTTTATAAAGCTTCTTGCTTGTCCTTTCCTATTTCTACTGCCATCAGACTATGGCAGTATTTGACCTCTGATCTCTACTGTCTGTTTAGCCTCTTCAATGTCTCTGCCTTTGGTTGCTTCCCTGTTCATTATAGAATTGGTTGGAACTTCTCTCATCACAAGAATTCCTTCTCGTGGCATCACCAGAGAAGGTCATTCAGCTTCTACCCAAACACTTCAAGTAAAGGGAAACTTCAAATTATCAAGGCAGTTGGTTTCATTGCTGGATTCTAGGTGCTCTAAGTATAGAAAGCTTTGTTAGGTTTAGCCAAAATTTCTGTCCTTTTAATTGTCCTCTTGGTAACACCAAACATGTGTTTGCTGTACCATTTTAAATTAAATTTATCAAATATTCAAGTCCTCGTTTATGTGCCCAGAAGTCAGCTAATTATATGTATTTTTCATTTATTCTCAAAGAAATGGAAGTGGGTATATTACTATCGCTGTTTTACATATGGGGAAACTGAGTTTCAGGGAGGTTAATGATATCCAAGGACACATAGTTTAAATGTGGTAAAGCTAGGGTTTTGATCTAGCTCTAATTCTAAATCCTATGTCCTTACTGTTTTTTACTACACTGTCTTCCACCTGGAAAATGGCCTGCTAGCACACCTTCAAAAAATAGGCAGTTACACAGTTACACAGTGACATTGGGGACTGGGGTTGAAACTCACAGATGTTTAGAATTAAGAAAAAGTGGTTAAGATACTGTGGTCATACTTGGAAGTTCATGTTGGAAAGTAGTGAGAAGTCAAATTTAAATGTAAAGAATCATGTTGAGGACCTTAGAAATTAGACTGATGAGTTTAGACTTCATTTGTGGGTCAGTAGTCTTCAACCTGACTACACATTGGAATTAACTGAGGAGCTTTTTGAAAAATACAAATATCCAGTCTCACTCCTAGAGATTTTGATTTAATTGGCCTAGGGTGGGCCCCAGGATTTAAAAGCATAACTATAGGTAACAAGCCACTGAAAGCTAAAGGAAATTTATTAGACTGAATAGCATTACTCAAAAATGTTCATTCATGGATATGTTAGGCAGAAAGACCTTTAGAGAAGTGTATAAGAATCTATTTTAGTCACCATTTTATTAAATGGTTTGAATAAAGACCAAAGAAAGTTCTGCGTTTAGGTTTTCAAAGTTTAATATATGATGTAGAAATATATAATCATAGTGATTCACATTTTGAAAAGTCTTTTGGATTTTATTTGATCACAGATTTACTAAGTATATAAGTATCACTTTCAGATCTAACACATCCTCATCCTAATATATACCTAATGAACTAGATAATCTAGCTGTAGTATATGTCTAATATCAGAAGTTACTTTATTAAAGCATTAAGACTTCCAAGCAAGGTAATATGGATAGTAGGAGTTGTAAAATTAGGGCTTTTAGCTTAGAAAACTAAGGATAAACTAATATATGGAGAGCTTGCCTTAGATTTCATACAAATTAGAATTATAAATGAAGAAAGTTTTATTTACAAAATGGCTAATAAGTAGGAAACATTCTCTGTGATTCTGAGTTATTCTACTCCCAACCACACCTTTCTCTTTAGGATGTATATTTCTTGTAAGTGCTACCACTTAAAGCATATTGCCATCGAAACTCAGCATATTGGCTAACTTCTTTAAAAGTCCATGGGAAGTATTAGGCCATCCTTTAAAGAATAATTTTATCAGCTGAAGACGTTTTTAATGTGTCAGGGCCTGAATTATTGTTTTATAAGTATTAAGATACTGCAGATTGAGACTTTATCATTTTCTAATTGATATGAGGATTACAATTCTACGACTTCCTTTTATACATAGACTATTTCAAGAAGGTTATACAAATAACTCTTGATAGAGATATCAGGAATGATACTGATGCTGGGATAAAGATTTTTACATTTTACTGTTTTATATTTTATAAAATACACTATTTTATAATTTAAAATAGTTTTTAAAATTCTATATAGTGATGCTTCTGATTTTCTTAAATTTAGTCATATGATGAATTCATTAAGAAAACTGAAGCCGAGCTTAACCGAGATTTGGAAACATCACCAACCGCCAAGCCTCAGATTAAAACACTCTCCTCAGCTTCTGAAAAACCCAAGATCAAGCCTCTTCCACTACACAGGTAGAAATTTTTGATAACTTCTCTATATTCCGCCTTGTTTGAGAAAAGGATAAGGAAAGACTTTTAGTAGAAGCTATCTTAAATAACTGTGAAATTGTAATAGTAAAAATATTGGTTTATATTTTTAGTTTCACTAACGTAATTATTATATATGATATAATTAAAAATCAAATTTATAATAAGTACAAACTTTAAAATATATTTTGAATCCTGGAATCTGATAGGTACAATGAAAATAGTATTCTCTAATATTGCTAATCTTAGCACTGTAAGTTTGTATAGACCTTTTGAAAAACAATTCGCCAATGTTTCAAAAGTAAAAAAAAAAAAAATTTGTAACTTTTAAAATATATATATATTTTTTTTTATTGATTTCAGAAAGGAAAGGAGAGGGAGAGAGAGATAGAAACATCAATAATGAGAGAGATTCATTGATCGGCTGCCTCCTGCACACCCCTTCCTACGGATTAAGCCCGCAACCAGGGCATGTGCCCTTGACCAGATTGAATCTGGGACCCTTCAATCTGCAGGTTAACGCTCTATCCACTGAGCTGGGTAGGGTAAAAATTTGTAACTTTTGACTTAATAATCTCACTTTGGGAAATCTAGCTTGAGAAAATACAAGCTACCAGAAATCTCTGTTTAAAAGAATATTGCTTATCACAATATCCTTTATATTAATAAAACTATAATGTAATCTTTATGTCCAAAAATTAGTGAATAGCCCAATAAATTATGGTTCTTTTCAGGACAGAATACTATACAACCAGTAAATGCATATACAGAAGACACTGAGTAGCAACATAAGAGTGCATAATCAAAAAAAAAAAAGAATGCATAATCCTATATAATAAAAGCTTAATATGCAAATCAGCTGACCAGTGGAATGACAGGGGGCAGGGTCAGTGCGCTCCCACAGAAGGAGCACCGCTCAGCCACAAGCCGGGCTGTTGACTGGCGAGCACAGCAGCGGTGGCAGCAGCGCTAAGCCGTCAGTCAGAAATCTCCTAAGGGCTCCCGGACTACGAGAGGGTGCAGGCTGCAGGCCAGGCTGAGGGACTCCCCTCCAGTGCACGAATTTTTATGCACCAGGCCTCTAGTATGGCATATAAAAAAGTGAGGTAATGTTCAAACTAAATTTTGAACATTGAGCAGGGCTTAGGCAGTCAGTGGGACTGGAAAATTGACATTTCAGAGAGCAGGATATTCATGAATGACCAAAAGCATATAATAGAAGCTGAACATAACATTTTGTTGGAGTGAGAAGCAACCAGAAAAACAAAGAAAAATTGTGATAACTTTACATTTATTCATTTTTAGTAGTTTTTGTTTTACTTTTTTTAAATTTATTTTTTTAAAAATATTTTATTGATTTTTTACAGAGAGAAAGGAAGAGAGATAGAGAGCCAGAAATTCTATGAGAGAGAAACATCGACCAGCGCCTCTTGCACATCTCCCATCAGGGATGTGCCCGCAGCCAACGTACATGCCCTTGACCAGAATCGAACCCGGGACCTTCAGTCCGCAGACTGACGCTCTACCACTGAGCCAAACCGGTTTCGGCTGTTTTACTTTTTAGATGTAAAGCCTTTAAAGGTTTAAATATATATATTTGGGAAATTTTTTTCTTTGTTACTAAAGTAACTTATTACAATTAAATTAACATTACCTGAGTTTGAATCTTGGCTCAGTACCAGCTAGCTATTCAGCTTTGGTCAAGTTATTTAATATCTCTGTGCTTCAGTTTTTGTTTTTGCTTTTTAAATTAAAAAAAATTTTTTTAATTAATTTTTAGAGAGAGAGAGAAACATCGATATGAGAAACATTGATCAGTTGCCTTTCAAATGTGTCTCAATGGGATTGAACTGCACCTGGGTATGTGCCCTGACTGGAAATTAAACCTGCCACCTTTTGGAGTGCACAATGATGCTCCAACCAAATGAGCCACACTGGCCAGGGTTGTGCTTCATTTAGTAGAGAGTTATATTCCTGTAATGACACCTTACTAATGAACATGTTAATGAGGGTTAAAATTCTTAACTTAGAATAGGGCCTCGCACATAATTTAGCACTATGTATTAGTTATTATTAATATTATTATTAGAATATTCAGGAAAGCAATAAATTTTATTTATTTTTTACCTAGCTCTCCCCAAAAATTAAATGTCAACAGATATATTTCTTTCTAACATTTTTTTTGTGCTTAGATCTTTGTGTATTTTTGTTACTTTTTTTATTATAAATTATAAATTTTATTTTAATTTCTACATAATATACTATTGAGTGGTTTTAGAGTTTTATTAATTAAGCTACTGAAGGATTTTTATCAGAGATTGATACAAACATATTTGTGTGTGGAGAGATCTTTCTGACTACAATATGAAGGAAAGATAGAAAGAATAAGCCTAGAAGTAGGGAGAAAGTAGTCTAAGCCAGGCCTCAAATAATCAGCAGTAGTAAGAATAGAGAATAGGAGATAGATTTCAGGAATATTTAAGCAGAAGCCTTGAATGATAGGGAAGCAGGGGAAATCTAGGATGATTCCCAGGTTTCTTTTAAGTAGTTGGTTCCGTCAAAGTTTCATTAACCTAAAAGCTATAATCCTCAGGTATCGTTTTTATGAGAAGTTCATGATTTTGGTTTTAAAATGTTGATTTTGAGGTGCCTGTATTCATCTAAGTGGAATTATCCAGGAAAGATGTCAGGGTTAGATATATGGGGATGAGATGGTGGCTGAAGCCATAAAATATAGCAACATAACCCAAAAAAGGTATGCATTCAGAGAGATAAAGGGGAGTCAAGTACTAACCATAATAAAATAGTAACATTTAAGAACATTATAAAAAGGCAGGATTAGATGCCAAAAGATAGATGATAGCATGAGGTGGAGGAATGAAAAACTAAGGGGGAATTTTTTTTTTTTTTTTTTTTTTTTTTTTTTTAAGGCTTGGGGCATTCTTATAAGTTGAGGGAGGAAATTTCCAGAATGAAGGACTAAAGACTGTAGGAAAGAGAATGGATAATTGAGGCATATCATCAGTGAGGCTGTGGAAATGTGTATGATTTGAGACAGAATGGAATTTGAACAATTAGCTTTGAACAAATATGAGAGACACACCTTTTCCTTTCCTGCATGAGGAGGAAAAGCAGTTGGAATGGCTGTGATTATAGATAAATTTGTAGGTTAGAGGCTGAAGACAAAAAAGTTCATGCTGATGGCCTGTTTTTCTCATTAAAAGAGGCAAGATCATCTACTGAGAGTGATGTGGGTCAGGCATAGGCTTGATGAAAGTGGCAAAGGTTGGAAATACCCCTGAGGATAAGAAGAAAGAAGTGGTTTTCTAAGAATTGACTGTTCTGTTATTAGTTATTATATTATAGTATCAGCCTTACATTTATTACTGTTCATTAATTTCTACTTCAGATCTGAAACAGCAAAGAATTGGAAATCACTAACGGACTCAGAACGTTCCAGAGGATCCCTAGAGTCTATTGCTGAACATGTTGGTATGTAACTAGAAAAAAAAGACACTATATCTACATAGACTGAGGATTTATGCTAATGCCTACACAATTTTCCCTTTAGCTTTTTGATTAAGAAATGAATTTCTTAAAGATAATAGATTATTTAATATTTTAAGTTACTTTTATACTTTTAAGTGGTTTCTTAATTATGCATCAGTTATATGAACCTATCTTTATTGTTCCAAATTTATGATTAAAAACTGAGGAATAGAGACATTAATCTAAAATGGCTGAGTGTATCATCAGCATCTCTAAATTCTTCCTTAGTCAGACTCTGTTTCTGATTATGTATATTTTCAACTTATACTATTTCTCATGATAAATGGTTATATATAGTATATTTTTTCTGTTTAATACAAAGAAAGATAAGAGTTACTAAAAATAAAGTGTTAGTCAATGAGGAAATAAAACAGAGGCATAAAAAACCCTACCTAATAGTGAAATAGCAATTTGAATTCAAATTTTAATTCTTGATTTGTTAGCACATCTGATCTTATTCTTATTTTGCTATTTAAGCTCTTAAAGTGATATATTTGCAGAAATAGTTTATCTTTTTTCTTTCCCCTTTTTATATTCAAAAGCTTAATTAAAATCCTCAGGAAAATTCATTCTTTAAAAAAAAAAAAAAATATATATATATATATATATATATATATATATATATATATATATGAATGAAGGAGAGACAAATATAGTATATAAGATGTAATATTTGTCACAAAATTCTGTTTTTGCATTATTTGAGAATGATCATGTAAAATAATGCCTCCATAAACTTAGATTCATTTTTCACTTTATAAGTTAGAATAGCAAGAAATTATTCCAACTTTAAATTTTCAGTTATTTTAATACCTATTTTTGGTGCAGTATATTCTCTTAAAGGAAAAACTTATCTTATATTGTAACCAAAAGAGGTCAGATTTTTTTACCAAAATGTTTATTAACTAAGATTTGGCTTTTATTTAAACATTGGTTCTAGAAATTGAGAAATTATGATTAAATAATTTTTATGTGATTTTTTTTTCCCCTTTAAGATGCTGCATTGGCAGGTTCTGAGAGATCAGTATCAGAAAGATCTTTATCTGCTTATTCAAGGAGAATGATTGAATTGGACAGTCGAATAGAAGAGCATTTTCAGACTTCGTCACCAATTCTTAGATCATCAAGGAAAATCAGAGCAGAATCTGGAGATTCTCTAGAAAATATACCTTCATTACCTCCTCCCAAAGAATTAAATGCCCCTAATAGAATTTTGGATGTGTCAGGTGCCACAGTTGAAGAAGCAGCTAATCAAAAATCAGAAATACAAGAAGTAAAATACACAGAGTTAGAGGAGAGTACGGTTGAAGAAGTCTATTTTAAACAATCTGGGAAGTCTGATGTCTTACTGAAACTAGACCTTGAACAAGGAGATTCATCTGGAATTCTTTCAAGGAAAAATCTTCCTTTAGATGCTATAAATGTTCAGAAAGACTTAGTTAGCTTAGCCATTGAAGACCTTGACAAAAAAGAATTGAAAGAGAGACAATCAGATCAAGATATGGATCATAGTCAAAACATCCCGTCAGAAAGAGGCATTCATCAACAAAAGAACATAAAGGAAAGAGACTTGTCTTTGTCAGAACATCTTCTTGCTCCTAAAGAAATATCATACTCTGAAGACTTTGAAGTGTCGTCTTTCAAGAAAGACATGTCAGCTGAATTGTGTAAAGGTAACTTTGAGGTATCATCATTGTTGTCACGCAGGAAAGACTCTCAGTCTTGCAAAGATAGGTCACAGTCAACAGGAAGCTCTAAAAGTGAAGCCAACAGCTTTAGTTCTGATGGTGAAATCAGTGAGCGCCTCAGTGAGAAAAGCCTTTCTATTCATAGCAACATCCACTCTGAAAGGCTGTTAGAACTCAAGTCTCCTACTGAGCTCATGAAAAGTAAGGAGCGCAGTGATGTGGAGCATGAACAGGGGGTTACTGAATGCTCTTCTTTGACCTCAGTTCCTGTTGCAGATGAGTTACTTGATTTCCACATTGGTGATAGGGTATTGATTGGCAATGTTCAGCCAGGAACTCTTCGATTCAAAGGTGTGACTAGTTTTGCTAAAGGATTTTGGGCTGGAGTAGAGTTGGATAAACCTGAAGGAAATAATAATGGGACATATGATGACATTGTGTACTTTGTGTGCAAAGAGAAGCATGGTATTTTTGCTCCTCCACAAAAAATATCTCACCTTCCAGAAAACTTTGAAGACTATGTAGACACAAATGAAGATGAAGACTGTTACTCAGATGAACAATATCACTACAATAATCAAGAACAAAAAGATACAGAGGGTTCCACATTTGATAGAGAAAAGGTTGCCGTTGAATATTTGTATGAGAAATCTTTACCTGGTGTGCACGATATTGAAGCATCAGTTGATAGAAGCCTTAAAATAGAAACGGACCATTCACAGGACATTTCTGAGGTCCTTGAAGCCCATGCTCACCAGCAATCTCCAGTGAATTCACTGATTTCTTCAAAGGACAACAAAGACCTTGTTTCTGGTGCCACAGAAGATGTTTCCATTGCTATAGAAGATGATACTTTAGACAATACCTTTTCTGAAGAATTAAAGAAGCAAGAGCAGATTACAGAAAAGGTCGAGAACCTGTATTCCGAGTTTTCAGAAAAACCTTCTACCCCACTTTTGGATCTTTTAACAAGAGAAAAGAACCAGTTAGAAGCCCAGCTGAGGTCATCAGTAAGTGAAGAAAAAAAGTCAAAGCAACAACTAGAAACAGTCAGCTTACTAACAGACAGTTTATTAAAAGTCTTTGTGACAGACACAGTCAGTCAACTACAACAAATTAAAAAAGCTAGGAATGAGAAAATCCAGCTTAGCAATCAGGAGTTTCTTGATGATCAAAAGAAAGTACCACCCCAAGGCCTATCTCCAAATCTTGAAGAACAATCACCAAGTGTTCCAGGTGACTTCTTAAGGTCTGAATTGGATGATGAAAAAGAAGAGATTTCTTCTCCAGATATGTGTCCCAGACCTGTAAGTATTTTGCCTCGAAGAAATGTCGATTAACCTCACTTTTGTCATGCATTTTAATTCAGATTTTATGTGTGAAGATCAGTGTATACTGATTTTTTAAAGGCCTTTAACTGTTTTTCTGTCTGAAGTATAATTGTCCTCTGTTATGTCATGAGTGGTCACTATAGGGTTGTCACAAACACTGGCAGGTTTATGTTGGATTGACAGCCCTTGAATACTGCCCACAGATTACATAGATTCCCTTTCAGATTTATTGAACAGGTTTCCCATGGAGCTTTACAGTGGTTCTCAACCCAGTTCTTTTTTGCCTATGAATTTGTTTGTCCTCGTGTCTACTCAGTCATAGTTGTTCTGCAAAAATGACCAGTTATGATATTGATTCTGGTAAGACTAAATTACATATATTATAACATCTACTCAGACCATCAACTTGTTTAGGTTGTTCATGGACAGTTGAACAAAAGTAATGATTTTGAGTAACATGAGCCAGATAATCACTAAGATGAGAAATTTCATATCCCATTTCTAAATCCCAGAGACCAGACAGTTCTACAGAAACAGAATAATAATGATACAAAAAGAAAACAAAAACATCAATAAAAATTTTATAAAAATTCAGCTTATGTAACAGAATTATGGGACACAGGGTAGTTTTTTTTCTTCTTAAATTAGTAACCATCATATAGTTTTTGTTTTGCTTATTATATTTACTAGAGATATAGTAAATATACAAATAATATATTTGCTTTGTCTTAAAAATAAACAAACACATAATTGATCTGAGGTCACTAAAAGGTGTTGTATTTGAATGTGCCATTTTTGCAGGAGAGTCCAGTATTTGGTGCTAGTGGGCAGGAAGAGCTTGCTAAAAGACTTGCTGAACTTGAGATCAGCCGTGAGTTCCTGAGCGTGTTAGGAGATGATCAAGACTGGTTTGATGAAGATTTTGGTTTGAGCTCTTCTCACAAGATCCAAAAAAACAAGGCAGAAGAAGCAATTGTACCTCTAATAGCAGAAGCTAAAAGACCTCCCCAAAAGCCATGTGAAACACTCTTGGCAGTCCCACATACTGCAGAGGAAGTAGAAGTTCTTGTGCACAGCGCCGCAGAAGAACTTTGGAAATGGAAAGAATTAGGTCATGATCTTCATAGCATCAGTATTCCTGCAAAGCTGCTTGGCTGTGCCAGTAAGGGTCTCGATATAGAAAGCACTAGTAAAAGGGTCTATAAACAGGTATGTAACTTGGAAGGATAATTCTAACTTTAAACTTCTCTCTTGCCTGAAATTTGGGTTCTTAGCCATTTTATTTTATTTTTTCTCTATTAAGGCGGTTTTTGATTTAACAAAAGAGATTTTTGAGGAAATATTTGCTGAGGATCCCAACTTGAATCAACCTGTCTGGATGAAGCCATGCAGAGTCAACTCTAATTATTTCCGACGAGTGAAAAATCCAAATAACCTTGGTGAAATTAAGGTAAACTGCAAATTATAGAGTATCTCCTTTTAAATGCTTATTTATACATGCTGTCCTCAGAGCCTGTTCCATACTGGGTATTCAATAAATACTTGATTCATTGAAAACATGAACAGTGGAAGGGATGGGACAAGAGGGAATCCTGAATCCTCAAGATTTGCAAAACAAAACATAACTTTTAATTTTTATCGTCACTGGAGGATGTTTTTCCATTGATTTTTAGAAAGAGTAGAAAGGGGGCAATAAAGACAGAGAGAAACATCAGTGTGAGATAGACACATTGATTGGTTGCTTCCTGCACCCACCCAACCAGGGCTGGGAATCAAGCCTGCAATCGAAGTACATGCCCTTGACCAGAATCAAACCTGGGACCCTTCAGTCTGAGGGCTGATGCTCTAGCCACTGAGGATCTGGCCAGGGCAACAAAACATAACTTTTAGAAGTCATTTCATTTATATATATAAAATTTATAATGTCTAAGAAAAAATTGGGAAATTTTCGGACAAATTATTGCATCTCATAGGTATTTTTGATGAGTTTTTGGTAATTTAAAGGTAAGTATAATATTCTAGAAGTACACCATGTATCAAACATGTCCATCCTAGACACATAGGTGTTACCTTTCCATATTTGATTCCCATTTTGGAGGTTTCAAATTGGTAATGTGGTTTTGAAATATGTGGGATAGTAATATGATGTATAAAAAATACTTTGTTATCTAAGAAGCCCCTGAAAAGATGAAGTGACCTGAAGCTACAAGTTCTTCCATCAAACCAACTTTTAAGCTACATTGGTGGAAATTCTCTGATTATTTAAATGTTTCTTTAATTCAGCAAAGGTTATATTTTCAGTGCAGTGCCTCTCATATTTTAATGTGCATATAAACCATCTGGGAATTTTGTTAAGATGGGGATTCCTACTCAGTAGGTGTGGAGTAGGACCTGAAGCTCTGCATTTCTATCAGGCTCTCAAGTGACACTGATGCTATTGATTCCAGAACCACTCTGAGGAGCAAAGCTCTAGAGTTGTTTTCTAAACTTAGTTGATCATAGAAAGCTTTTCTTTTTCCAGAGAACATACCTCTAGTTGCTCATCTTATTGGTGTATTTTCTTACACCATCCAGGAGTATATGTGAACTATCAAAATACATTAATATTGTTCATATACATTATCCCGGTATATAATGTGATGGCATTGCCTAAAAAAGTCTTTTTTAATTTGAGTTATAATTGACATACTAGTGTCAGATATACAACATATTTGTATATTCAATATTTGTTTATATTATGAAAAGATCACCACAATAAGCCTAGATATTATCACACATAGTTACAAATTATTTTCCTTTTGATAAGAACTTTTAAAATCTGCTCTCTCAGGAACTTTCAAATGTGTCAGACAGTATTATTGACAACAGAAAGCTTTAGAAAATATTTGTACTGATAGGGATTTGTAATATATGCTTATATCAGGGTAGGCAGACTATGGTCCACAGGCCAAATCCAACCCACTACCCATTTTTATAAATAAAGTTTTATTGGATCATAGCCACATCCATTTGTTTATATATTGTCTATAGAGCTACTTTCCTGCTAAAATATTTATAATCTGGCCCTTTATAGAAAAAGTTTTCTAGCCTCTGTTTAGATTAAGGTAAGTAGCAAAAAAAGAAAAAAAAGTTTTTAAAGATTAATTTGATTAATTTAAAGAAAAGAAACTTTTAAAATGACTTTCAACTTTGAGGACTATCAGAACCACCTGGGGAGCTTTCTCAAAACACTAATGTCCTTCATTTTTTTCAGCCCTTCACAGTTTATACATCCTTGAATGTGTGTGTGTTTAGGCAGGGAATGGTGGAGTTTGAGGAGCACAATTATAGTTAGAGAATCATTTCAAATTATCCTGATTCATAAGTGTGCCATTTCCTCCATTAAAGATATTGTTTTTTAATAAGTAATAACATATAGACAAATATATATTTAATAGACCTTAAATATACTTAAAAAGTAAAAAAAATAAAAATTATTAGTAACAACAGTAATTTTGTTGAAATTAAGTTGAAAATAACACATGATACATGATATATATCAGCAGTATCAGAGTGTATATATCAATATATTTCACAATGATGCTTCTCACTAATTTTAATATTGAAATAACATTACATAAAGTTTTAAAAAGATGATAGTCCTAATGTTGCTAGCAATAAAATTATTAGGCTTCTTACACCAAAGTGTTGATTAACATTTTAAAAATTTAACTGAATCTTGATACTTCAAAATAAACTATCCCAGCCAAAGCCTTATACTTTGCTCACATGGCATTGCTCCCAAATTTATGTTGGATTTTTCAGGGTCAGAGATATATTTAATGCCTTCTTACCTAGTTTTGCCAGCTTGAAGTCAGCTAATGGTTCTTGGGTTGTGAGCCTCTAAAGTGATTTTTCTTTGCAGATTCATCAATGGGTTTTACTTTCTTATGTTGTGTAAAAACAAAATTCTTTAAGTAAATAATGTCTGAGCTTTTAGAATACTTTTCACGTTGCTAAGTGGGAGAAATTTGTGTACTCTTTATTATACATAATAAATCTGTTTGCTGCATTATTATAAGCATGAAATCTCAGAAACTTTGTGTTTTATTCATTCCTCTTATTTTTATAGAACTTTATAGCAACTGAAGTACTCAAGTTGTTCAGTCTTAAAAAGGAGCCAAACCACAAAACAGATTGGCAGAAAATGATGAAATTTGGAAGAAAGAAAAGAGACCGAGTGGATCATATCCTGGTCAGTATATATAACAGCTGTTTTTATTTTGACCATCTCTTCTGAAGCCAGAACATAGTTAGGTCCTGAAAGGAAAGGGAATAGAATTGACATTAAGTCTATAATAGTAACGTCGTAAAGTTTTCACCTGCTTCATTCTTACTCCTTGGTTTTGGAAATTGCTTTCTTTTGAACTCAGTAGATGAATATTTAACTGAACAGTATTTTGTAGGTGTGGAGGACTTGAGAAATAAAAAGTTAAGAAAGCAAAGTTGAAGGAACTGAATTGAGAAGACACCAGTGTAGACTCTTAAGTTGAAATCCCTGTTCTACCACTTACTTGGAGTGCAATCTCCAACAAGTCATCTAGCTAACCCCTTTGTGCCTATTGCAAAATGGAGGTGATAAAATTATTAAGAGCATTAAATGAGCATTCATATGTCTATATTGAACAGTTCCCTGCACATAACTCAATAGATATTAGCAATAATTATTTCATCATCATTATTCAGAATTTTAGCTGGATAGGATTTATTCCATTTTGTGCTACATTTCTCTAGCATTAGAAAAATGTTTATCAAGCAAACAAAAAGGAAGGGGGAAAAAAAGGTCTTTTGTCCTTTATTCCTGAGTTGAAAACCTTAGGAAACTCAGATGTTACTGGGTTCAGGTTTATCTCTAAATATTTTCATTCTGAACTTCCTATTTTATCTATATTTACAATCATATAATTAAAAATGAGTAATACTTAAGTTGATCAGTTTTCCCCAAGTATGTACCTCTCTAGTGCTTCATTTACTAAGGTAAACATTTGTTTATTGTTTTACAGTTCATCATCCTTTCTCATGCTTTATTTGATCTTCACAGTAATTAATTCAATGGAAGTTTTTTTTTTTTGTTTTGTTTTGTTTTTAAGAAAATAGTAAAGAGGGAATTGGTAGTGAGAGAGTTTTTTCTGCTGGAAAGAAATAGACTGGTAGGAGGAATTCAAAGGAGAAAATCTGATGATGCAGAGAAGGAGGTAACTGTTGGAGTGAACGGGCAGGGGTGATGGGGTCCACACAGGGAGGGGTGGCCTCAAAAGGACAATTGCCCTTTAAAGCCCAAATGACATGTTAAATTATTATATTAAACATTTTATAATAAACAATTGCTTCTTCTAAATTGTTTATTTCTACAAGTTTCCATTTAATATTTCAGATCAAAATTAACTATGGGGCCGAAATTGGTTTGGCTCAATGGATAGAGCGTCGGCTTGGGGACTGAAAGGTCCCGGGTTCGATTCCTGTCAAGGGCATGTACCTTGATTTCGGGTATATCCCCAGTAGGGAGTGTGCAAGAGGCAGCTGATCGATGACTCTCTCTCATCGATATTTCTAACTCTCTATCTTTCTTCCTTCCTCTCTGTACAAAATCAATAAAATATATATTTTTAAAAAAGATTAACTATGGGTAATTAAAAACATGGAAAGCAAAGCTGCTATAATTAAACCAACTTTTGTATGTCCTTTATATACAATAACTTTGAAAAATATTCCTACAGTAGGTAGAAATGCACTTGACATTCAAATCCTGCAGCAAAACTACCTGGCTAATGATTGAATCCCCTTATAATCTGATAAGTTATTGGATAGCTCCTGATTTTCTACTTATAATGTTGGTAAATTCTCATGTTAAGCCTAAATTGAACTTTACATATTTAATTCTAATTTGCTTTGAGGTTTTATATAGTAATTCTAATTCTTCCTACACACCTTTGAAACAGATGTCAAATTTTACCTGAGTCTTTTTCTCCCTGCTAAACATTGATATCTCTCCTGTTGTCTGAGTTTCTCAGTCCCTTCTATGCTCTATTAGTGCCCTTCTGTAAATACAGTGCTCAGACTAGACCATGTAATATTTTGTGTAGTGCTTACATTAGCACAGTCATATACCCTTCTTTTTCCTATATACTATACAGTCAAGCATCACATAATGATGTTTCAGCTGACAGTGGACCAATATACTGCTGTGGTCTCTTCCTTGGCTGCCAGGTGCCGGGGGGCCTGCCTTCATTCTGTGCCACCCCCTGGTGGTCAGCACACGTCATAGAGAGCTAGCAGCCTCCAGGTTTCCTGGTCGAACTTCCGAGGGGATACTTTGCACATTAGCCTTTTATATATATATAGGCAGTCCTTGGGTTACGTAGGAAATCTGTTCCAATGGTGATCCGTTCCTACAGTGCAATGTAACTCGATTTTCATTCTTAAGTTGGAACCCACCTACATAAGCACCTGTGTCACTCACATGGAGCACATGTACAGCAGTAATAAAGTGAAACAGTAAAAAAAATATATAAAAGAAAGATAACAATTCCTGAGCTTGTGATAAATAAATAATGAAAAACGTACAGTACATATGTCGGAATGATGGAACTTTTTTTTTTAATATAAATACTGTAAATAGGAGGTGGCCACGTAACCATGAAACGACGTGAGTCAAGTCCGCTGTAACCTGAGGACTGCCTGTATAGATACTTCAGAATCATATCCAATATTGTCCTTGGATATATATGCATTTTATAATTGGAAAGCTAGAAAGCTAGTAATTTGCTTTCTTCTTTCTCAAGTTCTCATACATATTATCTTCTGTTAACAGACAACATGCTTGCAAACCTTACTAACTAAAATACTGGAATGTTGTTAAATTCTATTTTGACAGTTTTGAAACCACTTTTAGTTGGCTGTTGAGTTTTTTGATGCTTTTTGCAACTTTGAAAGTTTATTGATAGAATCATTTAACTTACCCTTTTTCTCTGGCTTATTTCCTTGGCCTGTTTTCCCAGGGATGGGACTGCAAAGCCATCAAGTATAATACATTTCCTATCTTTTATGCTAACTTCTAACTTTTGTGTTTTCTAAATTCTAGGTGCAGGAGCTCCATGAAGAGGAGGCACAGTGGGTGAACTATGATGAGGATGAGTTGTGTGTGAAGATGCAACTAGCGGATGGGATCTTTGAGACCTTGATCAGAGATACTATTGATGTTCTGAATCAAATAAGTGAGAAACAGGGGAGAGTGCTACTTGTGTGACATCTTGCAAATAAATGGAACACTGAGTGCTAATATGAGTCCTGGGCCTTTCTGCCTCCTGATACACACCCCATCGCCATCATAGCAAGAATGCTTCTGGACCTGGTACCTGTTCTCAAAGACTACTGGTTTGGAGCCCACGGGACCATGCGGTATCTGGTATTACAGCCTCTGCTTTTAGAGACTGTCCACTGGATTGGTGTTGATTTTTAGTGGGCAGGGTTGCACATCTTTCATGGACACACAGTATATAATTCTACACCTCTTGTTAGCACCCCTCCTGGGTCTCAGATGAGGGCTGAAAACACCAGACTTACCTCGTAGCTTAGACTAGGGTTTCACTTTTTGAGTCTGAAGTCAGGCAGGAGAGGTATATAGATAAATGCATCATACCATTTTGAGATGTAATGCTGGTCCGTGATAGTCTTTAAACAGTGTTAAGTCCTTAATCACTTCTAAATAGGCAAGTTTAATAGCGAGTGCCTAGTTCACATTCTGGATTTCATTTCTCTTTGAAGACCATTCTCTTCCATTTTGTAGTTGAGCACCACCATGTGGACTGTCATGTTAACAGAAACTAATAGTAGCCTTGCTTTCTGAGCACCATCAAAAGAATTGGAAATCTTTGCATTATTTTAGTTTTCTCTGTATGGGCATGAAAACAAATAATGCCCCCACTAAAGACTGGGCTCAAAGGACTGATGTTGGGCTGGCTTTTTTGCCCCTTGCCTGCCCCGAACTGTTCTTCCTCTTCTGAACCTCTGTTGCTGCTCCCAGAATTGAGGCCCTCAAGACCATCTCAGGCATCCAGGCATGGCAACAGTGGAAGTCATCCATTGGCCTTCAAACTTTCAGCCCCATCTCTCCCCAAGAAATCAGAGACGCTGTTACTTGAATGATTTAGGAAATGAGTGTGTGCACCAAAGACAAAAAGATATTGTCTGTTGTTTGTGTGCTTGTTTTGTGCTATGGAACATTTTTTTAATTTATTTTAAGATAAATTATTAAGTTGAAAATGTGTGTCCCTACTCAGAAGCAAAAGATTCTTCTTACAACAGTTCCACTTCTATCTTGAAGCTTCTCTGGTTCATGGTCTTTGCACAGGAATCATCTGATTTTAACAAACCCACACACACATCAAAGAAGGCAGTTAATTCAGTGAAGAAAAGACAGGCTTTTCCAAGATCGCCTGCAGTAGCAGGAATGAGCTAACATGATTGAAAGACATTGTAATGTTCAGTTCTGCCTCTCTTGCAGCATTGCTTCTCACAACTGTTACGTGTATCTGAAAAATTACCTAGACTCCAGCTGCTACATTAGAGCATGTGCGATGCTCTCGGGACCTCGGTGCCCTGCCTTCCTGACTGATTCCTCTTCCTCAGTCCTGTCCTTCAGGTACCTAGAAGAATGTGGATAATCTTAGGCGTGAATGTAAAATGCCTTAATATTGAAGGTCCCGATTAGAAGCATGATGTAAGACATCCACTGCATTCCTATTTACAAGCATCCTGGAATGTTACAGCTTCAGAATACGTTAGAAAAACCCCAAAGATGGTGTATTGATTATGTGTGCACGTTCGTTCATTTCTGCATCTTTCCTCCAGACTTGCCTTTGCGTCTCAGATGTTTCACTATGCACACTTCCATTCCTCTTGGTTTCATCTTGTCATTATGAGAATCTCACTGAACTAACATTGGACTATTTGCATTTTGCACAATGACTGGTGTGATAGCTCTTGACAAATAAGGAAAGCACTGATTAAATGTTGTGATTGGGTCTCGGAAAACGCTCGGATTGATGTATTGCCAGCATTTCTTCTGGGCTTTTGAAGTTGAGCTGCGGTCTCACAGCCATAGTGAGCAAATGGACTGAGAGAAGCGAGGATTTCTTGGGGTGTTGCCCAGTGGTGTGGAATGTGCTTCATGTGGCCAAGGAAAAGCAAAGGCCTTTCCTGTCCGGTTTGCGTGCTTTGGAAAACAGCACAACATCTTGTCTACATCCTTCGGCCGTTTGTAAAATAACATTGTCCTTACAATACCTGGAACATTAGAGCTGCTGTAATTTTTTTTATAAAGGAATATAAAAACAATATAATAGGACTATAGGTTGTTTTTCTACATCCTCATAATTTGGACCTAAATCAATTTTTAATAAGAAAGTTTATCTTTATTCTTTGTGACATTATGATTTCAGAAAAGCAAAGAAATGCAGTAAGTCCGTGGAGTCAGCAATCTGGGCTGAGAGTCCCTGGTAAGAAAGCTGCCAAGAATGTGGTGGCAGCAGTCCCCACAGGCTCCCGCTGTCTTCATCGGCCCAGGAGCCCTGGGCTCCAGATGAAAGTGATTCCTGATCAGTCTTACTCTTGGCTATCAATGATTATCCATAGTTCGGTAGCGGAAAACAAAGGAATCTATAATAAGCAGATTTCTTATTATTTTAACCATTTGGATATAATTGGAAGCGTGATAATTGTTAGGACTGGAATGATAACTATGGATACCCAGCCACTTGTTCCATATTGGGATCTTTTTAATCAAGCTCTGCCTCTTAACCATGAACCTAATATTCCCTCTTTGTGATCTTTGTTCCTCTCCCCACACTCCCATCCTCTTTCACTTCATAATTCCTCTAAGAAAAAGATCTTTGCATCAGCAGTAATATCTTTTACAATAGCACTCAGAATTTAGTAGTAAACCAACATATAGGCTTCAGATTTATTTCTGAGTCCAAAACAATTTGTGCTATCCAGGGTGCTTAGCTCTGGGTTAAACAAGTACAGGGTATAGATTCCCTCTTCAGGTCTAAACAGGAATTTTTACTCTAGGGAAAAGTGGGAAGAGCTCAAAAGTAGTTACTAAGGAAGGTTATTTGTTTTTCTTTTATCTAAAAGAAAAAAAAAATTCCTTCTGTGACTACAGGTTTCTGAGAAATTATCTTTCAGAAGAGATTTCATTGCTCATAAGAGTGTTGTGGCCTATTGATAAAAACAATTTTGTTCACTTTCTTGTCTTGAAAAAAAGTGGCCTTAGCTTTTTGCAATACTTGAATAAAGCGTGTACTCGCACAGCATTAGAGACTCATAACTTTCTGCAAGAAGTTCAAACTTACATCTTCTCTTACTACCTTAACGATACTAGTGAGTAAAACGTTAATTCAAAGAGCAAGTGATAGAAACTACAATGATGTTTAATGCAAATTGTAGGAATTTACATGTTTACAAATCATCTTAAACTGGTTGTACAGCAATTCAATAAAATACCTTTGTATTATAAAAATGTGAAAAAAACAATGTAAACTGATGTAAAGGAGGTACTGTCATTTTAACTAACCTTTGTTTAATAGCTTTTCCTTCGGACTTTGCAAAGCCTTCTCGGGAGACACACTGCAAAGCATTCTCTGGGAGGCCCGGCCTCCGCCTGTGTACTGTATCGTGCAGACATGAAAAACAAACCCGTTTACTGTGTATGTGTAAATAGCCTGGTCATCAGGTCGTTTTCAGCCAATAGTCACATCCAGCGCGACTTTGCACGCAAGACTTAGGGTGTGGTTTGTATGTATGATCTGTAAAATAACTGGGATGATCTCCCATGTACACCTGTGTAAATAGATTTGTTAACTGAAATGTACTTTAAGAAAAGATTAAAAAATCTGTAAATAAACTGATTTATAAATTAAGGTCCTGTCGGGTGTTCACTTTTTCATGATTTAGAGTCAAGTTTAGAAAGCTGGTCTCCCCAAAGTACACTAATTCCTGATTTCTCTTTGGTTGTAGAGCACCCGTGCTCGGGCCATAGGACAAGGTGAGCAGTGTGTGGGAGCTACTCTGCACATGGATGCCTGGCCCCACACATGGGAGCAGGCCTAGGTGCATCACTCAAGCGGCCAGCACACCTTCCTGTCTGGGCACCGTACTGAGTGCTGGGAGCAGCAAAGATGGCAGTCGTGGTCCCTGACTTCATGAGCTTAAAGTCATCGAACACAAGGCATGACAGATTGCAATAGTGCTGCAAAGGAAGTGGACGTGGTTTGAGAATCCAGAATGGAAGGACCCAACAGGGATGGAGTGGCCAGAGAAGAGCTCAGGGTAAATTTGAGCGATGTGTTCTGTAGCGACGAGCTGCTTCCCTGTAATTCACGGCAAATGACTTGGGTCTGGTTGGACACCCTTGCAGGAAAACACAGAAGGGCAGCCATCTGATGACTAGGTGTGGAGGCTATAATTTACTTCTAGATATAGGAACCTGGAGAAGAGCTAGAGCTAATAGAAGAATAAAAGAATTCCAAAGATGGAGCACCCTGAAGTGTGTGGTCCTCAGGATAGTGAATCATCTCTGCTCCCACAGATCAGAAGAAACCACCACGATCTGACCTGGGTTCCTCTGGTAGCCTGCTGATGGCCATCCCTGACCCCCCTTCAACCCCACTCAACCATGGATCTTAAGGAAGTTCTCGGAAAATGAGCCCAGGTTGCAGCATATTCTAAGAATTCTTTTTTGAGTGCCCACAGTGTGCCAGATACTGCATTTGGTGCTAAGGACACACGGTAGTGACAGGTTGAATCTAGGAAAAGACTAAATATCCCTGTCCTTGACTCAAAATATATGAAAATGGTAGAGGGGGAGATGGTAGTTGACGTAGCAGAGCCAAGAATGGTGAGTACCTACAAGAAGTAAATGCTGTCAGGATAAACAACTGCCCTACAAAACCCCACGAAGGCTCAGAACTGGGAGGCCTGACTGCCACTGGGAGGCCACACACACACACACACACACACACACACACACACACACACGCCAGGCGGTGGGGCCAAGGTTAAAAGGCAGATAACTGCCACCCAGGGAAAAGACCCATGCTAGGCAAGAGGTCGCTGAGAGCAGGCAGCAGTGGCTCAGGCCTGAGTGGTACAAGGTTTCCTTACAGCAAGAGAGAAGAGTACACAAGATCCAGTGCCTTGCAAAGCATCAATCCCCCATAGCCAGTGGGTTCACTTGAAGCTGGAGGGGTGATGTGGCTGCACGCACCCCGGCCTGCTACAAGGGGAGGAAGTACTACAGGAAGCTGCCACCTGTGCTTATGCAGAGCGAAGGAGCATGCATTGAATCTACGGCAGGAATGGCACTCCCACACAAAGTGACAAGCCGCACAGGCTGCAAGGGCTTTCTCCCTCAGCAGTGAAGGAAATGTTCCAGGCCCAAGGCCCATTCGGATGTCTGTGCAGGAGGCCCAAAGCCGGAGCCTCGCACGAATGCCTTTCCTGACAACCTACCCCACTCACTGCCTTGTGCAGCCGCTGAAGTAGCAGGTAAAGCACACACCTCCAGGCCGGCCATCAATACCTTGGATGTGTAGGCGGAGCTGGGTCGATGGGCCCCTGAATAACTCGATGGATACAGTGCTCACGGAGCCTCCTGGTCATTTTGAGATAGCGCTTCACCATGGTCACTGGGAGACCTGACCCAGGACCATGATCAGGCCTTTCTGGAGGATGGTCAGCCACCAGAACCTCCAGTGTCAAAAGATGAGTCTCGGGGGACTGTGTTGGGACATCTGCTGTGGCTCCCCCCCCACCCCCCACCCCTGCACTGCGGAGAGGCCTGCAGGCCAGCAGGAGGCATTGGCAAGAACACAAAAGCTGCCCGGTTGTGCCAGCAGATACCGGAGGGCTGTTCAGGTGCCATCACTACCTTGACTATTGAATTTAATGATCCCTGTTGGTCTAGACTCGAGAGGGAAAGTCCAGGTCGCTGTGCCCTGGCCACACCATTAAAACGAAAGGTGGGCTCTATTCTGGGATGACAGATGCAGCATTGTTTGAGTTTGCCTCCTCTCCCCAGGCTGTGCTCGTTCATATCAGTGCTGTGTCGGGGCCAGCGGAGGCGTCTGTGGGAGTGAGAAGACACGTTCAAATTCCCACCTCGCTGCGCTCCATGTGCTCCTGAGGCCCACCATGCTCCTCTCCTACGGCCTCAGAGCCCACTGCCCCTGCTGCTTGATCCCAACCTTTCGGCCCAGTCACCCCATCTGGGAGGAGAGTCACCGCTGAGTGAAGGCACGCCTGGACAGAGCCTCCAATCCCCCACTCAGGTCAGAGGTCTCCGCAGGCTGGGGACCCTAGTACCCTGATGTTCTGTCGCCCCCTCCTCTGTTCCTGTGGGGTCCCCCAGGAGGGAGTCACCCAAAAGGTAGCACGGCCTCACATTTGAACTGGGAGACCCTACTGGTGACCCCACTGGGCCCTGAGCACAGGCCAGCCCAGGGCGTGTGCTCCAGTGGGAGAAAAGAGTGACAGGTATCCTGAGGCTGGGATTCCGCCATCGCAGCCTAATCAGGCAGGTGCCTGGTCCCCCACCCACCCCAAGTTCACCGTCTCCTGCTGTGTGTGGAGTGCAGTGTTGGGTGTACAAATGACTTTTCTTAGGTGGGGGTGCCATCTGGTAAGTTGTCTTATTGAGCTGTCTTTGTGTAGCTGTTGCTTGAGCGGCTCATTTCACTATTGTTCCCTCCCTCTCCCACCCCCGTCTGTCTGGGGGTGATCGGAGTGTGAAAGCCCCGCCTATGCTGCTGTGGTGTTGGGCTGTGGACGTGGTATGGTGATCAGATGAGAGCTGTGTTGGTATCTGAGCATATGGCGAAGGTGTTTTCTAAGCCACGACAATGTCTGTGTCTACGTGGCACCCGGAATAGATGCACATGCGGTGAGCAGCTGGAATCATGGCTGAGACCAGCAGTCGGTTGTGGCTAATTCCCACAGTTGTGTGGGGCCTGTGCCCGCTCGGCGGGGCCCAGTTGCGGGTGGGTTCTTGTGATTGTGTCCATTTCTCTACCTGAGGTGGACTGTCTTTTTTTTTTTTTTTTTTTTTTTTTTTTTATCTTCACTCGAGGATATTTTCCCACTGATATTCAGAGAGAATGGGAGAGAGAGAAGAGGAACAGATAGAAACATCGATGTGAGAGAAACACATCAATTGGTTGCCTCCTGCACACACTGGACCAGGGCCCCAGGGAAGAGGCCAGCGTGTGAGAGGAGGCTGTGAGGACAGACAGCAGCGCCCCACGCTCCCGTGGCACAGTGGTTACGCTCAGCGAGAGAGGAGAGCCACCACGACCCAGCCCCTGGCCTGGTGCACTGACCCCCATGGCCAGGCACCTCTGGGTCTGAAATGCAGGAGCTGGGGGCGTGCCCGAGGGCCCTGCCACCTGCGCCGAAGCAGAATGGGGAGCACACCGTGAGTTGAGCAGAGGCCTTCCCACACAGCCGCCCGGCACAGAGCTCTGGGACGCGTTCCAGGGCCAAGGCCGGGTCTGCTCATGATCTTGGGCAGCGGGAGAGGAAACTGAGAGACTGACGGAAGTCTGAAAGGATCGGGTAGCGTCTCCTGGCACCCGTCCCTTCCCCGGATCGGGTCACCGCACATCCCCTCTCCAGTGCCGCCGGTGATCACTGCTCCCCGGTAAAATGGAACCGGGAGGCCCTGAGCGGGAGGACACAGCACAGCGCGAAAATGAGCAACAGCAGGAAGGCGAGAGGACCCTCCTCTGGACAAATGGAATGGCCTTACTCACATCTGGAGGCTCCTCC